TATTTTTATATGATCTTATTTTTTGTTTGATCTACCGTTTCAGCTCGACGTTACTCTTATCTTTTATGCATAGGTTCGTATAGCGAGCTGCATTGATATCCGTTAACAATATCCGACCCCTATTAGAAATGTACATAATTAACGAGGCAAATTACCAGCGAATAATGTAATAAATCGATAAGTTCTTACGCTGTGCACTCTACAGCAAACTAGGGCCAATAAGATAGAATTAGTATTCCTCAATAAGTTCTCGGAACTCTTTGAGAGAATAATTTATCTTCCTTCACGTATTTCAGAGGGAACAAATATATTTTCCTTTCCTACTGATTATCCGAGATAGTGGCTACATTTGTAGCTTTCGCTCGTTACTTCAATTAGCAAGAATTAGGATCCTCCTCGACTGTGAACTCTATTGCGGCGCAAGCAGTTTTTATCCAGAGTTCGCCCTTTTAATTTCTTACGGAAATATTCTTCGTCGGACAGAGATGTTTAAGAACTAGAACGTTTAAATTTAGCATCTCGCCAAATAAGCCATTTTGCGTCTACAAATCTCATAATTTCTCTCGCGTGTCTTACAGCGAAAATAATTGAAAAATTAAGCCTGTTTCTATTTGCATTCAAGGTTATTCCGAAATCGCATTTCTTCTAGACAGCAGTTCTCCTTCCAGTTATTAAATGCCGTCGCTCGTCCATTATTTTATCGTTGTAAAAAATATTAAAATTTAGTCGCGTAAGAAAATTTAATCTCGCGAAACTTCAAAAGCTAGTGTTTTCTTTTTTTTTATGCGTGAGTGACTCGAATATCTAGTTCTCTACATGTTGCGGCGTCTCTTCGATCCCGAAATATTCATTGAATATTTATGAAGTAACCGGACAGATGAAAAATCGGCAGAAAAAAAGTTTTCACCGAGCTTCCGTTCCGCGCGTATTAATTACTATCAATGAAAAACAGAAGGCATCCGGCAACATGACCATTTGGCACGATTCGCGTCCCGTCGTTATTTGCTAACCGGTAAAAACTGCGCTCCGACACAACGTTGCGCTGCAACACAACCCTGTTGTTGCATAAATCGCGATTAACCTTCGTAAGAGCTGCATACGGCAATTCGTTGCAAGTGCAAGACAACCCTGCGCTCGTTTTATGATGGCGATATATTGTAAACAAGTATATCATCTGAAGACCGTATCACATTTAATTTCTCCAACTTGTCAATTCAAATAATAAGATGCAATTTAATTCGATCAAAAACTAACTATTCATTTATTATTCAATAAATGAATAGCCAGTTTTTGGTCGAATTAAATTGCATCTTATTATTTGTTAAAATTTATCACTGGCGATCAACAATTAATTGTGAAGATTGTCAATTCAATTTCCAAAATATACCAAATTTTGATAACACGGTGGATATCTTTCATGAGATATGTTACATCCATAAAATATCAATATATTTTAACAAATTCGTAAATATTTAAGAAGCATGAAGAGTAAGGTCGATGAAGCTTGAACAGCATTTTGATCTTGAAAGATTCACGTTGAGCAAAAATTATAATTTTATTTATTATAAATTTTCTAAAGTAGTTAACGATAAGATGCGGTTACTTTCTTTCAAAAGATCTTTCAAAAGTTATTTCAAATGTTTTTAAAAATTCCGATAATCATATTGTTTAATAATCATGACAACAGTGTCAACTAATTGCGCTTTTATCAAGGAAGTATGTAAAAAATTTTTAATTCTTGCGTTTAACATCAAAAATGTTTATTAATTTTAATTAATTGTACCATTCTAGTTTTTCACTTGAAAAAGACCAAAAACAGATGGTCGAAACGTTGTGGAAATAAAATAAAAATTTCTTGGCTAGTTTGGATCGAATTAAATATATCGTTCCTATTTCTAAAGTAGATTAGAAAAAAATCACGCGTGATAAAACGGATCTAATTTCGTAGAGACTCAGGGAGGAATACATTTCGCTATTTTAATAATCATTAATTCAAGTCCGACTAATCGCGACGAAGGATTACACCTGTTGCTAATGTAACAATCTCCACAATCGCAATTGAATCCTTTCATTACGTATATTGCTCTACTTCGCGGCGTGTGTCCTTGCAAAATGGACACACGGACAAGTCGGCGATTCATTTTCGAGAGTAGTATTGATCCCACCGTTACAGAATAAACTGGATCAATTATTACTGTCCTGTTCTCAATAATTCAGCAACGTTAGGCCGAATCACGAGCAAGCAACATCAGCAACAAATGAGGATTGTTTGATCCATTTTTCAATATTTTATGATGTATGTTATATGATTTACATTTTTCTCGTGCTACATTTTTTTTATTCTGTATATTAAAACAGAAATTTTCTCAACTGATGTCTAATAATTAACAGTCTACTATGTATGCGTAAAACTTCATTTTTTGCTACTTATGCATAATTAGCATTAAAATTCATAATTTGAAATTTATTTGAAAGTAGTAATAAATATAGTTTAAAAATTCAGACATAAAATTTAAATAATATTTCGATTTGAAATGCGATATTAATATCGGACAATTAAGCAACAAGTCGGATCATGAAAAGCCAAACGCGATTCTACCTACATATGTAGGTATTATATAATCGTGTTTGGCTTTTTTCATTCAAAAATACCTCTTAAACAAGCACGCGTTTATCTTTTTATTTTAAGCTTCACGATTCCATCCAGGCAGCATAATTATTTTTTGCGAATTCCTCTATCTGAGATCGGCGCCGCTTTGTCGGTCGCCGACAGAAATGGCCGAAGTGTGGGAGAGAGAAGGGTCTCGTAAAGCAGGATAAGGGAGCGCTGAAAGTAGCTGATAAAAATTGGCAGACGCTACTTCACTCTCCGTATTATATATTTGATTCTCCGGATATATAAAAATCGAACAATCTCGGCGCGAACTTTTTCCTTCCAGTCGTTTTCCCAGCCGTTCGACTAAATGTCGTAGGTACGCGACAAATCGCGAAACTTTATCTGTTATTGCATCTTATGCACAAAATGTTTTCGAGCGTCGCGGAAAAAAGGTTCTTCGCAAATGCTTCGATTAATTTGGAGCGATTTATTTTTTTCTTCAATTTTATAAAATCCCGAAATGTCAATAGTTTGTGAACTTTAAATGCCATATTAGGTATAAAATTGTGTTAGATATTTAATTTAACATTTTTATATAATATTTTCATTTGTTGGAAATTCAAATAAAAATATTTGCCCATATCAAAGCAGGGAATGTATTATTTCAATTATTACATAAATTATTACAATATATCTGATGTGCAGATGTATTAGATTTATCAGTATCAAATTCATTTTATGCAATATCAAATAAATCTTTTGCGAAGAGATTTGCTTTTCAATCGCGATATTTCACGCTGCTCGATTGTATTTAGAGGAAAAATAGAGCGCATATCGATGTTCTCTCTTTCTCTCTCTTTCTCTCTCAAAAAGATCTCGAGTACTCTTCACAGATTTTCAAGAGACATCCCAAATTCAGGTACGATCGATTGAGAATAGACTCCTCCTCGCGTTGTGCAAATTCAGCATCGAGCTTTTTTTAGAACAACGACAGAAGTGAAATCTGTGACGCTCGATTGAATCACTAATATTCAATTAGAAAATTATTTTCTAAATATCGTATTCTAAATGTTATAACTAATATATATATATTGATAAATATATAATTTAAAAATTTACAAAATTCTTTAAAAAAGTTTTCATACATTATTATAAAGAGTGTACAAATATATCCAAAGTAGAAAAATATGTATAACTACTTCAGTTAATTTAAAATTAATTAATAAATAAAATGAATAGAATGTTTCTGTAACAGATTTTAAGGCCTTACTCTTCACGCATGCACATACAATTTTCCAATCTTTTATAAATATTAATTAATTAATTAAAAGTCTCTTACATTAGATACATGAAATAAAATATATTAACAATATATGAAATGTTAACAAAGTTCAAATGTTAATTGGATTTATTTTCCAGCAATGTATTTGTTACGTCGAGATCAGTACACATATATCATATCTGTTTGATCAAAAATAGTTTATAGAGATAATATATTGAATAACTTTTTCTCATTCCTCAACGTAATTTCGTCACATCGGCGTTATTGCATGCAGTTGATGTATTATGCGAAAGCGAGGATGCAACGACGAGAGATTCTTGCTGTGAATTATTGCATTATCGTGTGCCTTGATTGCACTCACTTGCTCCATCCCTCTTTCTCTCTCACTCTCCCTCTATTACGCGAGAGAGCCAACACGCATACAGGGTATCTGTCGCAAAAGTCTCGACTAATGCACTTAATTGAACCTGGAGCCACCGCGTTACGCATCTCCGTCATTAATGAGATCTTTTATGCAATCTCTCTGAGGCATCGCCTGTGTGATGTGAATAATTTCACCCAAATTTTCTGCACACTACATATATTTTTAATGATTCGCAATATGTTGTGCATTTTGGAAGGAGAATTTCAAGAATCTTCTCAAAATATACAGATGTGTAGTAATAAATTAAAAAAATAATAATTTTTTAATTCAAATGTTTATGTAAAATGTATTATATATATTATATTCTATATATATATATATATATATATATATAGAAGGGATAGTAAAATAAATAACAATTACCTTTTAAAAATTCCTTTAATTAAACTATAATATTATTAATTCCTTTAATTAAACTATGAATAAAAAATTGAATCATTGAAGCATTACTGTGTTATACCATTTATATATTATCAGTTTTAAAAAACTAGCTTTTACTGGTAAAGTTAAGCAATTTGGCGCGTTTTTCAATATTACTAATTAGCGAAGACTGATAAGCTAGAGTTCTATTGCAATAAAGCTGTCACCGAATTCATTAATAAAATATAATTGATTCATAAATCACAGACCGTGATCTCTTGATAATTTCGATCGCACTTTAAAATCCAAGTCATTAACCCTTTTCATCCCCTTTCCAGGTTGGCAGCAGCGCACGAGGCGGCACAAAGGGACCCTGGACACGCGCGTCAGTACTACGGGAGAAGGTCGAGGTTGGCCGGATTGAGGAGTGGTCACGGTGACTGGACTAGCTTCGGAGGGGAGGTAAGTTGGCATTCAATCGTGTAACAATCGAAATCTGATTCGCAAACTTTCAAAATATTCTTCAAGCAAACATACATCGTGCAATTAATTCGAAAAAATTGCTGCGATAAATTGAATCAATTAGATTCCCGATTCAGCGACTTTCGGATCTATATTTTGCTCTTGCATTTATTTCCTTAGGGGGAAACAGGGGATGTATGGAATTAAATCTCTCGTAGAGATTATTCCAATTTTAAATCTTGGCCGTGACCAAGTAAAATTTGGTGCCTTGTGCAAAGGTTTTTCATTCTAACGAAAAAATTTAGTTTCGTTGGGATAACGCACTGTCATCCGCGATTTGGCTCTTTATTGCCTGTTTGACACTTTAAATTTATATTTATATTTGAATTAATTAGGTTACCAGGAAATGAACAGAGGTCAAACATCTACGAAAAATTATATTATAACCATTTTTCAAGATCTCTATGCAAATAACTCGAAACTGAATGAGATGTTTTTAAACTAATTATTTTGCGTCGACCTTAAAACTGTCATTAATTGTAAGAAAATTATTGTGATAAATTGAATTAATTAGGCTACCGTAAAATAAACAGAGGTCAAACATGTACGAAAAAATAACATTTTTCAAGATCTCTAGGCGAATAACTCGGAACTGAATGAGATGTTTTTAAACTAATTAATTTGCTTCGACCTTAAAACTATCATTAATTCTAAGAAAATTATTGTGATAAATTGAATTAATTAGGCTACCGTAAAATAAACAGAGGTCAAACATGTACGAAAAAATGACATTTTTCAAGATCTCTAGGCGAATAACTCGGAACTGAATGAGATGTTTTTAAACTAATTATTTTGCTTACCTTAAAACTATCATTACATATATTGTTACAATTAATTCTAAAAAAATTACTGCGATAAACTGAATTAATTAATTTTAGGCTTTTACAGCTAACACATTTATACCTAGATAACACCATTTCTAAAATTGATGCATAAGACATTTTCAAGATGCTTTTAAGATGTCTTTGGGATATCATATCATAAGATTTCTCAAAGATGTTTCAAAGATATCTTATGCTCCAATTTCAGACATGGTACTACCTAGATATTTATATATGCGTTGATATTTAGATCCAAACATACTAATCTTCTTATTCAATTAATTAGGCTACCACGAAGAAATTTCACTATAAAAATGTTTCCCGAGACCTCTGTAAACTCCAATAACTGGATGTCTTTGAACGAGATTCTTTCGCTCCAATCTTAAAAGAGCCGATCGTGTTACACTTCCTGAGCTTGACACCCTTCTTCAGGTACCTGGTCTGGTGGATATGGCGCCAGGCCGGGATCATGGCGGAGGGGCGGGTGGCGGTGGGGGAGGCGGCAAGGGCACCACGTCGTTGTTTATCCTGTCGGAGGATAACTGCATCCGGAAGCACACGCGCTTCATCATCGAGTGGCCGCCCTTCGAGTACGCCGTCTTGCTCACCATCATCGCCAATTGCGTGGTCCTCGCCCTCGAGGAGCATCTGCCGAAGTCTGACAAGACCACACTCGCACTGAAACTCGAGAACACGGAAGTCTACTTCCTCGGGATCTTCTGCGTCGAGGCGAGCCTCAAGATCCTCGCTCTCGGCTTCGTCCTCCACCGCGGCTCCTACCTGCGCAACATCTGGAACATCATGGACTTCTTCGTCGTGGTGACCGGGTAAGAGTCGAGAGAGCTCTTTCGTTTCCTTTCATTATTCCCTCACTGTGTTTCCCGACTACCCTTTCTTTTCTATACAATGATTTGGAAATTACTCACGTATCCTAGAACAGTTTCCTTAAATTATTTTTTTTTTTAATAATAATAATATATGAATTTTAAATCGGCCAATATTGAACATAAAATTGCTCACTTTTTACATAAATATATTATTTGACTCGTATATTTAATAATGAATAAAAAAATAATATTAGATAAGAAATATATGTCGGCTTTCAATATTAATAATAATAATAATAATATATGAATTTTAAATCGGCCAATAGAGCCCAAGCGCGAAAAATTAATTCTTTGGAACTGTATCTCTTGGTTTGAGATCACTAAGTTCCATATATAAATTAATCTCGAACTTACATATGGAGAAAAATAGGCGAGAAAAATATAGGTCCGAAAAGTCGCTGAAGCGGGAACCTATATTTTTCTCCATATGTAAGTTCGAGATTAATTTATATGTGGAACTTAGTAATCTCAAACCAAGAGATACAGTTCCGAAGAATTAATTTTTCGCGTTTAGGCTCTTTTATTGGCCGATTTAAAATTCATATATTATTATTATTATTAATATTGAGAGCCGACATATATTTCTTATCTGATATTATTTTTTTATTTATTATTAAATATACGAGTCAAATAATATATTTATGTGAAAAGTGAGCAATTTTATGTTCAACTTCATATTACTATATTTTTCTGTATATATACATTTACATCTCTTACATAAACAGGACAAATCATTAATGTTGATCATTCTCAAGAGAGACAAATATTGTTTCGTCTAGTAATTAATTTGCGATCAAAGCAAGCGACAAAATAAACCTCTTTGCCTAATTACACCCTTATAAGGAAACAAGATATTGGAGGAATCAATTTAACTAACATTGCCAGGCGAAATACATCAGCTCTTGCGGACGTGATTTTAGAATATATATATATAATGTTTTACAAATAAGACAATTTTTTAATATTGAGAGAGCGATGGCAAATATTTTACTTATTTTCAAAATTCATAAATTCCCGTATCGAAAAATTTACAGGTGATTTATATATTGATTTTTTAACATATAACGTAATCATGGACGTCCGCAGAGGGAGAATTTGCTCCCTTGGAATCAGTAAAAAAAAATTAAGCATTTGCTTTCCTTTCGAATAAACACTAAAATGTATTTGCATATTCAATATAAAAAAAATAAAAATTAATTAAAAATTAAAAAATGAATTATGCCTCTTTCTGGAGAAAAATCCTGCGGACACCTATGTAGTTTTCTGACGGTCAAAATGGCATTATTGAGAAAAAATTCATATCCTGGCGACGTAATCCACAAATTGATTTCTCCAGCCGTAGGACTTAAGGAAACACGTCGATCATCGTATCGATTGGTCAGATAGATTTTAGAGTGATCCTTGAATTAGGTCGATGACCGTGTTCGCCGAAACAAACGTGGACGTCGACCTGCGTATGCTACGTTCCTTCAGGGTCCTCAGACCGCTGAAGCTGGTTTCGAAAATTCCAAGTGAGTCAGTCAGAGTTCTGCGAAAGAACAGCAGCGATTAACAAACCACCCCGAGAAAGAGTGCCCGGTCAATAACAAGTCGAGCTAATAGTCGAGCAGCAGATGACTGTAACTCCCTCGATCCTCTTTTGAGATCCTACGTATTGTGTGTTCTGCCAATTTGTATGCATATCATTACGAATATTCGAGTTTTCAATGTCTTCGGCGCCGCAACTCTTAGCTCGATCTTTCAATTTCGGGCAATTATTCTGCTGCTTTAGTTGGTGCGACGTCTAGTTCTGGCAAGCGAGAGAAGCATCGACTTGAACTTGTCTATATATATATTTATATATTGTTAGTTCCTTCTAGCATCTTTTACGTTAATCTTCTAATTGCGTAATATAACGTCGTACATTTTTCGCTAGCCCCTTCGCTCTTAGAGGCTATATGGGTGTTTTAGATCAATTGATAAAATTAGAATTGATAATGGGTAAAAAGCTAGCTCAGTTGATGATCGATATTTGTTGGATTTATACAAAATTATTTATATATGAAATCTCTGTCTATACATTGCTTCTGAATAATCTCATTTAGATATATATATATATATTCTATTTTCTCTAGAGGAAACTTGCGTGAATTAGTGATTAGATTTATATAAGCAATTTTGATTTACGAATATCGCAACTTGATACATACACAAGTTCTTCTCACAAGTTCGAAGAAATTATAGTTATACACAAATACACCATTTATGTATAAATGAAGGTCCTTTTAGCAAAAATGTTAAATTTTTACATAAAGAATCTTTTGCAAAATATCAAATAACTACATATTTGTTAATAATGACAGAAGAAAGAGATTCTGCAGATTAACGATAATTATGATAAAAACAGTTGCCACATATATATATTTGTCTTTTTTCGTAACAATATAGCACAAGCGTTAGTGACATTTTCAATCTAGACACTTGTTAATAATTCTGATCTCTGATTTATCATTTCTACTAGCTCTGTAGTCATTCTATGTAGAAAAATAAACACGTAGCGAGCAGTTTAGTCGTCGTATTTAAAATTGGAATTAATGATTATTCTCTGTTAATTGTTAAGATATAATTTACTAGAGCGCGTGTGTGTCTGTATAAGAAGAAGAAAATTAATTTATTAATTAGTAGTGAATATTCTCCGAAAGTATTTTCTTCGAAATAGCAGTTTGGACCATTCGTCTCTGATTACGGTGAAGATGCGCTGTCATGAACAGGTAGACAAAAGGGAGAAAAAAAAACACACATACTCACACAGATGTGATGACCCGCGCGGAACGATGCCTATATTTAGTGGTTAGCTATCTTTAGCTGCAGTCACGCTAAATAATAGAGTCGACTATACATTGTTAAAAGAATACGTGTCCTTCTAGAGTACATAATACGTGTTTAACAGCGCGGCCGTTATTTACTAGATAGTTGTACTTTTAGACGTTTACGTTATACGACAGATCGAATCGTTGCTTTATATTTAATCGTTTAACGGTGTGTTCGTAATTCTCGATGATGATTATCCTTTATCATTGCTAGGACTCGCTTTCCGTTCTTATCGGATCTTTTTCCACAAGCTAGTCACTTATTGACGGTTTTTATTATGCAACTATAGTTGTGTTTAGGTTTTTCACTATATATTTCACTCTTTTGATGTTCTTGCTCAAGTTTTGAATATTTAATTGCCATAAAAATCTGTTCTCTTTTCAATTTGAAAATCTTTCATTTTTAATCTAGCGCATTAAAATTTTAAATATATCTTCAATTCAATTATTGTTTCGTAACGAAGACGTTTAAACTGATCTTTAATATTTTCTGCAGAGTTAAATAATTCGTCGTTTCTCCAATTTTACAGAAAAAAACCCAAGATTATTCTTTATTGATTAAAATAAAAATATCTTTTCCATTATATGTGTTCCAGAATATAAAATTCAGAAAGTCCGAGACGTAGATATATCAAGCTTTTTAATTCATTCTCCAGCAGGGTGGAAAAGATCTAGCACCTCTCTATAATATCTGTTCTGGATTGAAAAGAACCTTTCCGGAAAGCTGCTGTTATTGGCAAGAGTCAGAAATAGATGAGAGAAGCGGTCGCGATGACCGCTCAGATATCTTCGAGAGACTAGAATCGCGAGAGTACATGCGATTATATTATCGCTAGCTCGCCCCAGCGTTTCACACGTTCTCCTAGACCTAGATATACAGTATTTTACATAGTCTAGAGAAAGAGAGAGAGAGAATACGTATATACATAGATACATTTACACGCCTATACATCGACCCTATTCCTCTCGTGACACCCTATCCAGTAGATCATTGTCCTATATCCTACTAGAACGTTTATTTTCGCACATCATTTCGCTGAATCTAATGACAGAAATAGAGAAAAATCTATCCCTTCGAATAGATTTTTTTATTGTCGATATCATATTTTTATTTACAATTTCTTTATCATTTATTTATTAATGTATGTGATGAGCACTGAGAGTATTACTTAAATAGTTTATTATTTTTTTTAAATTGAAATTTATATACCGAACAGTAGAATGACCGACAAATGTAAAAATTAAATTACTTATTTAATTTAAATTAAAATAAAAAGTTAATCTTCTTCTTTTTCAAATGTTTGAAATAGAGAAAAATGTATCCCTTCGAATATATATTTTTTTATCGTCGATATCATATTTTTATTTACAATTTTTTTTTATTATTGAATTATTAATTTGTGATGAGCACTGAGAGTATTACTTAAAACGCATCATTATCTAAAATTTGAATAAATAGTTCTATTATTTGTTAAATTGAAATTTATATATCGAACAGTAGAATGACCCCAAAAAAAACGTAGAAATTAAATTACTTATTTAAAAAGTGAATCTTGTGTTTGCTAAATTGATTTTTGAAATGATATCGAATTTTTCTGCAGAGACTAAGATCCCAATAAAACTCTCATTCTCCCAGTCCCCGGGCTAGAGTACGCTAGGCTAGTTAACCATCTAGTGGCCGTAGTCTAAGTATTTAAGAGTAGCGTGAGTATTAGTGTAATAGAGTAGTAAGTAGTAAAGTGTGGCGGGTGTGTGTGTTTTCGGGACAGGATCGTCACGGCGTTCTCGCAAGGCATACACCTGGATATGGATCTGCGCACGTTGCGCGCGATACGCGTGTTGCGACCGCTCAAACTTGTCTCCGGCATACCGAGTGAGTAGCGCATCAGCACAGAAATTGGAAAAGCGTCGAGCGCCGGTCGAGACTCGGCTTTGGGACTCGAGGTAGCTCGACGCAGCGGCAAGATCCAAACACAGAGAATTCCTTCTCGTTGCCGCGAAATCCCACGAAAGCTGAGAGAATAACGCGCGAGATAAATACTCGTATTCACACTTCTATCTTAGCTTTTTCTCTTTAAATTCGTCACTTTTTTTTAAACGTTCAAATGTCACGTTAATTATGTCTTTGAAACCGATTTGAAATCGAAGTGTGAGTATGGGTGAAAGACACGTGGTTTTACACCTAATTCTTAGCGCTAAATGTTTCATTTATTCCGCATTCTATTTTATTGCGCTTAATTATTACACGTTTGAACGTCGAAATAATATAGATGTTAATTAAAATAAAGGAATCGTATAATTACATTTGGCGCTAAAAATGCAATCTCGTTGCTCGTGCAGTTTTACACGAATGAGTAAGGAATGATTAGATTTTACGGCTCGAAACTTCTTCGTGTCTCAGATTTGGATACCTCGAAGATCAAACGTGATCCGCCGTCGAGAATATATTTATCGTATTTCTCGTATAGTGACTATATAGATTTTACGAGGAGCGATTTAATGAATATAAAGTCAAGTCAAATAGATGAGAGTTGTAGTCATATATTTAATCGTAAATATATATATTACCCGTAGGATGCTTTCTCTATCGAATTAGATCGATCGTTTGTTTTATGTTAGTAGTATTGCTCAGGTAGATATTATTGAAAGCTCGATGTTGTATTTAGATGCGGCGGAGGTGTCCTAATTCTTAGACGAAGAAATCATTTCGAGTAATATCGAATATTCATATAATTTCCAAATTAAGTTTTCATTAATTCGGAATTCAGATTAATATAAAATTTATTTTTTACAATTATCACAAGATAAAATAATAATTCTTTTCATCACGCCTGTGTATAAAATTATTTACAAAATTATCGCAAAATTATTCAAATAAAATATTAAACGAATTTGTTGGTGCTTTGACAAATATTAAGACCATGTTACATTACATTACATTTTATTTATATACAAATTTCCGTGCAGTTTCTCGGAAACAACAAGCAACAACGATGCACGAGCAGGGAGAAATAAAAGTAAAATTGCACCGAGCGTAGAATTCCACATTGATCCTGCGAGAATGGTGGTTGGACCTAATTACTCCTCGGCAATTTTTTGCGCATAGGTCTTCAGGTGGTGCTCAAGTCTATCATCAAGGCGATGGCCCCGCTGCTGCAGATCGGCTTGCTGGTACTCTTCGCCATCGTGATATTCGCCATCATCGGCCTCGAGTTTTATTCGGGAACCCTGCATAAAACATGCTACAGTGTAGAGGACCTTAGTGAGTGTACTCGAAAATTCAGCCTGCTCTCTCACAAATTTTAGAATAATGCTAATTTTTATCATTTTCTCTGTTTGTTTTATTTTTTATATATTCAGCTATGATTTGATATATAAAAAATCATAAGAAAAAACGATTCAAGAATATTGCGATTATAATGCAAGATATATTTGACAAAATTTTTTTTGGGGAGTCTCTTGCGGGTGCTCTTAATGTATTCAAGATATTTTATAATACCGAATGTTGCAGAAATCGTAAGAGAGGGCGAGCAAGCGAGCCCGTGCAATTTGGACCCCAAGGCTGAGGAATTCGGGGCCCATGCGTGCGAAAAGAACATCTCGATATGCAGGGAGAAATGGGAGGGACCAAACTCGGGCATCACCAGCTTCGATAACATCGGATTTGCCATGCTCACTGTCTTCCAGTGTATCACTATGGAGGGCTGGACTGCCATATTGTACTGGGTAAAGCAAGAAATGTGTTCTTCAGTGTTCAAAATCCTTTTCATGTTCTTTATCTCTCTTTCTTTCTTTCTCTATCTCTGTTTCTTCTCTTTGTCTTTGCTAATTTTTGCCCTCATTATCGCGCACGATTTGTCCTCCTCAGTGTACCTCATTCTCTCTTTTTCTCATCACATCAAAGATCGATAGTCAAAATTCTCGAATCTGTGTACCCTACATAGAATGTTGCTATCAGTATCATCAATTCTATAAATTAATTGCCAATGCTTTATTTGAATATTATATCTTTGTTTAACCAAATTTGTTCCTTCTTAATTAACTCCCTGTACATTGGTCCTTTTATATAGAAGAGATAATACAATATTGAAAAATCAAATTTGATACGTGTATCCCTTGAATCCTTCATCCGCTTTTGAACGTTAATTTCTTTCACAATTAATTTCATCACGTTTCACTTCGGTCGTTGTACTTTCGCCTCTCTTCTCTATATGTTCGGCTTCAGCCAAATTGATCGGGTTCAGGAATGCAACAACAGCTAACACTGACGTATATGTTCACCTTGCTCAGTATGACATTGTCAGTTCCAGCCCATTTCTTCGATGTTTTAATATCGATGTTAACTGTATCTTTCAATGTATTTAATTCTTTCGTGACCACATTAATCTATTTTAGATTAATTTTAACAGAATTAAATATATAGCTCTTTAGAGTACATTATAATACATGCTGAATGAGTAACATATATAAAGTTCAGATGGATCTGTTCACGAAAGAATTAATAATTAGCCAGTGGGACAAGGAGGGAGATTTAAATTATTGTGAACAATAATTTCTTTCAAAGTTCTCCAATATTGCTCTACCGGCCGCAACGATTCTTTTAGTCGGGTATAATCGGGGATAAAAAAATGTCAGTTGGAAGAAAATGCCATGCTTTGAAATTACTTGAAAGTTTCTTAAAACCTAATGTACATAGTATTGTACAGAGTTTTCGAGATATAATTCCCGCTATATCGAACACTATTTAAATAGTTGAAACCAGTCTAAACAGCTTGAAAGCTGTATGTAATTCGACAATATGGCATGTTTCTCCGATTCTATCTTTTTTTTTCCCCCGGATTATACCTCCTAGCGATAGACGCGACTACAAGGTTTCATAAAATGCGATATTGTTTTGAGTTAAATGAGGTCGGTGGATTTTTCAATCTATTTTTAGATTAAATTTGCTCTTCATGTCGGACAAAATTTGTCTTTGTGAAGAGAAATGAAAATTATCGAATAACGATAAATAAATTTCGAGCTCTCACACCTGGACGACTGCATTTATCGCGTCGGGTCCAGCGCAGCGAGAGTACAGTACGATGCCTCTATATCACATAACGGTGTCCCTTTGTCGTTAATTAATATATCTTTGGCTGTGTAAAACCGGTGGATATGTGTACATATACGCGACACTGCTCTTCATATCGATTCTGGTCGGATTTGCAGACAAACGACGCTCTTGGCAATCGATGGAACTGGATTTACTTTATACCGTTGATCGTCCTTGGATCATTCTTCATGCTGAACTTAGTTCTTGGTGTCTTGAGCGGGTGAGTAGATACGTTTCCCCTAAAAAAGAAAAAAAAAAGAGAGAGACTCTCCCGCGGCTTTTCCATCCACGCCGAAAATAATTCACGGAGCGACGATCGTGAAAATTGCGAATAAAGCTCCATTTACTTCAGAATCAATTTCTTTCCTCTCGTCAGGGAATTTTCTAATGAAAGAACGCGCGTCGAACGGCGAGCGGCTTATCGGAAAGCGAAGAGCAAGCGACTCTTCACGACTGCGTTCAGTTCCTACTTAAAATGGATCACTCAAGCAGGTCTTCAATTAACAGACATTGCCTAAATTTAGCGTGCAATGAACCGTATTCTCTTAGCGTGTTTAGTGCTGTCACAATAATCGAAAATGTAACGTAAACTGATCAGCAGTTATTATATAAAGAAGAAGAAAAGAAGTCATCGCGCATAATTCTGACTAGTTTTATTAGAGTAATCTTATCGCGTCATATTTCTTTTATTGCGAAAAGCTAATGTTTTTTTATTTATAATTTTTTTATTCTCTGATTAGATATGTACGTAAATTATATTTACAATTATATTTTTCGATATACAAAAGATAAGATTATACAATCATACTGAACGCGCGATGAGAATACGATTCTAAGTGCACATTTTATAAGGATGTAAATTTTTGGCAGCTCGTCTAATCAACTAATCACTGCTAGATTTAATAATTAAGAAGAAGTAACACGCTTACGCAAGAGAGTAGTGTAGTTAACAATAAATTGATCCTGTATATATTATATATTAATCACACCATAATACAAGCTAATTTAAATCGATCTACAAACCGAGTATTACGCAAAACAAATTTTTTTTTTGTTTTAATGTGTTTTCTACAATATTTTATTCAAACACTGTCAAGATACCAAACATGCCGGTACTGCTAGAATATTCAAGTATTGTCAGAAAGTCCTCTGCTAAATTTGGTCTTGATAAAAGTGCTCCCGAGTAATCTCCCATGTCATTTGTATCACGCTTGTAGAGAGTTTGCGAAGGAGAGAGAGAAAGTGGAAAACCGACAGTCCTTCTTGAAGTTGCGAAGAGCGCAGCAGCTTGAGCGCGAACTGAATTGTTACCTCAATTGGATCTGCAAAGCAGGTTAGACCAATTGCCGTGAGAAATATGTGAATTAAAAAAGATCGACAGGAATTCATTTCGCGAAAAATCTAAATTTCTGTGTTTTATTCTAAAGAGATCATTTTATATTATAAATTGTATACGACGTACAGTGTATGAAATAAAGTTGAAAGCTGATAAGTGAAATATAGAAATGTGCAATTAATGTGCAATTCATATTATATTTTCATCTGATTTCAAAGATTGAAATTTTCTCAAATATATTATATATGGTATTCCTGTCGATCCATTTTAATTCTTTCATTCTGCAAATAGTGTGCTTGCAAAAGCTTGTTGTACGCACGAATTGTTTCCGCGTATATTGAAACATATACAAATATTTACATTGATTATTGCATATTAATACATAATATTTCCCTTTCAGAGGAGGTGATACTTGCCGAGGAGAGAACCACGGAAGAGGAGAAATGCACATATTAGAAGGTTCATATAACGTATAGTAACGTCATGAATATTCACTTTCTTAAAGTTTGCACTTTCGAAAAGATTTGCAAAGCGAACTCTGTAACGTGCTCGTGCATATTTATATAAAATGCTATTCTCTAAAATGTATTTTCGCGCATTTTTTTTATTTAATCGAATAGATTGAACTTCTTAGCAAGAACTACACCGAGTGTTTATGAGTATCAGTTTAATTCTCATCTTTATTTATATTACGTATATAAATAAACTATTTTATTTTCTTTGATACTCGCGTACAAATTGTATTTTAAATAATGACATTTTATTATATTTTCTAATGTGCGTCTGTGTACGATTTTTATTCAAAATTACTGAAGGAATATAACATTAACATTATACGATTTGCACTCTTGTTAGACTGCAGAAACGAACGTGAAAATTACATATTTTTAATAGCTGATGAAAGATTAAGCGCCGGAATAATTTCGGAAAATTGAGATAACTTAATCTTTATGTTCTACACAGTAAGAAGAAGAGCGGCGGCGAAGAAAAAGAAATTGAAAAATCTTGGCAAGAGCAAAAGCACCGACACGGAGGAGGAGGAAGATCAGGATGATCAGGACGATGGTGAGTTGTATTTTGCCAATCGATGGTCATCCAAATATTCTCTTCTTCTTGTTCATTCACCTCTTTTACATTCGAGTTGTGAACTCCTTCTCAGAGTGTTCGAACAAATATATTGTGAAATCGAGACCAAGTTCAAGTAGTAAGGGATTTCACGAGTTTTTCAGTAGTAAGTTATGTGAATCAACGATTTCCAAAAGAAATCACAACAATATTAACGAGCGATTAAGAAACTTTGAATTAACGAAATTTTAGAAAAACAAAATTTGCGAAAATTAGCTAAATAATTAAATTTGATGAATATCTTTATTAAATGCGTGCGAAGGAAATCGTTGGTGTGCGAGAGATTTTGGCCTGCCTTCTTTTTTATCTCGTTCCAAAACTTCTCTCTATTTATTGGCACGTATTAGCGTATTTTCACGTTCATCGACGTTGATACTTTGTGGATTTATGCCTGATTTCTCTCTTTCGTATCGAGAGGAAAAACAAAAGAACGATGCTGATCCCCTTCCCATAATTTTTGCCGAAATTGATGAACATTCTAAACACACGCTATCAGATGCTCCTCTTGTTTCAGTGCCTAAGAAAAAGCTCAAAGGTAACTACAACCGTGAATGCCATGACTTTTCATAAAGAACAACGTAAAACAAGGCTGTATTCGTAATCTTACGTGTAACTGTCTTATTTTTATATTTTTATTTGTAAGAGATTCTTTTGTGATTGGTGAATACACATATACAAGCAATATACAAGCAATATTGTGCGTACCACATTTACATACATGATTAGACGCAGGCTATCGCTTGGTACATCAATTGTTTGACATCTATTCGCGTATATATATATACATACATGTATAGGATGTATCAATAGTCACGCATCTGTGGACGTGTACAGTCGATGTGTGCAGAAATTAATTCTCTTGCAATAAAATGTAGTTACAATAGGATGAATTATTGTTAGATATAATTTTCAATAGCTCCACATGCTCTTGCTAAATAATATATTTTTTTCAGAGAATATACGTTGTTCAAAATACTCGAAAATATATACTTAACATTACATTAATACAGCTTTCAAGGAACGATCAAAAATTGATTCGATATCTCAATATATCTCTTTTGTAAAAATAAAAATTATTCTGAAATTAAAAAATATTTATTCATAATTTACATAATTTTGAATCGTGGATCTTTTCTTCTGACGAAGTGTACTCGTTTTACGTAGCTAAATTACGTATTATTTATTGTAAAAAAATGTAGGCTATAGGTACTCTTGGTAGAGAAATTAACTATTGCATTCTATGTAATTATTCGGATCGACTTCTGTTGATGTTATGGCTGATACATATCACTTAAAATCACGCGGACATTACGCAAGAAACAGATTCAAGAACTCTAGACAGCTAATTTATTTTTATTTTCTAGGTATTGCTTCTGACATAGCGACACTTCAATTATACACATAAATATTATCTATTCTTTGCAACCGAAAACATTCACACGATTGTTCAAAAATATACAAATATTATATTGCATGCTTTGAATCGGATTTAAAAAATATTATAATATTATATCAAAGACAATCGAATTGAGAAAATTATAATATATTATAATAAAAACAAATACATTTTTTAATAATAATAAGTGCATTTTTGTTTTAAAAAAATTTTTATTAATTTAAATATATAACTTTTTAACATATTTGTCACATTTTATTTTAGAATGATAAGGGCAGAACGTAATATTTTTTTTTTTTTTTTTTTTTAATAAGTTTTGATAAAGAGTAGATGTGAATGTTTCCGGCGGAAGTATTTAGGTATATCATGTGACAACAAAATATCGATTATTTTTTTTTATTGACTGATATAGCTATAATGTTAGCTAGTTAAAGTGAGCTGACAGAACAGTAGAGTATTTAGTATGTCAAGTGAGGACTTGAATTTCCTGAGTAGTGTACTAGGAATCCTCTCCCATAGAATTTGATAGATAGGCTAGCTAGTACTAGCCTGTCGACGTTTACACATAGCGATTGAGTAGCCAGAATATGTACGCATCATCATATATAGCCGTAGATTGGTAGACTAATTTAGTATAGAGACTAATTTATAGTATAGAGAACTCTGTATCTATCTATATCTATCTTTCGTCGAGGAAAAAAAATGAAAAAATGTTTCCAGTCGATGTAAAAAATAATTTTATAATTGTTCAGAGTTGCTCGCAATACTTATAGATTTTCTTTCGAAATAAACTTAGAAGGATATCATTATTTGCAATACGAAAAGAACTTTAAGTTAATAGAAAGATCGTAATATTTTAAATCACGCGATATTTGAATCCATATAAGTATCGCAGAAATAGCTTAGTAAGTAGTAAGAAACATGAAAACGTGTAGACATAGGAAAGATATTTTCAAACAAGACTTATATGTTTTACAAAAAAGAATAAAAGCGTTTATATGACGCAGTTAAGATGTATATGATGAACTTAACTATCGACTGGTTCGCGTCAGCAAAATATGTCATAACAATCAATTGTGTCTTATGCTGAAACGATTCTTTCTACTTTATAGGATTCTCGAGAACCTCCTACTTCAAGTCGAAAGTGAAGAAGCAGGGCACGTGTCTGCAATTCTGGCGGGCCGAAAAGAGATTCAGGTTCTGGATACGCAATTCCGTCAAGTCGCAGCAGTTCTATTGGTTCGTCATCATCCTTGTGTTCTTCAACACCGCCACTGTGGCCGTCGAACATTACGATCAGCCGAAGTGGCTCAGCGATTTCCTCTGTGAGTTTCTCGATTCTATTACAATTTCATTTCATAAGTCAAAGTTTTCTCAGCTTATTATCAAATATTATTGAAAATAATAATAATACATGAATTTTAAATCGGCTAATAGAACCCAAGCGCAAAAAATTAATTCTTTGGAACTGTATTTCTTGGTTTGAGATTACTAAGTTCCATATATAAATTAATCTCGAACTTTACATATGGAGAAAAATAGGCGAGAAAAAAATGGCCGATTTAAAATTCATGTATTATTATTATTAATAATATTGAGAGCCGTCATATATTTCTTATTATTAAAAATGTTGAATAGCCTACCCAGACAGCAAAACGTCTAAAATCGGGACATAAGATGTCGTAAAGGAGTCATTTTTAAGACGTCAATAAGATATCTTTAAGACGTCTCATGTCCTGTTTTTAGAAGCGATGTTGTTTGGGTATCCTTGATAAACACACAGTTTGGAGCTCTTCGAAAGTGAATCTCTTTTTATTCGTAGATTACGCAGAGTATGTGTTCCTGGCTCTCTTCATGCTGGAGATGTTCATCAAGATGTACGCGCTCGGTCCCCGCACATACTTCGAATCGAGCTTCAATCGCTTCGACTGCATCGTCATCTTAGGCTCGATCTTCGAGGTGATCTGGTCCTCGTTGAAGAAAGGCTCTTTCGGCCTCTCCGTCCTACGTGCCCTTAGACTCCTGAGAATTTTTAAAGTCACCAAATACTGGAAGAGCCTGAGAAATCTCGTGATATCGCTGCTAAGCTCGATGCGCAGCATCATCTCTCTCCTCTTCCTACTCTTCCTCTTCATCCTCATATTCGCGCTGCTCGGTATGCAGCTATTCGGCGGTCAGTTCAATTTCGAAAATGGCACGCCGCCCACCAACTTCAACACCTTTCCCATCGCACTACTCACTGTCTTCCAAGTGAGTACTATTACGATTCTTATGTATTTTAACAATTACACACGATCAAGATTGAATATTCCATTCATAAGTTGTTGAGTGAATGATAGAACAAATTTGATGAATTAATTTTATTACAAAAAAAATTAAATTTAAAACAAAAATATTTAATTCAATAAATAGATATAAGTTGTTGAGTGAATGGTGAAAAAAATGAAATAATTAGTTTTGTAAAAAAAAAGTGCAACTTGTGTAATAATTAATGATGCTGACAGATCTTGACTGGAGAAGACTGGAACGAAGTGATGTACCAGGGTATCGAGTCGCAGGGCATGGCCTACTCGCTCTACTTCATCGTGCTGGTGCTCTTCGGCAACTACACTCTGCTGAACGTCTTCTTGGCTATCGCCGTCGACAATCTCGCGAACGCACAGGAGCTGAGCGCCGCCGAGGAGGAACAGCAAGAGGAAGATAAGGAGAAACAGTTGCAGGAGCTCGAGAAGGAGATCGAGTCGCTGCAAAAACCCGGGGACGGTGGAGCACCGAAGGTGGAAATCTGCCCTCCAAGTCCAACCCAGAATTTGTAAGTTACTTTTGCCACTTGTCATATATTGCTCTAAGCGGCAGAAATATGTTATGACAATTTACATAGCCGAAAGATATTCAGAGGATATCCATTCGAACATCCTCAGGATGTTCTTTGATCTTGATCTTCGGGATATGTGCCGTTAGGGATTTTTCTCGAACTAAAATTTTGCTGTTTAAAAAATTAATAATTATTGAATTAGTAAAAAAAAATCAATAATATAATATAAGATAATATAATAATATAATAAATAATAGTAAATATAATGTAGATTAATTAGAAAATGTAAGAAGCAAAATCGATGAAGGAGACACAGATTGATATCTGGTTTTTTTCCAGCAGAGACGGAAGAGGTGATAACCAAGTGTCCGAAGAGAGGAGGCAGGATGAAGACACGGGACCAAAACCAATGCTGCCATACTCCTCCATGTTTATACTGTCCCCTACGAATCCGTAAGTTCGATCGTTGAAGATTAAGCTAGAGAATATACGAAAAACGTTGCACTCGATTACGAGTAACGAGAATCCCTTTACTCGCAGCGTAAGAAGAGCCGCCCACTGGGTCGTGAACCTTCGGTACTTTGACTTCTTCATAATGGTGGTGATATCGCTGTCGAGTATCGCGCTGGCCGCCGAGGATCCAGTTGCGGAGAACGCGCCGAGGAACAAGATCCTCAACTACTTCGATTACGCGTTCACCGGCGTCTTCACCATCGAGATGGTGCTGAAGATCATCGACCTCGGCATCATACTGCATCCGGGCTCGTATCTGCGCGAGTTTTGGAACATTATGGACGCGGTCGTAGTGATATGCGCCATGGTGTCGTTCGCTTTCGACATGACCGGCAGCTCGGCCGGCCAGAACCTCTCGACTATAAAGTCGCTGCGAGTGCTGCGAGTGCTCAGACCACTTAAGACGATAAAGCGCGTGCCGAAGCTCAAGGCGGTGTTCGACTGCGTGGTGAACAGTCTCAAGAATGTCATTAACATTCTTATAGTGTACATATTGTTTCAATTCATATTCGCTGTGATCGCGGTGCAGCTGTTCAACGGCAAATTCTTCTTCTGCACCGACGAGAGCAAGTATACGAAAGAGGATTGCCAGTGAGTATATTATTCATTATCCTATATATATATATATATATATTTTACTCGTTTTATCTATCGAGATAAGTGTTTTGAAAAATATTTAAATAAATATATATTGATGAAATAAATATAATGATTGAAACCAAGGAACTAATTTTGCTTTCGCGACATAGTGGTCAATTCTTCGTTTTCGAAGAGGGTAACCTGCTGCCGGAGCTCAGGAACCGGACCTGGCAACCCCAGTCCTTTCATTACGACAACGTGATGGTGGCCATGCTGACGCTGTTCGCCGTCCAGACCGGCGAAGGCTGGCCGCAAATTCTACAGAACTCGATGGCGGCCACGCACTTGGACGAGGGCCCCATCCAAAACTTTCGCATTGAGATGTCCATTTTTTACATCGTTTACTTCATCGTGTTTCCGTTCTTCTTCGTCAACATCTTCGTGGCCTTGATTATCATCACGTTTCAGGAGCAGGGAGAGGCTGAATTGCAGGACGGTGAAATTGATAAGAATCAGGTGATGTCGAATTCATTTGTCGAAATTATATTCCGTGTTCTCTTATCGAAACGATATAAAAACTTGGGTAAATTTGCAGCAACGCGGAGGTCATTCTATCATTAAAATTATATAAAATTATTATTAATAATATAAAAATAGTCCTATATTTTCTAATTTTTTCAATTCCAAATTTTTTTTCCAAGACATAAAAATTATTTTTTAATTTTTTAATATAATTTTTCATTTATTTCAATTTTTTTTTCGTCGCAATTTTTAAAGTTAAAGTTGTGGCATAAAAACTTTTAATTTACCTTTTTATTTGTTTCGAACGGTAATAATTTTCTTGTTAATCTTTCAGAAATCTTGTATAGACTTTACAATACAAGCTCGCCCGCTCGAGAGGTACATGCCGAAGGAACGGAATAGCGTAAAGTACAAAATCTGGAGGATAGTCGTATCTACACCATTTGAATATTTTATCATGATGCTCATCGTACTGAATACATTACTACTTATGATGAAGGTAAGTGTCACGTAATCTTCCTCGTGCATTGAAAATTCTCGAGAGAGAATAATCGTTAATCAAATTACAAATATTTCTTCCCGATTAGCTCCGAAAATATAGAAAACGCGGGTAATGAAAGAAGAAAAAGTCCTGAAATACGCATCCCTTCTACGAGTAAAATTGAAAACAAAAATTGTGTTCACTATTTCTTTAAAAATTCTTTTGAATACAAGTCAAATCAGTTGAAAAGAATTTTTATAAATTTTCAGACGAATCTTTGTTTTCGATTTCTCACATGTCGCGGCTCCAAATAAGAAAGAGAGACATAAATGTAAATTATTATTATTTTTCAGCATGTATATATCGATGGAGAGCACATTTTCTTTATTTTCTATTTAAAATATAGATAATATTCTTGCATGTAGAAAAATATTTTTTTACAATTAAACACGAAGTAACGGTATATCGAAAATATTTAATTTAAGGATCAAAAGTTTGGCGCACTTAGATCTCAATATTGCTGGAGCTGCGACGTATATCGTCTAAATTGATCTTTGAGTCCTACGATATTTATCGTTCCCAATTTCTCTTCAATGTCCGCGCGTTCTTTAACCCATTAGACCTATTGGCAACTTTAACCAATCGACAAACAGTATCTTGTTATAATAACGAAGATACGCGAGATAAACGAGAATATGTCGCGTCTAAGCGCAGCGTACGTAATACCGAATGACTGTAACCATATTTATATATCACGTTATATATATATACGTACGAGGACATTGTTGTTCTTGCCTGCTGAACCTTTTCTAATCGTTTTCTTTGTATAACTGTATCACCCTTGTATTTTATCAATACGTGTACACAGCTATGTCAAATTTTATCTTATCCCGTTCTTTGAATCTGCCCCCGCAAATTTCTCCCTTTCTAGGTATATATTGTCCGTGTCACCTTTGCACTTTATTTCTCTAATTTATTTGCGTTTCTGATAATCGACTAACGATTAATATTATTCTTTTTTTTTTACAGTAATTAATTAGCCGTATATTTAATTTAATCATTATATATTCTGTGTGTTTATTTTAATTAACATCTCAGTATATTTTTAACAAATTTAACAAAGCCAGTATTTTTAGTATTTATAGACTTTCAAAGTATTAAGCGAACGTTCGTAAAACCTTACTTATATTTAACATAAAAATTACAAACCAAAATATAGTAGTACATCAATCTATATATAATCATTTTTATTCTCGTCTTAATACTTCGAGAGTCAATAAGATGAAATATAAAATAGAATATTTTCTTTATTTTAATTTAGTTACTTTTTATTTTAATTTTGCCGTATATTCTTGTATTTGTTATTCTTATCCTAAAATCTTCGATTTCTGATCCCTCGTTATACCAATTGCATGGCTGCCGCTGTGTCTTCGTTTTCGAAGTAGATATATTCGAAAACGTGCAAAGGAAACACATTTTTGAACATCAATGTGATATCCACTACGACATACACACAGATACTAACACAACGTGCGTTCGACTCTTGCGTTCGCCTTGCTAATACCATGTTTTAACTGGTAGCGAGGTGAGGCGTATTGCACCTCGACTCGTCCTCGCTTGATATAACTGAGATCAGGGTGCCCGAAGATATTGCACCTTCATGGCCTTCTACAAGTCCTGCACGCGAGCCCACACGTTGTTCGAAAATACTCTTTTAACTTCCTTGACTCCTTTTATATATCTCTCGCAATAATCGCAGATTTTCAAGTAACTTTGAAATTTATTACACAAGTAATGAAATTTTTAGAGCAAAATAAGAGTAATGCAAAAGTTTAGCATTATTCAGAAATTAATTAATTATTTCACATTATATATTCAGACATTTATGTTTCATAAAATTTCATTAGAAAATATAATTGATAGTAGTTTTATTATAATTTTCAATAATACAAGAATAATAGTTATAATTTGTTAATAATTTTATGAAAATTAAAATAATTAAAAAAAATGTTTATAGTAATTTTGAATAATTTAGTAAGAGAACTGTTAATTTTATTTTTAGGAAAACCTTTTACATGTTCCATTTATATTGCTCCAAATTTTGTCTCAACTGATTTTGAATAATGGATGAATGAATCTAGATATTCGGATTCCAAATTAATTAGGTTCTAAATAAAAAATTGGTTCACTGAATCTTATAATCTTCAACTTATTTGATTTATATATTGAGAGCCGATAAAAATATTTATTTCTGAGTTTATTTGATTAGATCACTTCTACTACATAAATAGCAAGTGTTATATTTTTGTCCCCGAAATTTTTAATTTCATTCACTTTCCGATTCTATTCATTCATTGTTGTTATAAACGAGAGAGAAGTAATCGGATTCGTGCAAACTTTCAATCGAATTCCAAACCCGACTGGTTCCTTCGTTTGCCTCCCAATTCCTTTGACTTGTACAGTTTAAGAACGCACGAGATAGATTACCTACCTTTATTTCTTTTTCAAACGAGACCACAGCTTGAACCCGGACTCGTTGAATTAGAGATTATACACACACACACACATACATATGCTGATTCAAATTCGCACAGCGCCCGAATATATGATTTGTGGTCGGACTTGTTTGCCTGAGAAAGAAAGACAAGAAAAACATGGAATGTTCAGATCACTTGCACACGCACTGCACCAGATCTTGAAAGCACATACCAAGTGGGATACTATGTGTTCACATTGCTCGATACGCTCGCACGAACGAGGAGGAACAATCTTTCAAATCATTGCTGCTTTGAAATTATATTGTAAAATTTTGGAATTTGTGAAAAAATTTTTCGGAAAGAAAGTAGTGATAAAAAAAATATTTGCATTTTTTATCCGATATTTCATATCTAGAATATCTAGAAATTTCTTCACCTCCAAAAGTCTTCCCGTTCGAATAGCGACCAATGTACAATGTATATACATGTTCACGCACTTCTTCTCACACACGTGCAAAACTGCGTGTCGCATGCTGGTTGCCACCGAAACAAACTATCGACCGATTTTAGAAGTTAAACTAAAACCAGCAACAACAATTAGATATCCACTGAATGTGTGTGTGTTTTACAGCGACAGGAAACACACTTTGCACGGGGCGTCCGCACGTTTTACCTATTCCTTTTTCCTTCCCTGTAAAAAAAAAAATATATAAACAAGGAAAAGACACAGATTGCAAAAAAGATGTGAGCACTTCGAGAAACGAAGTTTCGTAATTCCTGACGATCCCTTCGTTAATTGAATTGCACTCTTTTTGTGTTTCCGGAAGTTTATTTACTTTAAGTACCTTTGTTTGGTTGTTTCTCTTACGTTTCCTTCGATCGTTTCTCTTTTTCTTGTCACAATCTTTATCAGTTTCGCGGCTAGTTTTTTAGACACTTAGACTCGTATATATCCATCTTCTGGTCCAGACTCCGTAGAAGCTGATGACAAGAAGAAAATTAATTCCAAGCGATATAGATGAAGGATATTATAAAAAGATGATCAAAGCCCACATGTTTTTTTGAAATTAATAATAATTAGATTTTTTCTCAAATTTATTGATATATTATAGTATATATTATTATGTTACGAATTATAACATTTAAAGAATTTTTATAAGTCTTTTTTATGCGTTTCATTATTTGCTTAAAATAACTGGTGGAAAGAGAGAAAAATTTGTTTGAAAATATTTGTGTACAATATTAAACTGAAATTAATGAATATTAAATTGAAATTAATAATAATTAGATTTTTACTCTAATTTTTCTCAAATTTATTGATATATCATAGTATATATTATTATGTTACGAATTATAACATTTAAAGAATTTTTATAAGTCTTTTTTATGCGTTTCATTATTTGCTTAAAATAACTTGTGGAAAGAGAGAAAAATTTGTCTGAAAATATTTGTGTACAATATTAAACTATTTTCTTCTTGTCGCTGCTTCCGGCAGTGTCCTTCAGGAAATCCCCAATATACAATCCATTAATATCAATTAAGACCAGAAGACTAATCAGTCATCAATTATATACCAGTATGTGATTGCAAAATATCTCTATCTGTTAATCAATTGAAGATATGTGTAGCAGATAATGGTACTGGTATATCCATGTACACACAATTGACATATGCACCACATATTCGTTGTAAGATCAGTCACCGGAATATAAGGAAACAAATGTTTCATTAAATATATATATATATATATATATATAGATATTTCCGCACACACCCAATAGGTTCGTACACGTATAAGTTAACGACGATATATATATGAAAAAGAGATCTCTTCCCTACATTATTCGGATATAAGATGACATACATCACTATATTTTTAACATATATATATATAATTCGCGCTTTATTTTACACGCCGTATGCGATTAAAACTGTGTACCAATTCGTGACACACGAATAAGCTGACTTATAACAGTGATTCGCGAATCAAGCGTAATATCATTTATTTATATTATCTCCGTTTTTTAATCTTATTCCAAAAAATTTTACTTTGACGTTACGTTCATTATTTGACGTTATCCTGCAATTTTTTACAGCTATGCAAATAAAATAGCATGAAGGGGGATGAGGCTGCTTCAGCAAGGTTTGAATTTCGCGTCGGAATTATTTCACGAGAAAATGAAAATTCTTATACATAAATTTGATTAATTAAGTCTAAAGACACAAACAATTCCAAAACGCATACTTTAGTTTGACTAACACGTTAATCTTGCTGATGCAAGTTTTATCTCATTATTAAGGTATCTATTGTGCAGCACAGAATGTTCATGTATCGGTGCACAGAGTTTCGGCGTTTAAGAAAAAAAAATAGAAAAAACGGAGCTATTAACCTCGAAAGAAAAAAGAAAAACAAAATTCGTCCACACGAATCATGCAATTTTATAAGCTTGTGCGTACGTATGTCTGTTTGTCGGTCGTGTATTTGTCAGTGTATGCATTGCAGTTTCATCAACAAAGCGAAATGTTCAAGAACATACTGAAGTACATGAACATGTGCTTCACGGGGCTGTTTACTATCGAGTGCATAATGAAGATCGCCGCATTCGGCGTGAAGGTAGGCTCCACATACTACCGAAAATCCTCTCTCATCGAATCTCTCTTAGTATATTTCGAATAAAGCGAGATTCATAATTCGAGACTCTCGCTAGGTCGAGTCGCGCGAAAAATGGCTCCTCGTGATCGTTTCCCGAAATAAAAAGCCTGAGACAATTTACAAGTCTCCCATCATTGTTGGAATAATTAACAATTGTTATTATCAATGCAACACACGTAATTATTTTTAATTAAAATTTAAAATAATTTAGCAACAAATATTATATATATATTAAAAATATGTATTTTGATTAATTTATATCAGAATAGAATATAAAAAACAATACAAAGAATAATAAATTAATGTTAAATATAATTATAAGCATGTTATGATTGGTATAAAAAAATCGTGAGATGGAAAGGAAATGTCACGAGGGTTGATTTTCGCGTCGCCCGGTAAGTGCAGCTTATTAGAAAGTAATTAGAGCGTTTCTCCGCGAGTACCGATGTATAGTAAAAATACAAATATCTCCAATACTCTCGGTACTCCGGAGATATTCCATATACTTTCTATTCTCTCGCGCGTGTACAAGTATATAGTATATACTATTTAGTGAACTTTCTGTGCGCAGGGCTGAACAAGCGCTAGATGCTGTCGGAGTAGTTGTAGCGTTTCCATTTCTCGATATACCTCGTACGAACATATATAGATATGTATCTCGATAGAACTAGAATGGTATCTTTTTTTTTTTCATTGGTGCTCTTCTATATGTAAAGATATAGCTGCAAGATCCTAGTTAGAATTTCTTTTTATTACACGTACTCTTTCGTTGTTCTGTCTTTGGGACCAATAAAATGAACTCTACAAGTACTTTAGTATGCAAAAAATGCTCAGCTCTGTACACGTAATCGAGCTTCAGGGGCAAATTTGGGAAGATAGATTTAAAGTATTTCAACTTTCATTTTCATCTCCATTTGATTCTGAATTTTTTCATGCAAAATTTAGTGCTAATCATGCGTGAAAGTGACTTTTTTTATTATAGTATTTTCATCTTTATTTGCGTATTTTTTTGTACTCGTTTCTCATTTGTTATTTACCATGACTATTTGAACATTGATTTTTAAAAATTTTGAATTTTATATAAGGAAGATTGTAATTAAGCGTATGCAATTAATAATTGGAAGAGAATTTGATAAACACAAAATAATTCAGAATTAAATACGAACATTTATTATTAAATGCTGTATAAAATGAAGTAAAGATACATAAATCTTCCCAGATTTTCTAAATCCATAAATTACACGAAACATGAAGATAACGGGATCAAATGATTGATTATAAATTTAACATTATGGTTTTGATTTTTGTAAGCAATGTTAATTTGCATTTTACGATACTATAATCTTATCTATTTCACTCATCTATTTTATCCCGTTATCACGATAGATAATTACACTGACTTCATACATACAAGATACTGAACAAATTTGGACTATGTTTGAATATTTGTAAAATATATACGTATAGATATTCGATCGTAATATTAAACTCTAGAGCGAGTCTACCTATATATTGTCAAAATGTAATATCTTATGTGTTATTTGTATATTGTATTTTACATTATTTTATTTAACACGAAACATTTAATGACAAAGTTGACAAGCACGCTCTTAGAGTTGGAATCGAAATGCAAATTTACACAAACATTCACACACACACACACAATTAACAATTACACGCTCACATATTCTCAGACATGAAGATTCATATGTCATATACATCTGGTACTCACGCGAACACGATCAATCGAGAACATAACTTTTACATCGGGTTATTTTTAGTTTGTCTGTCTTTCTCGCTCTTTCTCTCTATATCTGTCTCTCTATCTTTCTCTCACTCTTCTCTCTCTCTCTCTTTTTTTTTGTCTTCCTATGTATTCTGTTTTCGCGCTGGTTGTCTTGATTTTCCGAAAATATGTTGAAACCGGCAATCCAGAAACGGGCGGGGAAATAAATCCAAGAGGAAGTATCTCTCAAGTCTATCGAAGATAGGTGTATAGAAAGGAAGCTCCGTTTTTTGACATCCCTTGCATGTCTTGCCCGTCGTCTTGCATCCGCACGCAATCACTTGCACGGTCTGACATGTTTTTGATCCTCGCATGCGTACATCACGATTACTATTGACTGTGTTTTTGTCGGCCGAATAGTGTCGATGACGGTGACGAGAATGATGATGATGATGATGATGATGATAATGATGATGATGATGATGATAATGATGATGATGATGATAATGATGATAACGATGATGATAATGATGATGATGATAATGATGATGATGATAATGATGATGATGATGATGATTATGATGATGATGATGATGATCGTAAAGAATCTGTATACGATAATCATGACACAAGATTAAAGTCGAGGGAAGAGCAACCGCGAAAAGAATTCCTCGTTCCTATTCATCGCTCGCATGCCATCGCGTTGTGAGAAAGAATATACATTTCCTTCTCACACGAGCACACACGCAGCACACACTGAAAAATTGAACATCGTATACACACCGATCGATCGAAATTTATGTACACACATACGTGTCTCTTGAGAAATCACCCTGTGAGAGATTGGTTAGATTTGCTTGGTATCGTGGAAAAAGAAATGCTCTTTGATTAAAAGGAAGGAGGAAGAATCGAGAATTGAGTTGCAAAATTAATGTAATTAAAATAACAATGATATTTGATTAAAAACAATAATTTCTAAGGCGCCAGAAGAATAAATAATTAATGTATAAATTTGTAATTTGCTCGTTTTGATATAAAATATCATAAAGAATGTTGTGTCAAATAGCAGATAACGTAAATTAAAGAAAATTTGCTTTTGCAAATTTTTAAGATGCATTGCTGAAATTAATAATTAAAATACAAATATTTAATAAAAGTTTCAAGGAAAATTGGTAATAAAAATTCGAGAAATATCTTTTATCTCAAGGAAACATACTTCCTCATTTATTTTATGCAAAAAAATGTTTCTTCTATAAATCCAATATAGCAATTTTTTTCTGCCCGGACGAAAAATGGATGAAGCGAGCAATTAAGTACAGAGATTATTAATTAATAGGGGATGAAAAGATATAGAAAAATATATATATATATACATATGTGCGATATATATATGCAGGGCGCATAATGGAATGTATTAGAATCTGGGTTGTGTTACGTCTGTGTGTTGGGTGTATTTTGTAGTATCACGAAGCGCCGCCATTTTTCTTGGACTTCTTGACCATCGTGAACTTCGTCGTCACCTTCCTTTTCCTCGTTGAGTGCATCCTTAAACTCATCGCCTTCGGATGCCAGGTATAAACAAGCCTCTTAAATCGCTCTAACTTCACAACTCTCACTCGATTTACACCGCAATTATACCACTGTAAACTCCACCGAGACTGATATCACTCATCGATCATCATTGATTGCGTGATTTTACCGGTCGGAGGATTCACGTGAAGAAAGTGGGGATTTCGAAAACTGGCGAGAGGAACGGAAGGGAACACACCGAGACATCGCGAAACTGCTTGTCGCGAATAGAAAATAGAAATATGTTACGATTCGATTTAAAGTTTTTTGCTACGCCAGATTTTTAGACAAATCTGTTTGGTTATTCAAGAAGTAGGAATTGCCAGAAAACAGGATTTCGCCATTTATAAAACTTTACATAATTTGATACTTTTAAAGATCTCTCTGTTAAATATCAAATTAACTTTGATAAAAATATTCAAATAACGATTAAGATAATTTATTATTAATAGCAGTATACATTTATTAAGCGATTCTTCCTTTTTTACAATTAAATCAAAATTAAATAATTAATTGCTCTAAAGGAACAAATAGATAAAACAATTCGATTTCTTTATTTAATTATATAAGCCAATTTTTCAATAAATTTTTTTTATAAAAATGATGATCACCAAAGAATATTTAATGCAGTTAAACGGTTTTTATTAAACAGTTTAATAAAAACAGATGGTCACACACAAATAAATTTTTGTCAAAGAGAAAGTATTTCAAAGTGAAAATAAAAAAGTAAATCTTTTAACATAAATTTTACACAGAATTTTATACCTGGTAGAAATTAAATAACTAATTAGATATGTGATATTGTTTTTTTTATATATAATATTGCGTAATATCAAATGACGAATCCTTTTTTCTGGTTCAAAGTAGAAAAATGTTGAACAATGTAATTAAATTCGCGTGTCTCTATCTATCTCTCTCTCTCTATCTCTCTCTCTAGTTTGCTTGCTATTACCGGCATGCTCCCGTAGATATTTTTCTAGAAGAGATCCCGTCACTTGTACTCCAGCCGATTATCGATCACCAAAGAGTATAACATGGGTAAAATGCTTTAGAGAAAACTCTCGCGAGAGCAGATCTCTTCGTCTTCTCGTGTATTTGAAATCCATCTATGAACGTTTCAAGCTTAACATCAATGAACATTAATATCTTACTTACGAGTATAAAAGTGGAAAAAAAGTAGAAGAAATTCATCTCTCATAGTACAAATTATCGTAAAAATAATTTAATATATTTATTTTCCGTTATTTAATTAATTAAATCAATAAAGAAATAAAAATATATGCAACTTAATATTTATTAGAGTGTAAGTTCTCATTTCTAAAAATAAGTTACTTCATCACTTTTAATGACAATTTAAAATTGCACGGTAAAATTAACAGACCATTTATTTAACTGTGCGATTAAATAACAATAATTCTGTTTAAAAATTATTCTACGTTACGAAGAGATTTGTTCAACAATCATTACAACATCCAGAAGCACCATCCAGAGAAGCACACGTTACAGAGTTTCGGTCATAGAAAAATATTACATTCATATAGGAGTGCTCACAAACAAACAAACATGCACACAACACACGTACACAGGCACTTACACATATACATACACACTAAATAGCGTGTACATTCACAAAAGAAGCAGACTGTGCCATACTTTTCTTGTATTCTGGAGTCGGAAGTCTTGTAGTTTCTTCTTTAGTTGTAGCTACGCAAACATATCTCACAAACACCCGAGCTACGCCCAAGTTCGTTTAATAAATCACCGAGACATGTAAATGATTTGTCAAGATTATTTGCTTGCTGTGGATATTTACGTAGATCAAGACACAGTGAAGATAATTAAAAAAGAGCAAGAATCATAGATTATTTATTGATAATATGGGAATTTTTGTCATTTATTTTATTGTGTGTTATTTATTTTTAATTTCTTATTTAAGCTCTTACTTTTCTTACTTCTCTAAGCAATTAAAAGCGCAAGACTGATTGGAAAAAGCGTCTTAGCAAGGTAAGCAATAACGCAATTATCTTAATGGTACAGATTTTTGAAGAAACATTTTTATGAAATATTAACACAATTCTCTGGAAAAATATTTCAACATCTTGTACATATTTTCAGTTGCATACATATGTACGTATATATATGTGTAAAATTCTGAAAACGTAATATTTAAAAAACGTATATTATTAAATTGATATAATAATATTAAAAATTCTTCGCTGTAGTTCGCTCAATTTTTAATCGTTACTCTTCATGGTGTCTTGATTCTGATTGCTCGTATATACAAAATCGTACATCCAATTATTAGAGCTCTAATATGCATCTGTCGAGATAGAAAATGTGTCGGAGCTGTTTAGCGAGCTTCGGGGTAGTAAACTCGAATATTGAATAGAAGCGAACGGAAGATCACTTTGCTAATCTATTTCTTTCGACTGTTCCCGCGAACAGAACTTCTTCAAGGACGCCTGGAACACCTTCGATTTCATCACGGTGATCGGCAGCATTGTGGACGCCCTCGTGATCGAGTTCGGGGTACGTAAAGAGCCGAAAAACGTAGTTTCAAAGAGATAGTATAAGTGTGTATAATCGCGTTCTAGCTACTATAACCCGTAATAGAACTCTTCCAGGTATAGGTATATATATGCACATATATATGCACATGTAATCGAAATCTCTCGGAAAATCCGAGGCTACGATGTGTGATGATTGCTTGCTTTGACGAAAAGTCATTCCGATAAAATTGCATGAAACATCAGCATTGATCCGGTAGATTGATACAAATAAAGGTGGTGATAGTGCAAACACAAATGACAAAGTAGTTGCATGAACAATTTTATATATTTGTGTGTCTGTATAGAATAAAAATTCTGTAATAGTAATTATAGAAAACTGTACTATGTTTGAAAATTTAGTGTTCACAAAAGGATCATTATTTTTACGTATGTTCACAAAGTTCATTATTTTCAAAATATTTAAAATATTGTCGGGTTAAAAATATGTATATGCACATATACAGAATTTAAAAGAATTATAAGTATTAAAAATATTTAATATTTAATATTAAATATTAAATATTTTAATCTTTGTTAAATATTATATTTATTACGAGCAACATTTCTTCTTGATGACGTAACGTCAAAACGCACTATGCCATCTCTGGAATTGTTTCAACGTACTAGATGAATTCTCATGTTTAAAGCGAATTGATTTGGAATGCGCTCTTGGTCGAAACACGCATCTATAATAGTGACCCTTAATCGCAGCAGTGTTGCTTGATGTGTACTTTATTAGTCTTTCGTTTAACTCTTTTGCTGCTTACTTAGATTCGTCGTGCAACCGTGTGATAAGCTAGAAGGTAAATTACGATAATTGAAGTGATACTTCTGATGTGTATCTTTTTAGCTTCGTGCTGCATTCATACGCTATATACATTACACTATACATTTCTACATTTGCACAGTATAGTAAAACAATAGGCTACTTACACATAAACATGATCCTGATACTAATCCTGTGTTCTCATAGATACATTCCCCTTTTATATCGATATTTTGTGACTAGATCAATCTGTAATTAGATTATTCGATGTCAGTTGTATAGCAGAAGAAAAAGCACAATATCATGTAGAACATTTATACACTTTCTTTCAAGTAATACAATAGCATTGAGTGTTTAAATTCTATCGACATAGAAATTACAATCTAGTCATATATACATATATGTATAGGAATAATTAAATTACAAATCAGAGAAAAAATATATAAATAAATAAAAGTGTCTTTTTTTATATTTATTCTGCTTGTGCTTGAAAAATATTTTTGATAAAAATATGTTTTAGAAATATGCAGGTAAGATGATAGATAGAATTATCGTAAAGTGAGTATCAATGAGTCCTGATATTAAAACAAACTGTGCTTATGATGAAATTCTTCCATCGTCAGTGTTCATTTGGCAATCATTAGTATTGTGTACTTATTGTAATTGCCAGAAGTTGAGCAATAAAAAGTTCAATATTTTAGAGATGAAATAATCTCGCACTCTCACATATTTCTGTAATAGGAGACGATTATGAGTGCGCTCCATGGTGGCCAACAAGTCAAAGACATGAAGGTATAAAATTACTATACAATTTTTACGTTGACGACGTAAGTTGGAAGCAGATATTACAAGTATCTATCAAAATTAATATCGAATATTATTCTCGAAATTTTATTTTTGTGTAGAAACCAAGAATCATAAAATGTGTATAAGTCTTTTCTTCTTCCTCGTAATTTAATTTTTTTCTCCAGCAAAAAAATTACAATTGTTTCTAACGTAGCTGTCTTTATACATTATCGTTTCCCGATATGTTAATTAGCAACAATTATGATAAACTTGGTTGAATAAGATTGACACGATTTTCTTTCCAATTATTTGCAGACAAAATGAAGAACTGGGTTTCGAAAATAGTGTATTTTACATTCTCTCGAGAATCCTTCTTATAAATCATTTTTAGATCAAGTCACTTTTATCCCGTTTACTTATCCTGTGCATGCACTTTTCTGAATACATAAATTCGTACATTTTACACTAACAGTCTCGTACATTTTACAACATTGACACCATCAATCCAGGTAATTGTCACACTACAAACTATACTTCAAAGGCATATGGATGCGGTGTCTAATTAATCTCGATTTCGATTTATTAAATCGTTTTTCTGACGCAAAAGTCTAATACAATTCTAAAGCAAAAGGGTTAAGGTAATTACGCTTTTATTTGCGTAATTACGTTAAAATTAAATAACTAAATAAATGATTAAATAACAAAAACAACTCAAATTATTTTTAAAGCAAAATATATAATATTTTACTAACATATTTTAAGTTGAAAAATTATCAATGTACATTAGAATTAACTCAACGGTTCTGATTTATAATGTTGAAACTTATGATATAAAAATTGATTAAATAACCATTTAAATAGACAATTCTAATTTTCAATAAAACGCCAATTTAACTTACTGACAACAAAAATACAAATCTATTGTTATGACAGTTAGTTGATTATATTATATTATATTACAAATAGATCTTCTTGTATAATAATATAATTTAATTATATTTATTAGAGAATAATATATTTTAATTAATCCTCGTTTCTTCTTTCGGCAGTGATCTTACATTCTTAAGACCTTTAGCCCCTCTTACCCAAAATTATATTGAAAAATTTATTACCTTATTTTTACATTGCGCAAAAATATTGTTTTATTCTAAAGCTTCGTTCGTGCATCGCCAAGGTAGAAAAGTGGACACGCCGAAAGGATCGATATCCTTCGACAGGTCATACGCAAACACCGAAAACGTTGCACGCGCGAAGCTCCGTTTTGGGATGCGATAAGAAGTCGGCAATTTCTGGGGTTAAAGTGCAATTTTCTCTGTTCCCTGCAGGAGAACTTTATCAATGTCGGCTTTCTAAGGCTCTTTCGTGCCGCCAGGCTGATCAAACTACTCAGGCAGGGTTATACGATACGAATTTTACTCTGGACCTTCGTACAATCCTTTAAAGTAAGCTCTGATTTTTATCATTGATTCACCGAGTCCTTTTATTTCTTGCACATTACGATAATTATTACTTTGATCTTTCAACACTTGTGTAATATTATTATTATTTAAATTTAGGGAATCATAATTTTTCATCACAATTTCTATAATTGTAATCTTAAAGATAATGAAAAGTTGTCTTCTTCCAGGCTCTGCCTTACGTTTGTCTCCTCATAGCAATGCTGTTCTTCATTTACGCGATCATCGGTATGCAGGTATGAATCTCCTTTGAATTCCTAAAAAGGTTCCTACGAATTCGCTCATTTAAACGCGCTTTTAAAAGGATGACGCACAGGAGAGTGCAGGACTGGAGAGTAATATAATTGTTCAGAAATTTAATTAAAGTTACATTCATAACGTATTATAGCGGAGATACATACAAATCTGATAATAACTATTCTAATATATTCTCTACGTGAAAGAAGAAAATATGTAGCACATTACTGAATTATTTGATTTTATTCATATTTTACAAAAGAGGCTTTCAAAACTTGTTATACGTCAAAATTTTATATGAAATAACTTTTTAATTAATTCAACAATCTGTACAATTGACCAATGATTTTCGGTGCCTCTATAAAACAAGAAATAATCACCGCAACGTAATTATCATCATATCGATCTCTATATATTTATTATCACTTTGAAAAAAAAATCGTTTATATATAACAATCGAGAGAGAAACGGAGTGTCGAAATAAGCTCGAGATAGTTTCTGGCACGCGCGAATTTTACAGATTAAGAATATTAAGCGACAGACAGCTGACAACTTGAAATTGTCCGTTGTCAGGTCTTTGGCAATATATCGAACGATCCGGAAACAGCGATCGATAAACACAACAACTTTCAATCCTTCTTCGCCGGTCTTATGTTGCTTTTCCGGTGAGTCGAGCAGCTAGATTGACTGCCGCTTTGACGGCGACGAGTTGAGATGACCTCCGGCCGATCAGCTGATCGGACCGGCCGATCCGACTGACGTTTTTCTTTCGTACGAAGATGTCACCTTTATTTTTCTCATCATGATTTTAAATTTAAAAAAACATTTTTCTCATTTAATTTTTCATTTATCCATTTTCCCTCTTTTTTTCTCTCTTTCTCTCTCTCTCTCTCTATCTCTTTATTTATATCTTAAAATACATCTTCGTACGAGAGAGAAACACTTTTGGGGCACACCTGATCGCGTCGTCGCGATCTTTCGTCACGATGCTTCGCGCATGCATCGCAGAAAAATCTCTATGACGTCACGGGAAATTAGCATGGACGATTTGTCTGTGTATCGATATACTATGTGTTGCAGAGAAGGAATTTTTTTAAATGTGCCTTTGATGTTGCGATCTCGTTTACGATAATTTATAATTAATTGTGGAAAATTGGCTTGCGCATACAAGATGTATCATTAATAATGCCCTTTTGTGGGGCGAGCGAAGCACCGTCAAAGATCTCGCGCGACTCAGATGTGAAGGAGGTCGTCGAATGTAGAACGAGAAGTTGAACGGAATATATAAAAAGTGTGATCGTCGTAAATTAACTTTACGGTAGCGTATGGTTTTGTTGGCATGAGCTGTAACGAGAGTAAGCTGCTCGACATGTTATATAATCTGTTGTGTGACTCACCCCAGTTAGTTACAATCCTATAGAGAAGTTTCCATATAGTGATGCCTGCGTTAGAGTCTTGAAGTTATGATTAAGACGGTGCTTGAGAGAATACGTCTCTTGTTACAAAAAAATAATTAGTTAATTTTAATCATATTGCAAATGTTTCAAATTGTCAACAAAAGATGGATTATCAAATTACTGAATCGCTAAAATGTAAAAAAATTTTGGCAAATTAAATCTTTGCTATAAAAGGATGTCAGTAAGTTAATCATTTATTACAAGACGGGACGCATAAATGATTCATATCTCGATTCTCTCGAGCACATCGTTTACTGATTGAAAGAAAAAGTATATAAGAGGTTGTAGTTAGAAAGTACAATATTGAATTATTATATAATACTCATTACATAATTATATAATACTCATTACACAAAACCGATTACACAAAACCGATCGAAGCGAACGAAAGATCGAAATAGTGGTCATCCAGTGAAAACGAAAACAGAGAACATTTCTCAGTTATCTTTATTCGAATTTTTATTAACTTAAAAGAATACATATTTGGTGACGCAAATTTGTAATGCTACTCGCGCCTTTTTGGCTGCCCTATTTTTTCTGTGGGTCTCAGGTATTCGGTAACATCGCGCTGCAAGCTGATTCTTCTATTACCAAGCACAACAATTTCCAAAGCTTCATACAAGGTCTGATGCTGCTTTTTCGGTAAGTAACACCACACCAGAAACATCTAGCTAACTGTTTAACCATTCAACTTGGCCACGCGAAACTGATCGATCGAGCTTTCACGCTCACCTTTTACCTGCGGCAAGCTACTTATCACGACTTTTTGTTACGATTTGCGAAAGTATAAATAAGCAGAAAACGACCAAAGTTTTCTTTGGAACAACGATCAAAATAGACTGTTCTTTGAAGACGTTTACGTGACAAGAATCTAATATTAATTCAGTCGTTTGTCAAGAAAGTGTAATCATGATACATTTTTTCATCGTCAATTATGGAAGAAAATTTCAAAGATTAATTTTTCTAATATATTTTTAATGTATAATAAATATATAAACAAAAAAATTTAATTACATCATAATTTAATTCAAAGGAAAAGAAGAGAAAAAAAGTTATCTATAAAATATAGTATAAATAATTTGCAATAAATATGAAATGGAATTTTCGGCAAATTTTGCCATTGTCACGCAGAACGTCAACAATTACCACGACGTCTGAAATCTTCTAATCGCTTAATTCATATTATTTCCGGATGTATGTTCACAGCAGGCCTTTTCGCTTCGATCCAACCACGTATATTATTATTACAAAGTTTTTAGCACACTAAATTGAGCACAAAAGCAGAATCAGGCTAAACGACACAGTATATTCCGAGCAAACAAAATAATACACAGCAGCCTCGTGTAGAATTGAGTTCGCCATCTTCAGTTCGCAGTTTATAGATCATCTTTGATGTTGCATCAACTGCCAGATTTCGTGCATGCCGCGCTTACGAAAGAAATGGGGGCTCAATTACTTGTTCCCCTCAGATAATCAAATCAAATTGCGCGAAAAATTCACGGACGACACTAATTTTAGAGCAAGTTCAACATAATGTTAATAATTAAAATTCTTATTTTTATCTTATATGTAGATATAGCTCTACATTTAGTGTATGTTTGAGTGTACTTAAAAACTGAGGAGATTATAGCAATTGCGCATTCAACGTACGCTGCTAAAAATGCAATGTTTTTGCCAGAGTATATTGCATGAATTTTCGCAAGCTCAATTTTTTCTGCCATTTGCAAAAAGACGTTGCATTAAAAATATAAACGTAGGGTTGTGATACTCTTGAGAACAAATTTCCACGAGACAAATCCATTAGCCATTAAAAATTTACTATATAGCAAAAGAGGTAGTAACTTTTTCTCAAAATGTGACTTTTTATATATTCCACGAAATTAGCGTCGAGAATTTTGCTCTACCTTAACGAATGAAAAAATTCAAATGAAAAAAATGGATTTGTACTCGCAATTAATTGCATCTTAGATAACAATACATCATCATAATATTTCTCAATAATCTCGTGTTAGACACTCATATCGTTGAGCGTTTAACTATTTGACTTAGAGTTGTGAAAGGTTTGCATGCGACAATAAAAGCGCGGCTTTGACGCAAGCGATGCACTAAATCGCTAAAGCGATATTGTGCTCAAGAATCGATCTTCCCAGGTGTGCTACGGGCGAAGCCTGGCCAAACATCATGCTGTCCTGCATAAAGGACCGTCCTTGCGACCCAAAGGCCGAGAAGGAAGAGCCTGACAGCTGCGGCTCCAACATCGCCTACGCTTACTTCGTGTCGTTCATCTTCTTCTGCTCGTTTCTCATGCTGAATCTCTTTGTCGCCGTCATCATGGACAACTTTGATTATCTCACCCGGGACTCGTCGATCCTGGGCGCCCATCATCTCGACGAATTCGTGCGGATCTGGGCCGAGTACGATCCGAATGCCACCGGCAAGATCCATTATACGGAAATGTACGACATGCTAAAGAACATGGATCCACCGTTGGGGTTTGGCAACAAGTGCCCGAATCGTCTCGCGTACAAAAAACTCATCAGGATGAATATGCCGGTGGACGGTGACGGCAAAGTCAACTTCACCACTACGCTGTTCGCTCTGATACGCGAAAACCTCAGCATAAAGATGCGATGCGGTGAATATCAAAATCATTACAAACTTCCAAAAATTATCAAAGATTAAAGAAACAAATTTATCGTTTATTATCCAAAATTCAAGTTTATTCTCCGAAAGAGAAATCATACTGTATAATATATTGATTTTTATTTCAGAAACGTCACAAAATAATATTTTTGTTCAATAGTTTCTTAGATAAAAATCATTATAAACTTCCAAAAATGACCAAAGATTGAAGAAAAAAATTAATCTTTTATTACCAAAAAATAAAGTTTATTCTCTTAAGAGAAATCACACTGTATAATATATTGATTTTTATTTCAGAAACGTCACAAAATAATATTTTTGTTCAATAGTTTCTTAGATAAAAATCATTATAAACTTCCAAAAATGACCAAAGATTGAAGAAAAAAATTAATCTTTTATTACCAAAAAATAAAGTTTATTCTCTCAAGAGAAATCACACTGTAAAATATATTGATTTTTATTTCAGAAACGTCACAAAATAATATTTTTGTTCAATAGTTTCTTAGATATTGTCATTTTGATTTCATAAAGATTTCAATGTTATTTTTCTGATTTGACAATTAATTGTGCGTTGATTAATTAATTTCGACTTTGCGTCTATAGCCGACGAAATGAATCAAGCTAATGAAGAACTGCGGGACACGATCAGAAGTATCTGGCCTCTGCAAGCGAAAAAAATGTTGGACCTTTTGATACCTAGGAATGAAGGTAAGATTCGCTCTTCTCTTCAAAGAGTCGTTGCATTTTGCAACACTTTATTGATGATCGCGCGATTTTTTTCCAGAATTGAGCAGAGACAAACTCACCGTGGGTAAGATATACGTCTGTCTTCTGATACTCGAAAGTTGGAGGTCGAAGTCAAAACCTGCCGAACAGGTGAGTCGAGCAAAATCTCAATATTTTTCGTACGAATAAGAATTTTAAGGATAGCTTCTTAAGTTTCGTTGAGATCCTTCAATTGCGATTATCTTGTTTGAATTTCTGACGTGGCTTTTCAGTATTAAACAAATTAATTTATTGAGAATAAATTTAACATAGAAATTGGTATATATTAATAATAAATATTTATTTAAAAAAAATCCTTTTTCTCTTTTGTGTGTTTTGTAAAGTTTTGTTATGGAAGAAACAAATTCGAAAATCAGAATTGAAGGTTTCGGTTGAGAATGAAATTTGAATGAATGTGTTTGCCGTTGGTTTCTTCGTGATAGGACATCATATACGCGCGAATGAAATCTCGAATAGAGAATTTTCCGTAATTTCATGTAATTTCCATAACTCGAAGGAGTTTAGTACCGTCACGAAACTCTTTCTCGATTATAGAGAAATATTTCTGACGTTCGAATTAATTTACAGATTTGTCAGAATTTGTCAAATCACATATATGAATCATAGCTTCGATGTCTAATAAATAAAATAAAAAGTTAATTACAAATTTATTAAGGCATTTTAAATACTAAATGTCTTTTTTTCACTTGTACTTTTATTTGATTTACGGGGCAATAAGTCAAACTGTTTAGTTGGTGACATAAAAAAGATGCAGTCTGTCTGTTTATTTAAATTAAATATGTCAATGTACGTAGAAATAGTTGGATGTAATTTGACTCGAATATTATCATTTGAAATTTGTGCAAGTAATTAATATAGATATCATCCATCATGTCTATTAATTACCGTTCATTTATAAATAATGTGCTAATATAAATTATTACTTAAAATTATACACACACACACATCGATGTTAGAACAAAAGTTAAATTCATATCTATATCAAAAAATCTCACGTTTTAACGATAATTTTAACGATAATTGATGGACTGATTGGATAGCAACATTTGTCTATCATAGATAGCTCTGAGATTTTTGAATGGATTTCAATTAGACTGTTAGATAACAAGACACGATTTGATTACTTTTTTTAATTAAAGATCAAAAGAACAAAATAATCATAATTTTTTTTTAGAAAACTTGAGTATAATTACTGATACTTAATTTACTGATTAAACTACTTTATCTTAAAAGTATTCGATCCGAAGGACTTTCACGTAACTTTCAATCATCTTCTTGTATTTTTCTCTTTATTTTCCAGAATGATAACGATCTTATCGATAACGATAATGCTGGGCAAAGTCCTGCAGCCCAGGCGGTAGTACTTACTTTTTCTCTTACTTACTTATTATCTTCTCTTAACATACACTGTTTCTTTTTTTCGGCTATATGTTTATGTTCGAATTCTAATCACACTATCCGTTTTGTGTTAAACGCGTACTGCAAAAGTATCTCACTCTTTTTATCCAATTTTATTCTAACATTTTTACAAATAAATAAATAAAAACATAATTGCGTAAAAGAAAAGAAAGAGTGAATCTTTTGCAGTAAACGCTTTTTTTTTGTAAAATAACACTTTTTATAATCAAAGTTTTTTCTACTTTATTCTTCATATATATTATCCAGAGGCACTATGCATGCAGAAAAGATGCATCACATATAAAATGTCCTACGTAATGCGAATTACTCAAAAAATGTATTAGAAAATGCAGAGAAAATATTAATAGAAGAAAGTAATTTAATTTCTCTCAACAACGTATTATAAACGAAAACTACTTGAAAAATATATATTATAATATCGCTTTCTTTCACATCTTATATAATACAATCCGTAAATGAAATCTTTATATTTCTAATTATAATACGGCAAGACCCTCTTGTGCCTCTGGTATATTTTTTCTACAATTAACATTCGGCACACAATTTTTCTTCTCACTCGTCACACGTGTACGATTACTTTGAATCTATCTTTCGTTTGTGTAAAGTAGCCTTTTATTTGTCACTAAAATGATCACTTCATACATACACACACGCATACACATGGGCGTAGCGGAACAATCATTATTATAGTAATCATAGTATATATTATTATAGTAATCTAAAATATCAAAATTCATTTAATAACTAATTCGCATGTAAATGTAAAATTCAGTTTCCTCTTTTCAACTTCAACGCGAACATCAATCTCGCAAAAGTGACATAAAGTTACGTATAATTGAGAGCAAATATTTAAAAATATAAAATGAAGGAAGCTCTTCATAAATTTTGAAATATAATCTCGCTAAATTGTATCTCCTAGCTTTTCTTTAAAAATCAATTCCAGGTGAAGATAGAAAATATACTTGGCTAAAAATCTATAAAAGAATCGAAAAATGATGATCATTCCGCATACGATGAAATAACATGGCAATACATATTTTATCTTACTTAGGCACTTATTATATTAGAAACGTAATATAATATTTAATAGATCTCTAATCAGGCTTACATAACGAATTAGTGTCTAGATTTGCGAAGAGGACTTTCCTTGTTTTCTAATCGCACGTTTCCTCTTATCACAAGCTAGTTTAGGATAACGTCGAAGAATAGCTCTCACTTGTGATCTATATATCACAAAGGGAAGACAAAAAATCGATCTCTTCTGTCTGATTTTCGGCGTGGTCCCCCATTCCCAACCCGGTGTGATATATACGATTGTAATACATTGTCAGAGTTGTTTTAGTCGTCGTGTTGTTGCCGACACGTGAGTAACACGTACGCACGTGTACACACGTGTAGATATATCGGCTCTTTGTCCTACAATGGCAATATGATATAGCTGTGTGTAAGTAAATTACTTCATAGAGCTCCGTTTCTCGCGCTTATTTAGAACGAAAAGTAGTAAAAAAAAAAAAAAGATGAGCCGATTAATCCTCGAGCGTAAATATTATATATATATATAGTTCGCCTTTTGCCTCAATCTTTACGACAATCTACGCCTCTCTTTCTTTCTCTCTTTTAGATATATTTATACACTCCTTTCTTGCCAAGCGAGCCATTTCTAGATTAATTGAACATAATAGAGCAGCCGATCCTAGATCGTAGAAAGTTCCTTTTCATTCTGCCGAATTGTCATTTTGCTCGCGAGCGTTTGATAAACTTTCTTCTTCTTTATTTAGTTTAATGCGAATCCTTCAAAGTAGTAAAAGTTGGAGTTATATTGCTCCAAGCGATTTAACTTCGCGCTCAAGTGGTTTAAATCCTCAGATAAATATGTTAGAGGATAATGCAATAGAATTTTCTAATAATACAAATTTATCAACTACGTATTAGAAAAATTATTAGAGAAATCAAATAAATACTTGTCATTTGAAAATTATTTTTTATTATTAGAAAATCATTGCATTTGTATCATTTATATGGGGATATCGATCGCTTCGCTTGATTCTTAATAAGAAAATAGATTTAAGAATCATCTAATATCTGAGCAAATAATGATAATCTGAGACTGAAAAAAATGGTGATTGATTACTTACTTGGAAGGATATTAGATAATCTTGAGAAATCTTTTTCTTTCATCCGCGATGCAAAAATCAATGCAGCGAAATTGATGATGACGATCCTGCTAGCTAATGCTGATCCTTTTTCTCTTGTTTCTTATACGAGTTTGATATTCGCAATAGTGTAGAGAAGATTATAGGCACTTTTTAACCAGCAGATTAGTAGACTCGTAGTCTTACCCAATTTATCCGATCGCTTTTCTACTAGAAAACAATTTTCCGCTTTTTTTACTAGAACAATTCTCTGCTCTTTCTCAATTACATGTCACATTATTGGACACTCTCTATAACGTGTACATGCACGCTTTAACTTATTGACACATTTTGGTATATATACAAGATAAATTTGTCTCAATAATTATAACATAATAAATTACAAATCTTTTTTATAGTGTGATAATACCTATAATTTTTTAAATTCAATAAATAAGCTATCTCGAATCAATCTCTAACGAAATTACGTTTTCAAGATGTTTGCGAAGAAGATAAGAAGTAACGATATTGATAATCACTTTCTCTCGTGACAAGCAATTTGTAGCTCGATAGTTGAAAAAAAGATTTATTCACATTTGTTGCATTTTAAGTATCTATCGATAGATACAGCTCCCGTTTTACAGATTTAGTAAGCACTTAACATAATTCACCGACGTATAAAGGATGTCCCAAAAATAGTTGTTTTAACAGTAATATTTTTGTTCGATTTTTATAAAATATTCGAAGAGAACGAAAAAAGACATAATATTTTCGAATTCTATGTCAGTGATTTTGAGATATCTCATAGAACGGCATGTTCCAGATTCCTTAACCCTGGAATATACCTTTTACTCAAGCCCGTTTCTTGCATACCAAGCAGCAGAATTTCGATTTTGCCCACGATTATTTGGCATATTTGTATGGTCTTTGTGGAGTGAACTGTTCGTGTTCTACCTTGCATACATAAATTATTTGCAATAATTCACGAAACCGTTGTTACATACGAAAATTATCGTATATCTCTAATTAAGTCTAATTAACAGAGAGAGAAAAATAATAATAATTCACAGCTTTGGTAGAACATTGAGATTTCACTCGTTTTGCATGCTTAATGATAATTGCATTTTTGCAGTACTGTTACAATTTCTTAAACGATTATTCTCGCGTCTACTTATACTTAACGCATTTGTGTTCACTTGTAACATTTTTGTACTTGAGGAAGAAGGGAAATTTTCTTTTTTTTTGTATATAATAATACGTAATTTCAATCAACATATACAGGCTTTGCGATGCAATACCGTTTTTACGCTATTCTATCTTTGCCATTTTTTATATCACACATACGTTCTCTCGAGCGTCAACTCAATATAATCTGAGATGAAAAAAAATCCATATAAAAAAAACCGACACAAATAAACGCACCATCACGACATGCCTTTTTTCTAGCATGGCCGCCTCTTTATTCTAAAAATTCTTTCTCACCGTTTTTTACACTATTAATTCTCGACTTTGAATGCATCCGATCTTTATAAGCGTTTCGCATTCTACCACAATTTTTCGAGAGACCATCGACGAGAGGTAATACTAAAGAAAAAGCCTGTATGTGCCTGTACATATAATTTACTTATATGCGGAGGATACAAAAAAAATGAGAGGATAAAAGCGCAAAAAATAAAAAAGAAAAAAAAAAAAGAAATTGTCGATGAATCGAAAAATCGAGCTCCCTGTCGATCAGCTCTGATAGCTGGTGTGCTTTCGCACGTTTCGCAATTTAGCAATCGGCCTTCTTCAACTGCCTGCTGGACATTTCGGCGGTAAATCACATCGGAAATAATCACGGAGCCGGAAGTAGGGCGAACAGCCTCGAACCGGTGGTGCGACCGGCCAAGGAAGTGAAGCACGACCGGCACAAAGATCAAGAAGACGAGGAGGATGGAGCCCTTGGCGTCCTCGCAGCCGCCGCGCACAGGCGTCAGCATAGCATCAGGTATTTCAATTATTTTATTTCAGAAAAATCACTTGTGGACATTTTTACTCTTAATATTTTATTTCAATTTATATTATATTTATATTTATTATATATATATATATATATATATATATATATATATAGACCTATATATATATATATAGAGAGATAGATATATTTATATATATATATATATTTAGATTATAGATATCTAGATATATATCTCTATATATATCTCTCTTATCATCTCTTTATCTCTCTCTCTTTCTCTCTTTCTCTCTTTCTATCTTTCTCTTTCTCTCTATCTATCTTCTCTCTTCTCTCTCTCTCTCTATCTATCTCTCTTTCTCTCTTTCTCTTTCTCTATTTCTATCTCTCTCTCTCTCTTTCTCTCTTTTCTCTCTTTATTATTCTCTTTTCTCTTTGATCTCTTATTTGTAAAGTAAAGAAACAATTAAAATATCTTTAGGCTTTCCAATTGTAAGATCTAGGCAGAATGATTTGCAAATTTTCTTTAAAATCAGTAGACGTAAATCTGAAAACAATATTAATGATTTGACATAATACAATACACGTGTTTGACATAATAATTGAATTATTACGATATGACGGTTGTTCTGATTTCAGAAATAAAAAGGTGAACTGGAAGATGTCTCGCCAATACGATATACTAGGCAGCAGCGGAGAGAGTAGCCAGGGAGGGGGTGGGTCTGGGGTTGTACTCGTAGTTAATGGCGAGGATCGCGCCCCCGAGCTAGAGCCATTGCTGGCCGAGGTGTCCTCCCAGCGGGATGATCAAAACAACTACTACCATCACCATCACGACCAATACTACTACGATACCGACAATGATCAATACTATGACCACCACCAATACTACCACCACCACCATCACCATCATGATCATCACGACCACCGACCACCCTCGTACTACCAACACCAGAACACCTACGTACCTCGTTCCTCGATCCGTTACCACAAGGTGTCGGCTCGATCCAAACTCAAAAAGAAACTTGATTTTCCTCGATTTTGGAAAGTGTCCTCTCCACCCTTTGACCCCACCGGAAATAGATCGCGATAGAGAGCCGGACAAATCGCGATCTAATTGATAAACGTGTATAAGATATGTTTAAGCTGTGTTTTTTCGTAGCAATTGCAAGATGTTTCTCTATTTCAAAATTTCTTTTATTGCTCTTCTTCAAACATTTATTTCGAGACTTTATATATAATCTTGCGTTTTAATTTAGAAATTGGTAAATGTAATAATGTCGGTTTTTATTCACTTCAAAAAATTAAAATTACAAATATGTATTTGGTAAAAACTATAAGTTTATATATATATATAATTGTAAATAGATTTTTATTCTTAAAAATTTTTTTAATATTCATCGATATCGATGTATTTGTTATTAATAAAATAAGAAGAGTTTTTTATTTTTTTAACACTCCAAAGAAATTTCAAAAAATTATCGATAAAAATTTATCGAAATTTATAGAAACATCCTGCAAATAGATTACATAGATCGTTCTATCCTAAAGACAATTCTAGATTAGGATTATTCTTTCTTATCGCGAATTCATTCTATTAGATTGATCCAAATTAGGATTCTTAGTATTAATTGTGTCATCTAAAGTATTTTTTAGAGGATGTGATTTCCTATAAGAAAAAAAAAGAATATTTAGTAACATCTAGATGAGTGAAATGCTTTTAGATAAAATCGTTAGAACAAAATTAGAAATGTTTAAATTTCCGTTAGATAAATTGCAAAATATCTACATTCAGATTAGATTAGAATGAATCGTCTTAGATAAGTCGATCGACGTTCTCCACTGACCCAATTTGTAATTTTTCCGATCCTTAAAAAAAAACCCGCGAAATATCGAAAAGTATTGCGCGTGATGTCGTGATCCTTGGCATTCAAGATCGATTCGCAGTGAAATGAGTCAATGTCTGATCGGTCGCGTACTCTTGTTGTGTGCTAATTATCTTAAGAGCTTTTCTATGCTTTTTCACGAACTCGAGAAAAAAAATGGTCGAATCAATCTTGATCCCGTTTGAGTGTGTTAGTGTTCCTGTAAATAAGACGACACTCTAGAGCGCAAAAATCGTCACATACAATAGAAGAATAGTCATCCGAACGCTCTTTTTTATAGTAACTTCTCGTGTCGATGCATAGAACAGTTTCCACCCCTTGTCCCTTGCTGCTTTCGGCATTAGGATTATCGTTGGAGCAACGAAGCAGTCGATATAGAACAAAATCTCGCATGACTGTCTCGTTCTCCTCATCTGTCATGTGTCGTTTATCTCTTGATTCTTTGTACTCACGTCCCGGTAAGTAAGACACAACCCGTGAGGCAAGTCTCTCCTGTCTCTCGAAGGTAATAGATATCTTCCTCTCTTCGATCGAGCAATCGGAATTTTTTATCACGACAAGCATGTGCATGAACGAAACTTTTCTAACTGCATGCCGTTTAACACACACGTATACTTGTGTATGTATCTCTGTGTGTGTGTAAACTCTCTAATCTTTCTTCCGCCTTATTAATTTCTCCTATAATTTCTGCGAAGCTAAATCTATCTTTGTTAGTGACTAAAACGTACGCTGAAAACTGAAGCACGTGAAATCAAGACTGTTGTCTCGCGCATTTTTTTTTCTTGTAAAATTAATCGGTACAATTTCGATAGAGCAAGATGCGATATAAAATTAGTAGCTAGCATAAAATTTCAATTGCTGAAATATTTTTAGCAGGTAATTCTGCAAAATTCTAGTTCTGAAAATAAGATAATCTGAAAGAGAGAGCTGGATTCGAACGTGCGTCTGTTTTCGAATTTCGGAGACGAAAGGCGTCTCGAGTTACGATAGCTTCTTGTTCGGAGCGCGCGCGAATCGGCAACGATATTGCTAATAAAGACAAAGAACCGGCAACACCCTGACTACCCCTTCGATTTTCCCGACCCAGCTCTGAACCGTGCGAGCAACCTACTAAGTCGCAAGTCTGTTCTCGTTTAGGAGCTGCAGGACGTAGTACCGTCCGACTCACGTGCCGGTAGCCTTGAGAGTCTCACGCATCCTGGCGACAGGATTCTTCGTCCTCATCATCCCTCAGCGCCTCCCCCTAGACGTTCCCGATCGCCAAGCATAAGGTATTGGATCGACAAAATTAATTATATATTTATTTTTAAAATTATTTAAAAAATTAATTATATATTTATTTATAAAATTATTTATAAAATTATTTATAAAAATTTATTATATATTTATTTATAAAATTATTTATAAAAAATTAATTATATATTTATTTATAAAATTATTTTAAAAAATTAATTATATTGTATATTTATTATTTCTAATATTATTAATAATTAATAATTTTTTAGAAGAGTGAGAAAATGAGAAAATCTATTGCACTTGAAATTTTCTGAAGATCTCACATATGACAGTTATGATTAATAAAATGTTATTTGCAGAAGACACTCGCCAATAATGCCTAGATCGCCATCGCCAAGGCGACACAGCCGATACGACCATCATGGTCATTACCACGAAGGACCAGGGTTTAGCGACACCGTTAGCAACGTTGTCGAGATACAAAGGCACACTCATCATCCCCACGCGTCACAATATAATCATCGGCATAGGATACGAGGTACGACGTACCGGCGATAATTCCGACCAGCGAAAGACCACGACGGTGCAACGATAAGTCTTTTTCACGGAACCAGGACCGCGAACTCTGTTTCGTGTCGATCATCTCCAACCGGTTTCTCTCTATTTCTCTCTCTCTCTCTCTCTCCCTTTCTCTCTCTCTCTATCTCTCTATCTATCTATATCTATCTATCTATCTATCTCTCTCTATATCTATATCTCTCTCTATCTCTCGTTGTCTTTTATCAGCCTGGAATTTTATTCTACAAACACAGCATCTCTTTATACCTCTACTCTCTATCACCATATATCACCGATATACCTTCATTCTTGGTGTTTTAATTCTCCATTATTAATTATTATTAATTATAATTATCTCCAACCGGCTTGGTGATATTTAGCCCTTCGTTTCAGAATTTACTATGAAAACACAGTATATATATATACAAAATATTTTACCACACTACTGTGAAAATTGTGTATATATATATATAAAATATAAATTGTAAATTTTGTAAACTGCAAAATTATTGGTGATCAATGAAAGCAACGAAAAAGAGTTCGTGGTCACGGTTTATAAGAACATGAATGTTGCTATAAGTGGTTTTTTACTCGTAAGAGGCAGGAAAGCTCTGTGTGATACTCGATGTAATACTTTTCTTCGTTTTGTTCTGTTATGCGCCTACACAGACTATTACGACCACTGCGAATATTACGACGATGGTAATTTCTTTCGCAACTCTCCTCTTCTTCATTCCCATGTCCACGGTGCAGTTATAATGTTACTACATATATATATATATATAATATCAATACGATCGTTTGGCTTTCACCGTTTCTTCGTTCCTGTTTGCGATGATATACACAAATTTAACACACATTCATATTCACACACACACACACACACACGCGCGCGCGCGCGCATATACACGTGCGTGCAAAACATCACCAAAAACACAAATCAACACAGTAGACGTTTTCAGACAACCGATGTGTACAACACAAATAGCACTATTAATATTTCACATATTCACGTCGAAATTGTTTCTCTTCTTGTTTGCCATTCGATGCTTCTTACAATAGAACTGTCAAGATTATCAATTAGCTTCTCATTTGTGAAAAAAATTAACAATTGCGACAGATTATATTAGATATATAGTTATTGCATTTTTTTGTTAATATGTTTTTATAGTGTTTTCAAGTATAATCTTCGAATATCCTTATTTTATAGACGATTGACGTTGTGCAATAATAGTTCGAAAGATGCAACATGCACATATGCAACTTAGTTTCGATTGTATCTCTTTTACTTTATTTAGCACGGTCAATTAATTCGACATCTTGTTTTTCAAACAATTGTACCACGTAGAATGCAGTTTTTGAGCATAGTTTAATTTGTGTTTAGAAAAGAGTCATAGAAAGTGTTAGAGAGTTTGTTAAATAATAATTATTGAGATTATTGCAACACTCTATTGATGCACTCGTAGCGATTTAGTATAGAATATGCATGCTACTACGTTAGATGCATTTTCTGAAATTTAAACATCAATTATTAGAGCACTGACGTAGTTATAGTATGCACTATCGATTCAAGTTGTCTTACAAACACGAAACACTACTACAAGCATGTTCCGTTGATCCTCTTTTTCTCTCTCTTTTTCTCTTACGGTAATTCAAAAATAATTAGCTCACATTTCTATTTAAAGTATTTGTTTATTAAATATCAAAAAATTAAATTACGAGTTCGAGAAAATCATATAAATATATTATTAAATTCGGTTTTCGTCATCACACAATTTCAGTACATATACATCATTCTTCTTTAAAAAAAAAAGGATCGTTAATTTCATATAAAATTCTCAAATTAATCAAATAGAATCGTTATTACATATACCATTAAAATCTGCCAGTCCTGAATCCTTTCCGACGATCGAGCTCTTTAACTTCTCGCGTCAAGATCGAGCGATCGAATATCTATTATAATTTAACGAGAATCAAATAAACAACCAGTAGCACTGAAAGCTGTTTCACGAATCCAGGTCCTATCGGGCCTTTTTGTCACACGCTTTTGATTTTACTTGTCGAGCAATGATCACCGAATAAAAAGTCCCTCCGCAATAATCGTGCCCCCGTGTACGCATACGGATAGACCGGAAGTCTTTAACGGACGTGTTCATCAGGTCCGTGGAGCGCCTCGACGAGTCCGGCAAGATCGCCGAGTCCGGTTCACCGGATCGAGCGAGGCGGTCATTACGGGACGACCAGTCTGGAGCAACGTTCGAGAAGCCCAAGCCCGATCGGCGGTCGTTCGCATCACCATCATCATCGCCATCATCCGCATCAACACAGCTACCCGGTGCTGGTCGCGAGAAGGGGCCAGGGTCGCCGGCTGCCGCCGACGCCGAACAAGCCGTCGACCCTGCAGCTGAAGCCGGCCAACATCAACTTTCCCAAACTGAACGCCTCGCCGACCCACGGCCTGCACGGCCCGATGCAGGCACCGGCCCACGCGCCCGTGGGCACCGTGCCGGGTCACGTGCTGCAGCATCCGCATCCGCCGTCGCACATGCCGCCCGCCAGCATGCAGTCGAGTCATCCGTTGAGCTTCGAGCAGGCTGTCGCCATGGGTCGTGGTGGTCGTCTACTACCCAGCCCGGTTCCCAATGGCTACAAGCCACAGCCACAATCTAAACAAAGAACGCCTAGGTAAGTTCAACATTTATTCTCCACCATTCAATATTGTAGTTAAGGAGATCCTAAACACCCTTTACTTTTTATTGGTTCAACAGAACAATAAATGCTTATGCACGATTAAAGTACATATAGAATCAAAGTGCGGACCTACCGATTTTACGTTAAAAGGAGATCCTAAACACTGTCCTGTTTGATCTATAAAGCATCATTTTTGCGCACTCTTTTCTTTTTATTGGTTCAACAGAACAATAAATGCTTTTGCACGATTAAAGTGCATATAGAATCCAAGTGCGGACCTACCGATTTTACGTTAAAAGGAGATCCTAAACACTGTCCTGTTTTATCGATAAAACATCATTTTTGCGCACTCTTTTCTGTTTATTGGTTGAACAGAAGAATAAATGCTTTTGCACGATTAAAGTATACATATAGAAACAAAGTGCGGACCTACCGATTTAACGTTAAAAACAAAAAGACATTTTTAAAATTAAAAACTAAAACTTTTCCGAGTCCCAAACTGATGAGATTTTGCTTTGAACAGATCGAGGCACTCGGACAGTGACGAGGACGATTGGTGCTAGCCAAAGTGGGACCCTGGACGGTGGTCCGGTGATGTGGACGCCCCCAGGCGTCTTAGGGTTTGCGCATGATAGTCGTCCACATGGGACGCGTTGAATTTCAGTGTGAAGAGCAGCAGCAGCCAAGAAAGAACCGCGATCAACGAGCTCGAGACCGCAAGACTCCAAGGGAACGCCAAGTTCTCTGGAAGGAGCAATTTTCCGGTTTCGCAGCATCGCGGCGTATATTGGCGACCGAAAGGGGTCTAGTGATGAATTGAACGGAGAAGATGATTCGTGGCGCGGACCGATATTCGGACCGATCCCGAAGGCGACCGAACAGGGTCAGCAAACACACACACACACACGCAAGGAATAATAATAATAATAATAATGATCGATTTTTCGCAAATGTAAGATGAGAAATCGACATCTCACTTCGCACGACGACGTCGCACGAGTCCGCGGACGGGGAGGAGTGCGATGCGTGCGAATTCCCACGATCGAAATCAAATCTCAGGCTGAGCCTTCGACATCAAGGACGATCGGCTAAGCTAAGATCGATCTCTCGAGCGACGATTGTAGCTACGTCGAGAGACACAGCTGGTGGTGGGTTGCAGTGAAAAACTCATCGTGCGCGACAGTGGTAGCAAAAATTGAGCGGACGTTCCCGAGAGTTATCGAACCCTCCGATCACTACGCGAGTTAATATTTCAATCTTCCCTCGTCCCGATCGAGCGAAGATCGTCCGGGGAAGACTCACTTTTTATACGATTTTCCGAAGGAGGGACTCATCGAACGCCCGGATGCGCTGTGATCACCACGTGAAACGTTCTCTTATATGAGTGTGTTTACGTATGTATGTGTACGCGTATGATTTTTTGTGCGTGTGTGCGTATGTATGTATATGTGCGTATGAAACCTCCTTCCCTTACAATACGACGTTGAAAATCGCGACTGATGTATCAAGTCGGTTCGTTTCAGTGAAAACACGGGGAAAATAGCGACGTTAATCTTTCAACGACGACGTTAATTATTAAAATCGAGGGGGATGATTTTGAAGCGACGATGCGGGCCAGAATAATCTTGCAGTAGAATCGTCACTTTCAGTTTTACATAAATTCGAGGCTGATTAGATAGACGGTTTGAATCTATTAAAACTTAAAAATCTGTCTTGTACTTTCGCTGCGAACAAAAATATCATCGAAGCGGATATGTTTCCCGACGAATCGAGCGAGAAGAGAAATTAGAGGATTAAAAATTAAATCAAAGATCGCAAAGGAGAAAAGTTGAAATTATTCCATTCGTATGTACTCACATTGGCTTTATTTCTGCCGCTAGAAAAATCGCGCGAGCGCTGTTCTAATCAAAATCAGACATCGATTCGCCGAGAGACGCGCAAGAACCGCAGCTACGAGATGTCAAGCACGACACGACGATATTTCGCAGTCGCGGTTCTCGTGAAATCGAGGAGACGATCGATGAAAAAAAAATGCGAACGTCGTCGTTGATTCGTGCGGATGTTGCCTCGCGATTCGTGCCAATCAAGAGAGATTAGGGAAAAATTGGAGCAAAGAGGACCACGATATCGAGGACGCGCATTTCACTCGGAAATACAGGGGGCTAAGAAAAATGAATGATCGTCGCGAAATGTCATCGGAGGGGAGAAGTGAAAGATGCGTGTGAAAGCGAGAGAGAGAGTGAGTGAGAGAGAAACCACATGGTTTTCAAAAGCACATGGTTCTTACCATATGGTTTTCAAAAGCACTTGTAAATTACTGCATATATAAATTGAAATTACAATACTTATTACTATCACTGCTAATACCGTTACTAAGTTAACACCTACAGCGAAAGGGAAGGAAAAAAAAGAAACAGCTCCACTCTCCACTAACTATTACTATTACTACTAACTACTAACTCTACTGCTATTACCATTACTACTGTATTACCATTTACTACCGCTCTCTACTACCACTACTACTACTGTCTTACTACTACTATTGCTGCTGCTACTATCATTACTAACTATATTACTAACTATTACTACTTACCATAACTAAACTATTCTACTACCGTCGCTAAATAAACGCTGTTTACTATCATTATTGTAATACTGTAAGTGTGCTAATTATCGAAGCGCGCGCGACTCGTAAGAAAAAGGACGAAGAAACATTAGTTTAATTAATTTATTCTCAAACTTGAGAGAGAGAGAGAGAGAGACTTCGATTTGAATGCGCAAATTTAAACGACGGAACAAAGAAATAAAAAAATCGAGAGAATTATCCGTAAACGAAAGTTTGCTAAAACGAGCGCACGTATCCGAACCGAGATTACATAATAAAGAGAAGAAAAAAAACCTCTATATATACATTATACATATATATAAAAAAAGACACGTGTTTAACATACTGCCAATCGTACGGGGTGTTTTAAGCGGAGAAACACATACGAGAGAATATATAAGTGTACATAAACGTACGTTCTTTTTTCCTGCGACACATATAAATATATATTACGATATATCTGTACGGTAGATAAGTGTACATACCCGTTGAGCGAAAGAGAGGGTGAGAAAGCGAGAGAACGAAGAAATGAACGAATGAATGAATGAACGAACGAATGAATGAATGGATACAAGTAATTGAATCGATAAATGTGAGAAGCGAAACAACTCGGTCGATGAGACAATTCAATGAAATCATCATCGAACAACGATTTATTTCGCGAGGTATATATTTTATTCTCATCAATCTACATTTATTACGTCTATCTGTCTATTTATTTATTTATTTTCGTTTACAGGTTGTTAATATGTTGCGTGATGATATTTTAGAATATGAAATAATGTGAGCCGATTTACTTCGTTTCTCAAATCGACGATTTGATTGATTTCCAAACGCTATTCTGTGCTTGTTTGCGTAATTATCGTGTATTAGTTAAGTCAAAATAAACGAGAATATATTGCCACTACGTAACGACATTAATTAATGTAAGTAGCTAATTCGAGAGAATGTGTGCGTGCGACGGGGAAACTGCAGAAAAAAAATAGAATGAAAGAAAAAGAAAGAAAAAGTGATCGATTTTCCAGCGTAATATCGGCATACAAAGATCCTTGGTGAATGGACGAGCGTTTAATCATCGAACTTGTTTGTATATCATCCAACGATTAAGAATTCTACAAATATATAATAAGATCAATTTTTCCAAAGAGAAGACTACAGACTTACCCAATCGCTTTAATATTGTCTAATAGTAATGTAAAATAATAAAAATTAATAATAAAAAGATCATTCGAAAGAAGTTGGGACAATTAGTAATTGATATCTTCAATGACATAATTATATTTACAGGTCCAAGAAAGTTAAATTTAAATCAGAATCAGAATGCTGAAAATTATATGAAAAATTTTCTTTTTCGAAAGGACGGGAGAAAGAGAGAGAGGATCACCGAGGATCTCGTGAACGCATCATTAGAAAACTTACATAATCAGAATCGCATGATTTCTTCCTTTAAATGCTTTGAAAATTTCATTGCGTATATGTGTGGAAAAAAACAATATAAACGAGGTTTATACAATCATAATTAGTAAGAATGAATGCGAAATACGGGAAAAGAAAACATATTATCAATCGATTCGCTAATATTGGTCCACAGGATTGTCTTCATTGAAAAAAATTCTTTTCGCATCTTTTTTTTTCACGAAAATACTAATAATTACGAAACGTAACTGGATTTTCATTATATGTCTGAAAAAGTTATATAATGGACAAGCTTGAAAAAAATACAATCTGTTTAAAGAAAGCGAATATTTCTAACCGGTATTGGCGAATGTCTCGAAGATAAACAGAAATTGACAATGACTCATTCATTGAGATTCATAAAATTATGGAATATTAAATGATTACGATGCGCGCGCGTGTGTGTGCGTGTGTACGCGGGAATAAGATTAAATTATTCATAAAAAATGTTTTTCTGTGATAAATCCGAAAAATTTTAGCCGGTCCGACGATATAGTCGCGTCGATAGGCGATTTTTAAAATATACGTTTATACAATTGGACTGGAAAATGAGAAAAAGTCGCATTTACAACCTTATTCAGTGCTATATTTATATAATGCAAAATGTTGTTCAATTTTATTTTTCTTTTTTTTTTTTGTAAACTACGGGCATAAAATTAAACAATCAAACTTAATAATCTGATTTTAATTTCTTTTTATATAGATAAACATGGAATTGCACATAAAAAATGGATGAATATAAATAAATAAACTAAATATTATGTGAGGTATAAATGCGACTTAACAAAGAAAATACATGAGGAAATTAATATAAATATATAGTATATAAAAAAATAGAAAGAGAGAGCGCAGTAAAGCAGATAGACGAAAAAAAGATGCATGCCATTTAAAGTACACATGTTAATAGAGTGTCATACATGCGTGAAAAGATAATCGAGAAACTTTCAATCTTGCAAACTTTCTAATATTGCAAAGAAACAAGCAGATGACCAAGCTCGCAAGCGATGAAATAACGCAAACGTAATTCGAAACCAATATTAATTACGTAATTACAATTTAAATGAGCTAATTTAAAGATAAACGTGAGAACTTTAACGAAATCATTGTTAAATTATGATTAAACAACAATATAATACTGTTAATACACTCTTTCACGATTAATTAACGATTATATCCATTGAAACTAACTATTGTAATGATAATGATAGTAATATAATATATTGCGATAACAATAAGTATAACAATAATGACTGTTGCGATTCGTCTGACGGTATTTAAAACATAACGGGCTGATAACGAAAGATTCTTCTTAGAAACGTGACAAGATATATAGTTCCGCGCGAGATGATTATCGTCTAATTGTCGTCTGTTACGAGAGGAAAAATGTTTGGCAGGAACTATAAAAAATATTAAAATATAAGATTAATGTTACTAGTACAATGTCCAAACTCGTCTCGACGCGACTCAGCAATCTTCGAAGGCATCGTGATATCATTTCAATTATATCGGCGAAGAAAAGATTTCTTTTCATTGTTTAATTATAAAGAACAAATATTTATTTATAGAACATTCACGTTTATGTAAATAATATTATGTGACTAATATGTGTATAACGCTCTAAATAATTTTGTTTAATATTAATTTTTATTAATTTTTACAAATTACAATCTAAAAGATATAATTATTTTTATATAAAAAAAATAAAATAAACACTCTCTAAATTAATTAATGAACTAAGAAAATTAATGAATACAATGATGAATTAATTTAACTTAAATGAATGAATTTAAATCAAAAATATTAATTGATAACATCAAAAAATAATTAAGAAGGCAAATATATATGGAGTGTCAAACAGATATAACTTTTTTCAAATAATTTTTTCAAATTACTACATAAAAATGAAAATAATAATTGTTAATATTAATAATAAAATATTTTCTATTATCTGCTTTTAATTCCAAGTCACAATTTTTTAGAATCACCATAGAATTACATATTGCGCTCGAATGCAATTTCGTGACACGTCTTTCGATGAAGCGAGCCTTCGACGCATCGTCGGACTTTCAGTGATATTAAAACGAACTAACGCTAACGAAAATAGATAGATAACGCATTGTAATATAAGTTTTACGAAAATTCCTCAAATCCGAGCAGATTCTACAGGAAAATCGATGATAAAAAGAGATATGTATGTATGCGAACGAGAATTGAACGCGAACATTTTTCCGAATATTCTGTTGTTTGTCACCGACATGTGAACTCTATTAATATATATATACTTAAATTAGAAATATATATCAATCACACACACATAGACACAGATACACATACACACAAATAATAAGAGAACCTCGCGAAAATAAATAAACGTTTGCGACATTCAAAATCTGCTTTTATCCAGCCAATGCATCTATCCGGTGCATCGATTTGATGCATGCAAAAAAAAATATAAAGAAACAGGGGATTTCTCTGAATTTACGTGAAAATTGAAACAAAACAAAACACAACACTCTCTTTAGATAGTAAGAGAGATTTATGGAATCGTTGCTCGTTATATAGTATATTATAAAAAAAAAGAATATACATAAAAATGAACTTTTTTGTCCTATGTATATATAACTTCACTTGTATCTATTTATAAGATAATCGCAAAAGAATAATAAAAACTTAGTATAAAACGCGATGTTTTAGGCGAGCAAAGGCTAAAGTTACGTAAACAAAAAAAAGAGAAAAGGCGAAATTATACCGTTAAGTTTTTCTACTTATCTATATACATATATAAATATATAAATATGACACAGGAGAAATATATACATACAAAACGTACATACGTATAATATACATATATAAATATCTACACGTAAAAGAGACAAAACACACATGCATAACACGTTATACATATAAATATACATGACATAAATATAAACGAAACACATTGAAAGCGTATACTGTGAGACACTGAACGCTCTGTGGATAATAAATAATCGTAATAGCGAAAGAAAGAAAAATTGGAAGAGGAAGGGAAGAGAAAAGAGCGCGTAGAAAAGAGAAAAAACTTCGTCACATAGATCTCTCGGAGTATCGGTGCCGAGATTCCGTAAAGTTTCATACTTTTGCAAGTAATCGAATTATTCGTCGATACAAATTATATATAAATATATATATATTATATCGATCTCTCTATACATATATATATACTTAAAAAAAACATATTATAAATATATCCGAAAGATTAAACCCGTTAATCCGAGTCTGAGTCTAATTAAGTCATGCAGCCGCGGTACGAACGAGATTAGGAGTTTACAAAAGACGGAAACGTTACAGAACGTCAATTTCTTCAGGTCGAAATTCTTCCGCATATCGTTTCCATGCACGCATGCACGCGTGCCGTATAATATTTTTCATCAATTGGAGGAAAAAAGAAGTTGGAATGAGATGAATTTTTGTTTAATCACCTGATTCGCGAAATCAAACTGTAGATGCTAAAATTCATTCCTCTTCATTTATTTTCATTTTCGAAAAGAAATCTGTGGTTAATCAGTTTGAAATTGGTTCTCTAATTGAAGTATTTTATATTGACGAGACCGACATGACTAAAATTTGTAAATTCTAATAATAATCTGCTTTAAAATGAAATCAGAATAAATATAATAATGATATTATCACTGTATATCACTGTAATATAATTGTTCGCGATTTTGTGACTTATTGATAAGATAGAATTGTTACGAATTAAGCTTTAATTTAAATAGTTTTGTAATAGTCTAACATTTCTAACTAAATAATAATCAGCTGTAATTTTGACATATTGTCGATACGTATGCACGCGTCGTCGTCCGGATGTGGAAGAATTATATTCTCAAAGAAATCGAAGAATTTGCAAGTCTGAAAATCTGACGCTTTTCTGTCGTGGAAAACCCCGAAGAAATGCAAAGAAAAAGTAGGAGAAAAAGTCGTAACACAGTGAATCATTAATTAGTGTAACAAGAGTTGCCTTAATATTACACGTTCACAAAACTAGGAATACGCGAAACGCGCGGAGAAAATAGAAAAATATTAGAACAATCAAGGCTGAAAGAATATGAAGCTGTTCTAGTCACTAATTCAAAATATAAATCATTATAATTCGATAAAAAAAACCGCTGATATATAATGAATTTAATTTAATCAATTAATCATTCCTAAATTCTCTCAAATTAATATTTAATCGATAATGTTATACTTTTTTTTGCTGTATAAATTATATTTATATCTTTTCTAATTTGTTTAAAAAATGTTATATATACATGTTATTCAAATGTTTATTTTTAAACCATAGAAATGTCTGTATTTTAATCATCTTTAACATATTTACATCAACACGTTCCAGTTAGAATTCAATACATCAATAACCCAGCTGTGTTTTAAAGAGATCATCGCGTTTTCGTGATTTCGTCATCGTCTTATAAACAGCTGTTAGAAATCAAAAAGAGAGATCGAAAACACGAAATAAAAAAATTAAAAAACGAGAAAAAACGAAGAAAAGCAAAATATAGAAAGCAAAAAGACGAAAACCCAGAACAAATTGACGAGATAGCAAGTGAGTTACGACTGGCCTGTGTCTATGTATGCATGCATATGTGCGTATGTGTGTCACGCGTAAATATTTCAACATATGAGCGATAAATCGTGAAAAAAGTGAAAAAAAAAGGTAAAGAGCGTGGCTGAGTGTTTCATCTTCGCGTTCCGCATTTAGCGTTTAAATGTGATCGATTCGAAATTTTTATTCATCATAAATACATCGTATAAAAATCGATTCTTACGCCGCTCATATTATTCAAATAAGAAAGCAAGAGTCGATTTTATCGCACTCAATGTGTCTCAATTTAAGTCGTATTTAGGACTAAAAGCGCAACGCGATGATGACATATCGGGAATATTCGTGACTTTGACAGCCGCGTGCCATTGTTACATAAACGAGCGATTATGTAAAAAGACGAAAAAAAAACTGAAAAAAATCCATTGAAAGCTTTAACTTTGAAAAACAAATTATGAAAAAAAAAAATGGGTACACGGAAGGATTTACGCGGCGCATGTGTGCGGAAGCACGGCGGAAGTAGAGAGACTCGACGCTCGACTCAGACGCGTCCGGCGCGATCCGACTGTTTCCACTTACATATGTCTTTCCTTCCGATGCAGTCGAGCATCGATGATTCCGGCTCGCGAGGAGCGAATTTCTCGCGCTCGAGAATTCCAAGAGTGAGAAAAATTCGGACGTGAGAAGCCGAGATTCCCGTGCTCGAGAATTGATTTGAATGAATTTCATGAATTGGATTTCGACCATTTATGACGACGATCTCCGCGATGCATCCTCCGCAGGATTCCGTCGTGCTTCCCGTTATTGTAAAAAACAAATTTACTGTATATTACTTATACATACATGTAGATGTATACATACGCGAAAATGCTAAAAAAAATACTTGTTTTTTTTTAAAGAAGGAATCGAGAGTGAAGAGAGATTGTATCTTTATACATAATAATTAATCATTTTCGGGCGCTCGCGCGTACGTCACGCTAAAATTAATGCACAATTAGGCCAATCGAAGAATGAAAAAAGTCTTGCTTTCTTCTGTCAAAATGTCATTTTTCCTGACTCAAGCAATGCAGAAATATTTCCCTTTAGGAGGGGAATTTTTTAATGATTTTAATATTCTTGTAAATTTCTCTATCAAATATTTTACGATGTTTCTAACTCTGCAAAATTCATTTAAAATATTAAATCGAAATTTTATTTATTATTAAATAGCGGGAGCATAAATAAACAATATTAGTTTTAAATAGATTTTGCTTTAATTGTTTGTTTCAGACTAAAAGAAAAATTAATATAAGATATCATAAATACTGAAAGATAGATAAATTTTTAAAATTTATTTTTATAATGTGTAATAATATAATTTTAAATCCTAAAATATATATGCAAATATCAGAATATATTTACGGTTCTAATTTGCGATAAAAATTTTAAAAAATACAAAATTGCCCATGTGACGACGCGCGTACACCACGATTACGTATGTGTATGTCTGTGTGTCATTTCTCTTCTTCTTCAAAAAAAAAAAAATAAGTACACTTTGTGCACATGAAATATCTGCCAGTGATTTACGTGGTATACTGAAAAAAAGAGAGAAAGATCGAGCGCGAGAGATGTTAATGTATCGTATGTGACAGAATATATCATAATTCTTTAGCCCTCGAAAATACCGACATATACATATTTAAAAATAACATGAGTATTCAAAGAAAAGAAAAAAAATCCGAAAGAATGTGTATATGCATGTGATATATGTGTGTATGTATATGTGCAAGAATAAGAGAATAAGAGAAAGAGAAAAAGGGAGTTACAGGGAGAATACGAAGACGTAAATATACATTATATACTGATGTACTATGCTGTAAACGAGAGGTACACAAACCTATCTTATATATATATACATAGCTAGTTCAATTTGCAAACTTACAATTAGTGTGTACTGTCGCTTCGAAAATGCCCAGTCATTACTCGCCAGAGAATCCGAGATAAGAAACCCGACAACCAATTTCAAGTTCATTCTTTTTTTAAGGAAAAAACCAAATAAAATAATATATTAAAATATTTCGCACGAATGACTTTTCAATTATTACAATTAAACCAATCCCAATTCTCTACGAAGCAATATTAATAATTTAAAAATGATTATAAAAATAAGAGTAATATTTTTAATTAGCACACAAATTATTTCTTAATTTATAAAATAAAATTAAGTTTTACAATAATTTCACATAAGAAAACAATTTTTTTCCTTTATTATGCTACTTATATATTATATACTAATTAAAAAATGAAAGAGCAGGCTTTAAAATATGGGAAAACATCAATATATATTGATCCTCAATTTGATTATAAAAAATTTTGAAAAAACACGTATCAGTACATATAACGATATGTAAATCGCAACTTAAAATTTGGAAAAAAATAATTATCGCTTTATTGGCTGAATCTAATAAAAAAATGCAAGAGCGGGTTCCAAAATTAGCGACGATAATTAAATTTTCCTAATCATAGGATCTACTCTTCTATACTTACATTTTATATCATGTATTTTCTCAATTTTTTTGTATTATTGAAATATATAAACAGTATGTATTTTTGATAAGTTCTAAAGTATCAAAAAATTAATAGAAAATCGAGGAATGGCTCTTGTGTTAAATTGTTTAGTGTAATAAAAAATTATAAATTTTATCCATAAAAATAAACTTCACTTAAAATTTATTTGTCATATATAAAATTAAAAAATAGAAAATTTTGTGCACGCGGATCACGCACGAAATTTTATCGGATTAATCTTCATTCTTTCCGCTAGATGGACGTAGCATGCAGACTTGTGTTTAAATCACCGAACCATTGACAAAAGTAATTCATACCTCGGCGTCAATGAACGCGTGGCGTGAGTCTCTCAGCATGGTCAGTAAACGCGGTGCGTTGATAGTTTTGGAAGGTTGCGATCGGGCCGGGAAATCGACCCAAGCGAAGATGTTGATGAACGCTTTAAACGATCAACAAATTCCTGTGAAATCCGGCGGTTTTCCTAGTAAGTTACATACAAAAATCCTCGTCAAATTATCCAGCAAGGTTATGTTTAGGTTATTTTGCGCGGGAAAAGATGTTTTCGCTTATTAATTTAACAATTTATGAAAATATTGTCGAATAATATTTCACACGTTAAAATGTGATTTTATTATCATCTTTATATGACGTCAGCATCGTAATACATTTTTTTTTTCAATTACATTGTTGCTGTGAATAATATAAAGTGATGTGAAATAATAACTTACATGCAATAATTGGGTTTAAAATAATATTTTCTTTTATTTTTACAGATAGAAAAACTCCTATTGGATCTATCTTAAATAATTTCCTGTCAAAAGAGGTAAATTTACCACCAGAAGCAGCTCACTTGTTGTTCTCTGCGAATCGATGGGAATGTAAAGAGGACATTGAGAAGACCCTTTTGTCTGGTGTTACTATAGTAATGGACAGATATGCAGCCTCTGGTGCTGTATATACAGCAGCCAACACTGGCAGAAGTCTCAACTGGTGCCAACAACCTGACATGGGTCTTCCAAAACCAGATTGCGTAGTGTTACTCAAGGTGTCCAAGCGACAGCAAGAACAGCGCAGCGATTGGGGCAAGGAAAGATTCGAGCATGACGAATTTCAGCAACGTGTCGATGCTAATTACGAGAAATTACGGGACAATACTTGGATCATTGTAAACGCGGATCAAAATGAATCGGCTGTGCACAACGAAATACTGCAGAAAGCATTGTCAATTATCCAAGAAGTTCAGTACCGTAATGTAGAAGTATTAAATAATTCATGATATTATAAGTTTAATTTTATATTTCTATTTTGGCAAGGAATCACTATATTAGTAATTCATTGTGACATTTGCTATGTTCTCATAAAATTTTGATACAATATTATATAAATCGATTAAATAAGCAACTATTTTAATATCTAGAAGTTATGAGTAAAATCATCTGAGCCTTATACTTACTATCTAAACTAAATTACTGTATAAATCTTGTTGATTTTTGTACTTAATAGATATATAATTATAAATAAGATGTATGTATATTGTTAACATTTTTAAATATAAGAATTTGAATAACATATGTCTAAATGCAATAAATAAATTTAGATAGCATACGCTTAATTTAAAAACTATTTATATATGAGCATATTTATATATAAAATATTTTACTATAGCATTTATTGTGAAGTATAATAAAGTTGTTCCTACTTTTGCTAATAAAAGCAAAAGCCGAGTATATCACGTTACGCAATTTTCTATGCAAATATAATTTTACGCTTATCATAATAAGTTGTAGAGACGGAATTTTCTCTTTCCATCTGGATTTGAATACAAATCCGGTTTTCATCTTTCGAAAAGTCGACATTAAAGAACGAATCGGGGTCGCACGCGTCTCTCAGAAAAATTCAGACATGCCCCAGAGAGATGCGACTTTCTCATACCATCTGGTCTCGGTGAAATAAAATACGCGCTTTCCTGAATCGGATCGCGCACTTTGCGCGCGCGTTTACGCTTGCTCTCTTACGAGATACATCTCGCTCGTTCTCGGGACATGATTGATGACGCGACACGTTAGATATTCTACCATAAATAAACCTCTGCTAGAAGTAGAAAAATGTATTTGGCTATAAATAATAATGTGTAAATGAAAAATGAGTATTGTTACGCAGAAGTAGATTGAGATTTGCATAGACTCGTATCTATAATTTTTGTTTAAAAAAAAACTCGACAAATTGTTGTAAAGTCGTTAAGTAGTTATTGTTTTATTAAGAAGAAAAAATATATCGAGAGAAGAGGGAGTTTTTCTTATGCGAAGAAAATGAAGTTAAAAGTCAATAGCTGATTTATCTTCCTTGCTCTTATCCTCTTTAAGAAACATAATTCGCCTTGTTGCGCTTGTAAATTGTGCAGCAATCATTTATAAAAACTGAGAACGGGATTATAGCAACATAATAAAGTAACTTATATCGCTCCTATTACACACACACACACCATCATAATCTTTTTCATAATATAGATGAAAGAAAATAATAAAATTGAGATTTTCAGAAATGTAATAATTGGAAAATTTTTATTTGTCTCTCTTATGTAATTATATTCTTCTGATTTTGCTGGATATTTTAAATTTTCAGAATTTATTTCAGTTCAAAGATCAGTTTTCCTCGACATCAGGATTCTCAATTTGTACCATCTATTTACTGTTCCTCTAAGAGTTTTCCGATCCTTCGAAAAATCAAATGTTACAAAATTTAAAGTCCCCAAACTCAAACATTGCGATTCTTGTAACTACCAGTTCGTCGCTTCTCGCATGCTCATATATTCTCAATCTCCTTTTCACATTTTTATTTATATATTTTTTGTTCACTCAGTTTATTTGCATATCGGATATTCTATTTATAATAGCTTAAAATTTAATTATCAGAGAAAACAAAATCGAGCGAATTTGCGGAAGATAAATGCACTTAACACGTAATTTTGATTTAATTAAAGACTGCTAAAAAAGAGTACCACATCTTAAACACAAAATTAATTAAAGAAGACCAAAATGTAGCATTATCTTTAATGTGAAAAAATGCACTCTTATTCTGAAAATATATTTCGGAATCAACTGTGCCCATATTTTTTTTAATGCGAAAAAATTCACTCTTATTCTAAAAATATACTTCGGAATCAACTGTGCCCATATCCTCGAATGATAACGAATGTGATAAACGGAAATCGATTTTGTTAGATGCGACGGTTACTAAAGTTGAAGAATGATAAATTGTATCTCTTTCGCAGACGAGAGGATGTATTGTGCGTTATATCTTTTGCATATCGAACAGCTAGAAGCAAACGCATAAAATGTGTTTATGGAAGCGTATTCAAGCAAGAAAAGATATTCGAGTAATTTATATATTATGTACAACCCGATAGATTATAAAAAAAATACGAGTTGACAGTGATAGATGTACGCTGACTCTCAGGTATTCCAGAATGAAGGGATTTTTTAAATTAATGCATATAGGAGAAGAAGCTAATTTTTTCATATGCTCTTAAAATTTGTTTCCTTAATGCGAAAAAGTAATATTTTTTGATAAATGTTGATAAAATAATAATGTTGTGGAATATTCGAATAGCGAATAATTGTACGATATGTTAGGAATTTAAAGTATTTGCTAATTTCATAAATAAATTTATTGAAAGTATGAAGAATCTAATTATATATAAGCAGTTATTATTTAATTATACATTTAGATAATTTAGCAAATAATACATATTTAATTATTTCGTTACTGTTTAATAATTTATATATTTTTTTTCAAACATAATAAATATTTAATTTAGCAGAATAATAATGAAAAAAATTTTTCTATATTAAAATCGATGTATTTTATATGCGTCCATTGTTTTCTCTCTACTTTCTTTTTATTCATTTAACAATATAAAAGTATGTTTTTTCTATCGTTCGAACAAACCATTTTCTTCGTATACGAAATTGAATTATTCGAAAATTATCATCCCTTTTGTGTGGCACATTTTCGAATCTGAAATGATCTATATAAAACACTTACGATATAACGTAAGATTTCTCCACTGGGTTTTGGTTGTGAATTATTACGGTTCTCTGTGACGACACGCCATTAATCCTTCAGCATCATTCAGGCGCAGCGAAGCGTACCATCCTGGATATACAAGTCGCATTATTCAAGGGTTATAGGGATGTCGTCCGGGAATCATGACTCTTCGAAGGCTGTTATACGGGTCCTTGGGCGAGCGCAATTTTGTTTCCTACGGAAACGCGATTCGGGAAAATTGCATTCGACTAAGAATCCGGCGAACGGAGCACAATGGGGTTTCCAGACGGAATTGATGATTCCCGGGCGATGTAATTTTCCACGGAAAACGCGATTTGGGGGGACGGAAGGCGATTTCGTAAATTATATTCAGGCAACCTATTAACTCTCGCTCGAGCTGTAATTTCCATATTGCTCACTCAATTAATATCTCAAGAAAGTGCGATTATATACGAAGAAAATTACCTCTAATTATATATATTCGGCCAAAACAATTCGCAGAGTGTCTTTTTGCGTTATTTTAACATTTATCTATTAATGTATAGTCACAGTTTGCACATTAACTTTGGTCATTTCTAAAACTTATTGTTTATTATACAGATTATATGATCTTCTGTATATTTTTAAGATTTTCCCAAGAATCATCGTCTTGTTCTGCTTAAAAAAAAAATAACATTATTTTCTTATACTCTTTTCTTTTATTCTTAACTTGCATCATTAATAAAGCAGTAAACAGAAAAAAATAAAAAAGGAAGTATCTTCGTTCTAGAAAACCTTGAAATATGTAACAAACCTAATATTCTGCTTTCGACTTTTTTCAAAAAATACATTTATTCATTATACACATTGCTAAATATATTCGTTTTCATCTCCCAGGATCGCCTTGACCTCAATTGTTCTGCATTATTACTACTGGATATATCAACAGAATAATCAGTAGATAAAATACGCGCTAAGTCAGACGCGCCGAGGATGACATCGATTTGCACTACTTAAATTCAATCGTAATCGGGTCGCAATCTTTTTCGCTCCGGTTCGGCACACACATTGTTGGAATTATTCCGAGATTTTCCAACGTCAACAAAAACCCCAGTGCGGTCTTTTCAGAGATTTGTACGGGGACGAAAAAAAACATCGTTTTTTCGATCGATTCATTTTTTTGAATGCCTCGGGAAACCATGCTCACATTCGATTCTTTTGTATTCGAATCGACGGCAAACACTTGTTGCCATTCGCTCTGTCGATTTCCGACAATGTCTCAATTGATTGCTCCAAAAGCTTAACCATTTCTACTTCCTTCTCTCATCGAATTCAACCATTTTATCGAACTTACGATCGTAAGTCGTATTTGTTCTCAATATAGCGTTTGAGTAACTTTGACTTGATCCGATTTGGAACTCTGAGTTGCATCTTTGATCGTCTGCAAGTCGATAACCCACGATAGGTAAACTTCATCGATAGTGAAATAATGATATCTTCGTTGTTCCTCGACAGACGTTGATTCATCGCTCATTTCAAGTCTTTTTTCCTAATTGAGCATAATCTTTTCCTTTTCCCAATCTTGTCCCCTTTCATACAAATCTCTTCCAAATTTCCGTTCACCCGTCTGAGATTATCACGATCAGATTGATCTCTTAAATTCTCTTTCGCGAAGCTGATCATCAACTAATCCAATTAGCCGGAGATTGTAATTGGGATTCTAGCTGACGGATTTACGCTGTTTGTGTAAGTGTAAAGCATCAGTCGAAGGATTGTCATCGAATGGAGGTTGCAAACTTTCTGAAAGACAGCCTGGTTTCTAAATCCCTTCATGCGTTGCAATGAATTTCCAGGAAGTACTCGGTTCGGAAGCTTGTTTGCTGGAAATTTACGATAATGAGATCGCGTAGAATTTTCCGTCATCGAGCTTTACAACATTTTCAACGTACCGTTGACGACGCTTCCTGATTCCTCCTACATATTTACGACAAATATTCCTCGATAATTCCTTGCACGGAATAATTAAGCCTTTGAGAAGCTCGAACTTTTATTCCTTAAAAAAAATGCTCATGCATTTTCAATTGAGTTGTCTCTATATGATGAGTTACAAATTTAGAAAAATGTTTAAAAGCGTTATTTTTATCTAATATTAAAATATATTATAATAATTTTATTATGTGTTTAAAACATTAAAATTTAAGTATAAATTATATTAAACCTTACATTTTTCAATTTTTTCGCAATACACTTCTCATATAAATTATTGACAATACACTACATAAATATATGATAAAAACTTATAATCTATTATAGAATAAACAAATTGATAACAGCAGTTGCTAAATATACTTATTTTGTGAAACATCTTTACAAAGTGCAAGACCTTTAGAGGTAATAGCGGAAAATCAGAGGAAAAAGGAGACGTTTGATGTTGCTGAGTTCGAGCTCTCGAAAAGTGTTCGTACGATTTTTATGTAATAAGATCTTGCGATTGCTACTCGATATCATTCAATCGAGTCAATGATTTCCTGAAAAAGCTATTGTTTATTGAAGTGTCCTCGCTGTTATACTGTATGTACACGTAATCCTGCCAGGATAAGAGCCGCAAATCAATAATGGCAGCTTTTGTGCCGGAGGCGTTGCAACTATCAGGAGCGTCACCTTCTTCAGGATCGTATCGAGTTCATTTCACTGTCGACGAAATCTTGGTTGATAAGAGGTTCGAATATATCGTCAGGTGTCCAGCTAAAAAAAATCCTTGTGTTTGTACTGCGTCATAATAGATTGTATTGAGATGATACATAATTGGTTGTTGCTAAAAATCATTTTTCGGGGATCAGAGAGAAGACTTCTTTAAAAAACATGTTAGTCATTTTTTAGAACTCTTGAAACTTATTTGGAAAAATTACAATTATGACAATTACGATTATATATGACAATATTAAATATTACAACAAGCTAATGTTGCGAGTACGCTCAGACTATATGTCTGTGATAAATATATTAATATATGTAATATATAAAAATAAACAAATAAATAATAAGAAAAATATATTATATAAAAAATATATTAATTATTATTAATATAAAAAAATTCTTTAAAATACTTATATCAATCTTGCTTTATATAGGATGTCTCATAGAGTCCCGGAAAAATCGGAGTTAGGATAAAACGGGCGGGAATTGCTAATCTTCGGAAAGGAGATAAAAGAAAAAGCACTCATGATGCTGGCAGATATTATCCCTAAAGACACGACATTCAAGCTGCTATCGTATGTTATGAGTCTATTATCCCTTCGATTATTGCGAGACGGTTTTTGTCCAGTCATCGGGGATTATCCCCAAAACGTAAATGTCACGAATCCTACGAGCAATACGAGAATTTCGAGAGTCTGTGCTGAACAGTCTGTGTTCGCGTGTCAATTCGAGAGCCCTATCACGTAGAAAATGTCTGTCAAGGGGACAGTCAGCGTGTCTCTTGTAGGTCCATTTCAGCAAATCGTCCTTGATCATTTCACTGTATCACGGTTGTGTGGCTTCTAGGACACTTTGAGTAGTCTTTCACCGAAAGATGCCAAATTCGGGGGATTTTCTAGCGAATCGCAGTTGAAATGAGAAGCTGAAGGGTGGACTGGATTTTTAGAGAATAAAAGTTTTAGACGGACGAAATGAATACACTGACAGATAAATTACGCCGCTTCGTTTCGTTTTGTCTGGTTTCTCGAGCAGAGATCGTGAATTTTATTATATGTATATCAGTATGAATTTGTCTTGATAAATGTACTATTATATCATTAGATAAGTATCTTTCGAAACAAGAATAAAAATATGATAATATAATGATAATTGTATATTGTAATGATTTTAAATTATTAATTAATATTTTCTATTTTATAGAATTATATTGTATAAAAATATTAATTGGAATTAATTCATTCAAAATTTCTTTCAGAATAAAAGGTATTACATAAATATTATTAATATTTATTAGAAGAAAAAACTAGAAAAGTGTATTAGAAAGTTTTTCCATCATTAATACAATATGCAAAAAATGTTTGCAGAAATATGATTTTCGTTATTTAGCTTTCTTATAAAGATGTTAGTACTTAGTTAATTCTTGGATTTAATGAAGAGCCTCCAAGTGAGCGCGCGATAAAATGCAAGTTCTTACGCCAAATATATAATGTTTTTCAAGCACCTAGTAAAACTCGCGAAACTTTCTAAGAATTGCAAATAATAGCAGAAAGCGAAAGAGGTGGAGAACGGGTTCTAAGGAACAAGGCACTTGAGCAAGTTTCCAGCCGAAAGTCTACTAACCGGGGACTGCTTCATTATCTGCATTCGGCGGATTTAATCGCGCGCGCCGACCGGAGTAATTAATTAACTGTCGAGACGAAAAGTGGTTTTCATGGAGTGCGAATTTTTATTTTTTTTTCAAGCGCTTAAACATTGTGAAACATGAAAGATCTCTAGCTCTATTTCATTTCCGTCGACTTATTTGATCTTGCCTTGGATTATACATATACATACGTATTCAACAAAAAAACTGCATGATAAATTTATATTTATTGTTATAATAAAATATTCTTTATATATTTATTCTTATTTCTGCCTTTGACAAAAATATAATTTATTTCTGAACGATTTATTTCTGAAATTAATTTTACGAGAAGATTAAAGGATTCTTTGACTTTGTTTTTTCTCCATTTATTTTAAGTTTTAATCTTCAAGAGGAAATATGTAGAATTTAGATATTGCAATTACGTTGGCATGAATGCTTCTCTCGCACTTCATTTCGAGATTATTGACGTTTATATTTTATATATTTATATTCGAGATTTATTACTCTCAATATAATGTATTTTTTTTTTACATATACACTAGCCCGAAGTTGTTTTATTGATTAAACGCATTTTTTTAAATACCTAATTTTTTGTTGGTTTGCGCAAAGTTATAAATCCTCTCCTATGATTAAAATATACCCAGTTATGAAACGCGGACTGAGGAATTTTATTTTAAAAACTAAAAAATTTGTAAAAGTATTCCGTCGCCCCGTCGTCACGTTTTTCGTTGCTTCCATCTAATTATACGAGAAATGAGAACAACGATGCCACAAGAACGCTTCAACGCACTGTCCTTAAAAGCATTCTTTTTCTTTCTACGTTTCGGTAGCTGACATTTTTTCTGTTCAACTAATTTTTCTTGTAATAACCAGAATGTCAATGAGTACTGACGCAATTGTCGCTTATAAATGAACACATATTGTTTAATATCTTTGTGATATCATATTCTATTAATTATTAGTTCCGGATTATTATTATACACATATTGGAATAAATATTTTACTAGATGTTTCCCGAAATTCGGTTTTATTAACAAAAAGAATATTTATCCCTGTTAATTCCCGTATTATATTGTAATCAGTTATTAATTTTTTCATTATTAAAAAAAAATATCAATTACGAGTAAATAAAATAATTATAAAAATGTTATTATCATTTAGATCGAACAATTAATATTTATCACACTTTCAGATCGCAGAGAGAAAATGGAAATTATGGAATTTATTTATATCATTTGTGTTATTTTTCAGGTCGGCATGTAACCTCATCGCCTTTTCGCCGAGAAAATATGAGAATACGTTCCGTTCCTGCCATTGTTTCGAGCACTAGAGACGAATATCGTTCTACGTTAAATTACATTTCTCGAGGACGAGATAATCTCGCACCCTAGATTTTCATTTAATATCGCACTATTTGTTCGTGTGCTCGTCCACATTCGGTACTTCCGTACTGCGTTTTTCTACGTCGGAAATTTATCATCATTTTATTGTTTTATTCCGTATTACAATTTCGATATTATATATTCAATTCATATTATATAGGTACACATGTACAACGCACGTATAATTGATCAAAATTATTTATCATACAAAATACACAATCGAGAAAGTTGTTTTTTTTAATAATATAAATTTCATGCATAATATAATAATTTTTTAAGTTTTTACATATAAATAATCTTATTTCAAGAATATTTATTATTTTATCGCGATATTGTAATTTAAATACAGTATACACAAATATATATATATATATATATATATATATATATATATATGTAATTTGTCAAAATTCATGTATAGAAAAATATATTACAGATACATATAATTAAAAATAATATAAATTATGTAACTTATAGAATATAAAAGTGTAAGATAAAAAAACTAAAAATTTTTTGCTTCGAGTTGCGTAAAATCGGAGAAAAAAAGGGATCGATCAGAAATATTTTGTACAATAAAATCAAGCAGAGCAGCGTGGCCGTGAATGCAAACAGACCATTCTCCGTGCGATACAATAGTAACTATATCCGAGGGGTGTATCCCTGTTCGACCGGTTGTTTCCAACCTGTTATTCTTCTCCTGCTGCTCAATTATTCATCCCAGACTGACGTGGAATAATATTTAACGGCGGTATCTTCGCGCGTGCCACACGTCGTGCATGTATACATATGAACGTTTATATATGGGCACGTGGCTATGTTTACGCGGGGCGGGTTCTAATCTCGCTTCATCAAGCTCGACAAAGGTGCACATAACATATCGAATCCTCGTCATAGTCTTCGTCCGCGAGAGACGAGGTGCGCTTCGAAAGTTCGATCTGTCTAATGTGAGTCTCGCTAAAACATTCACGATCCGGTGTCTAAATCGCGATTCATTGCGCGACGCGATCACGTTTCCGCTATAAATTGTAAAATCGTAAAAAAAAGATAAATCCCAATAAAATATCTGACATTTTTTACTGAAATACGGTAACTTGTGTTTTCCGAAATCCTTTTTTTGAATTCAGTGCGGCACTTACTATCTTATCGAGACTGTGTAACTCTCTTTACTCCTCTCGAGTTTTATACTTCTGGGATTTATAACATTTTCGCGAACGGAAAGTTGACGTCAGTAGCTGGCGGAAAAAGCTTGAGTTTTACGATAGCACCGAAATGGCCCTAGGGCTACGTTGAAGTTCGTCTAATTCTCGAAATATCAAAAAGGGAAGTGTTCGGTTGGATTTTCAAACGTGATATTTAGTTCGATCGTGTCCGAGCCAACGCTTTTTACGCGAGAAGAAAAAAGTGAATCTCTTTCCGTTTCTGCTTCGCAACGATTCCATATTCTTCATATCACGCGCACTTTGTATTTTCTTTTGTGCTTCTCCTCCAGTTTTATTTATCATAGCTTTATGTTGTCCTTCGACATTACGTTTTCTAGGACAATGCGACTGATCGATGAACGTGGTGATTTCCAGGACACCAAGCAAAAACCGGCAGACTTTTCTGGACTTCGTTGATCCAATATTTACTCGTGAAATTGAACGTGGACCTGATTGGAAGCTACATTATCGACTTTTCTCCAATTGTAGCCTTTGCTTTCGCGCCGCGTTTAATAATTAGCTTTCACAAATTATTAACTGTAACATAAATTGGTATATGCAAGGAAAAAAAAATGATAGCACAGAAAAAATTAGTGCGATAAAGAACGCAGCATCTTCTTATTAAATCACAAGAAATGTGTTACTTTTCATTTGTCCATGTTATAAAATTAACATATAAAATTCTGTCTCAATCAAATTTTCCAAAAATCCGTTTGTGACAACTTTCTACTTGATCACACTTTTCCAATGTATTTATCTGTTCGCGTATTACTGCTATAAATTTACTTTCAGTGACTGACATAAAACTATCATCATGCTAATGCTAATAATGCTTCTAATGGTGAAATAATTTGAAGTGATTCATTTGAAGCAATTGATTGACAGGACGCGTTGTTATCTCTTTCGGACTTACAATCTTTGAATGTAAATGATTACGTGTGCTAATTGATAATTATCGCAGACAGGTGCAAATTCCACGTCCCTCATTAGCGGAAATTGGAACTCATGCTTGCCAGACCTAATTAATTCAACAAAGGATCAATCGATTCGTGTCATTTGGATATGGAGTTCCAACCTCGTCCTTTCGATGTGGAAACCGTATTTGTAAAGGCGAAAAAAAACCAGATAAAGAAGCTACGCGGTCCAGACTCGCCTCTTTACATGTCTGTCTGGCCGATGGTCTACATCGTGCGAGTCTTCGGTCTCGCTCCTTACGATTTCTCGCAGGATCGTCTGGTGCCGTCGAACGTCTACCTGGGGTTTACGGTGACCGTCACCATACTCTTCACTTATATATTTTACGTAGTGGCCAATAAATCTTTATATCTCAAGAGAGATGAAGGCCCGGTTCTTGGAGGAACGGAAAACACGAAGGTAAATTCTACTTTTCATATCAGATCAATTTTGGCTGAATTTTCTTGAACACAAATCGAGTTAAGTAATATAAATGGAGACTTAGACTCTAAATTTTTAATTGTATTTATTATAATTTATTTAAATTATTTCTTAGTATATATATTATAGTATATATAATATAATAAACAATTGTGATGCATGCATGCAAAAATTATTATTTCAATTAAAATGCATAAAAATACGTTAATTAATTATGCAATGCATAAAAATTTAATATTTAAATCTTTTATGGAAAATACGAAGAAATAAAATTTTCTACAAGAATCTTGTGATTAAATATCTACCTTTCAATAGACTCGCGCGAGATTCTATACCCCATATATCCATCACGTTGCGCGGCTCGCGCGAGACTGATTCTCATGTGGGGTAACGCGAGCGCGGGCCCGATGGTCACATGACCAGTCGTCACGTGACCACTGGTCACGTGACGACTGGTCATGTGACCATCGGGCCCGCGCTCGCGTTACCCCACATGAGAACCAGTCGCGCGCGAACCGCGCAGTGTGATGGATGTAGGGGGTGTATTAATCTGATGGAAAGGATAAAAAAAAAGAGAGTTGCTTTTGTCATACAGTGTGCAGAACCGTGCAGCGTAGCAGATGCGTACAGACGTGCGAATCTAATGGAAGAGCAGATATTTTGATCGAAAGACTCTTGTAGAAAATTATATTTTATTTTCTGTTAAAAATTGATATATTGAATTTTTATGAATTACGTAATTGTAATTAATAAATATATTTCTATACATGCATTGCAGTAATAATTTTATGCGTTGCAATTTTTAAGATTTTATTTTAATTTCGCTTAATAATTATATTCGCTTCGCCACACGTAATTATACAAATCAAACTAAACAAAATGAGAAAAAATATATAAAGAGATACATCTATACAAAATAATTCTCAAACAATACAATTGAAACTCGGCAAATTAAAATTATGTACATAATAGTAATTCGGCGAATTAAAATTATGGTCACATAACATCGAACAACTGTGCAAAAATTAACAATTTGACAGTTATAAGATGAACAATAGAAATGATATCAAAGGAGCGCGCGAAGTGCGCGCTTGTGTTGTCAAGTATAATAAATAATATAATATAATAAATAATCTAATATATTATAATATAATATAATAATATAATATAATAAATATATATATATATACATATATATATATATATAATATTATATAATATATAATATATATAATTATATTATATAAGAAATCAATGATCGAAAATAATTGTCCAGATCTTCATCAACTACAGTGTGGCGATATACGAATTGGGCTTGGTGGCATTCACGAGACGCAGGTTCACCAAAACGTGGAACGCGCTGCAAGATTACGACGAAGATGTCAGGCAGCTCGGTTATCCCCGCAAAGAGACGCAAACAAAGGTCGTCGCGTGGATTATCACTATTGTTATGACGATCATCTGGATCATCGTTAACCGCATCGGGATGTACGCCTTTCTTGAGGCTTGGACTTCCAACGTGCAATACTTGCTCCTTTACATCGGGACCTCGGTAGCCGTCTACAAATTTGTGGCGATGACTTTCTTTCTAGGTCAACGATTTCATCATCTCAACACGATGGCATTGAAAAATCTGCCGTCTACCTCGGCAAATAAAATCAATATGAGCACTATTAGCCAAACGGTTCGAATCATATTTTTTCAATGTTTTTGCCCAATCCTTTCTCTCTCTTTTTGTTCTTATTTTTTTTCTTAAACTTAAAATGTGAATTTTTATCTCAGAGATTAAAATTAATATAACACAACGACTGACAATGTTCTCTATTTGTTTGCAAAAGACGATCTTAAGTCTGCACGACGATCTGATGATCGCCGCAGAGAACTTGGAATCGATATACTCATGGTCGCTTCTCTTCTGGCTCGCCAATCTTTGCCTGCACACTGTCAGCAACGTTTACTTTATAATAGTGTGGATGATCATGAGACCGAACGAAACACAGATTGCGCTTGTATGGTGTTTGAGCGCTTGGGTGTTAGCGTATCTCTCTCAGCTACTGTTACTTCACATTGCCTGCCACTACACTTCCTCTCAAGTAAAATCATCTCGCTAATGTAAAATAGAAGATTCTTTTATATTTCAATCGTGTCCTTCGCGGTAAACCAGATAGCAACTAAAAATTTATAATCAGTTTACATGAAATTTGGTTCTATAAACTTTTGCAAAAAATATATCCGTAAATTAAAATACACCTTTACGGATGTAATATATATAAATATTTTTTTATATTTTAAATCGCGCGCGTCCTTCGCGGTAAACCAGATATCAACCAAAAATTTATAATCAGTTTACATGACTTTTGGCCCTATAAACATTTGCCAAACATATATGCATAGATTAAAATACATCTTTACGCGCGGATGTAATATATATAAATGATAAAGTATCAATATTTGATTTAAATATAAATATTATTTATACTGCATAAGATTTTAAAAAACGTGATCTTGTTTCAGGCTAATTGTTTAAGCCCGATTCTTATTGAATGGCAAGTGAGACTGATGAAAAAAAATAAAGTAAGTGGAAAAAATCTTTATTTTATTACTTCGAATACTTTTTCTTTTTTATTTTTAATTATTTGCAATTTAATTATTTTTTATTTTTAATTATTTGCAAGTGCAACTTTTATCCTATCGAAATTTTACTAACGTTCTTAAAATTTGTTTTTGCTGTTTCTTAATGCTGCTTCCATAATATTTATACAACAACGATTTTAGTGCGAGTGCAATCTATTTAAAAACTCCTCTCCAAATGCAGGAATCTGTGGAATCGGCGTTGCAATTTCTAAATCGAAGGCTCAACTTTTCCGCTGGCGGATGCTTTTACGTGAATTTACCATTATTACGTTCTGTAAGTAATGAGATCAGTATTGTGAAAAATATTCGATTTTCTTAATTAAGACATCTTAATACAAATATGACATTTAAGCTATGTATCAATTTTTGTAATTAAGTCTTATTTCTCGTTAATTAAACACACCGTTCGCAGTTATTGCAAAATTTCTCTCTCGCATCTTGCGGATTATATAGGGATTTTAATTAGAGAGATTACATAATGAAAATATTCTGTTTCTGCTTCGGATAATGAGGACTGCCTAGTAATTAATCCCGTAATTTGTTACTCAAATTCTGTTCAGCTAAAAAGTATCTGCCGGATGAATAAGCGCGCATAAAATACGTGAGTAAAAAAAAAAGATTAAACTGATTAATAACGGTAAACATCTCATGAAATTAAGACAATCTCGCGAAGATATTACAAGCTGACATAAACGATCCCATCAAAACTACAAAGCCGCTGAATTATGCAGATGATTGCATGGAGAACACGTTTCTCATCGCGATGCTATCGCGACACAATGGTGCGATTTAAAAGAACATGCAATCACGTATTTCCGACACGTGGAAAAGGTCAATCGAGGTTGTTAAAGTAATAACCTTTCTAAATGACATGTTTATTTTAAATGTGATATATTAACGTTCAAACATAAATAGCCGAGCATAGCAATAAAGATAAGAGTTAGTATCAAAGTATATATAAATTAAAAAATATAAACGCGTCATAAAAGATTTATATCAAAATGTAAATTGAAAATAAATCACATTTATAATATCATGCATATACATATAAACAATGACACAGCTGTTTTATAAAATATCTCGCCGTGCATTTTTATTAAAATATGCTGTATAATTTTTGAAAGAGAAAAAAAGATATACGATTTAAATATTTTTCGTTAAATGCAACAAGCACTGAATATTTATATGTTACTCTCGCAATCAAAGAATTATCAATCATTCATAAGTGGTCGCGATCGATTCTCGTTGCGAATTAATAAAGGAAGACTCGTGTCGTACTAACGATCGCTCACGATTAAAGAGATTGTTTTTCTGTCTAATACCGATCACGTTCAACTCCAGGCGCGACGTGATGAAGGTAAAGGTTAATTAGCTCTGGTCCGATATCCCAGCGGGATTCGAGGCGCCGTAAATGCTAGCGTAAACGCGCTCGTAAATTGAACCGTACCCGGAACACGCCTTCGATTTTGCGTCTTGATTCTGTAAACCGCTCGAAATTCATGTACATTCGAACCGGTACGATTCTATAGCTCGGAATTGGCACTTGGACAAATTGTTCTCACTCATGTAGTTGTACTCGAGTACAGTTGTACAAGTACAGAACTTTGATGATATCTCATTGTCAGACTCTCTAAATTCTCCTACAACAGCTTCACAATACGCTTAACAGGAAGTTCCGACTGTCTTCCACGGAATTATCTGGGATTTAATGTATTCCGTATTAGGATCGTCATTGAAAAATGTATTTACGAAAATTTTCTACATTTCACTGCAACGTGTGCTTAATGTGAACTCGACAACTACATTTTTATTATTTTATATTTTGCATTTTTTTTTACTCTTTTTATTTTTCCAAGTAAAAAGAACGTGAAAAAATATGCAACACAATTATATGCAATCATATGCTTATATATTAATATTAATTAATTTTAATAAATAATATATATATATATATATAATATATAATATAATATTATATAATAATTTTATACATAATACATTTTATAATATTATTCTGTTATTTATTTGGAGAATTATATATTGAATATTTTCCTTCTCTGCTTTATTAAAATATTGAAAAGTTATGCGATTTTATCAATATTATTTTCAGATCGCCGCTACGTTGACTACGTATCTGGTTATACTACTGCAAATTCAATCATGAGACTTAACAAAAAGGAGGAAAATCGTACGATCGCAATATTTCGTGACTATAAATTTCAGAGATGTATTCTCTGTATTAAGTCGATATACGCGAAATGCTAGTTTTGCATTAATAATTTTTAATTAAATTAAATGAAACAAATTTAACTAAAAGAATGTTAGCTATTTTTATGATAATGGTATTAATAATAATTTAATGACATATATAATGGAAGAAATTTTAGAAAATAATTAATTAAAATATTATTAATTAAATTATTATATATAATATTTTTGGCATGCAAAAATGTTTCTATCTCTGTCCTCTCTTTCTTTCTCTTTTTACGCTGCAATACAATGTTCTATCATTTATGTGTAGTTGTTAACAATCACTTTGTCTTGTTATTGTTAAAATTTTAATAAAATTGTAAAGATCTCGTTTCCGCTAAACTCAAAAACGAACACCTTCCGTCTACTACATCCTCTTTAAACTACTTTCCTTAGTAGTAGTGCGATCGTGCACAACAATGGCAGAGTAGCAAGCAATAGAATTTGCATGTGAATTGTATCTATCACTGATTACAGCAGCCTCTTTCAAATTTAATGTTCAAAGAAAACCATCTTTCTAAAACGCCTTTCTAAAAGCCATCAATTAAAAATTATCACACTAGACTTGTAAAGACAAAGTTGTAATTCAATTAAATAAATAAATTAAATAAATAAATTCTAAACAAAATGTATCGATTAAATTTTAATTTGAAGATTTTCCATAAATAATATTAAATTATATGAATCTCTTGTAATTTATACATACTTGTGAATAATTAATACAATATATAATTTTCGATTAATTTTAATATTAAACATAATGTAACAATTTTCTTTTTTGGTATCATACTTTAACTCCTCGATTGTATTATATATAAATTTTATAAATTATTAATTGTGCTCATATCGCATGTTACTGCGCTATTTCAAGCTGGCGCAAAAATTAACAACTTCATAAATTACAAAATAATGTTGCTGGAACCGACAAAATAATTTTCCTTGGGCAAGTTATTTTATCTTGTACGCAATTTATTACTGGTTTACTTATTGGATAAGAAAATCATCTAATGCAAATATATAATGCATTAATCTACGTAATAAAGTCTTTGCAACATACAAAAATTATTGTCATATTTCTATGAATATATATAAAATATACAGAATATATATTAAAAATTATATATAAAATATTATATGCACAATTATATATAAAAATTATATATTTAAAAATTGAAAAATATAATAATATATTAAAATGTTTCACATTATTTTATATTATTTATATATATGTATTTGATGCAATTGTCATAATTATGTATGTATATTGTGTATATATATATGTGCATGCGCAGTAATTCATGCGTTTAACCAAGTTTTCATGAAATGCAAACTTTAGCCATTCTGTAAAAACACAGTAGGTATTTGCATTTTGCATAACTTTTTGCGATAATCAAAGATTGTTCACGATGCTCGAAGAGTTTTAAGAAATCGTTCAAGTATATCATATTTTCTGCATATTTGAATTTCAAAGAAAAGTATAAGAGAAATATTCTTAATAGAGAGAGCGTTCACAATTTTTTTATTTGCAAGTATATCTCGAAATTTTCTTTTTTTACATTTTGCAGAAATTGAAAAGGAAAATTATTAATTTTCTTTTAAATTAGATATACATTCAGAAAATATTAATAATTTTTATAAAAACAGAAAGTATCCAATAAAAATAAAATATAATATGTATTTTATTTATATGTTTCAAATATTTACATGTTTATATGTTTTATTTTATTATATTTACCAAATAAATAAATAAATAATATGCTTTCTTAATCAGTCAATGTTTTTCAAGAGAACTGGATCATTCATTCTATTTTTGATATGTATATTCTCGTTTATAATCTACAAATACTAGATAAATATTGTCATATGTATACCGCATAATTTACAGATATTGAAATTATTATAATATATTATTATAAGTTTCATATATAGATTTTTTTGTAATAATAATGTGCAATATTCGTTTCTTTGTATCGCATAACTGAATAATGAACAAAGCTTCATGTTATGATACTGTAAACTAATGTCAACAAACTGAGTTCACCGGTAAAATATCTTGGTATCACTGCTGTACTCTCGCTGCTATTGACATGTTTTATTAGTTTATGTCAGAAGCAATATGAAGTGAAACAACCTTGCTATCGGTATACGCAAAGACATCGATTGACATACGTTATTTACGAACGCCAAAGGATTGGACACTGATAAATCATGGCTGGATAACTCGCACAAAAGTAAATACGCAAATAAAGAGAAGTTAAAATGTGAAATTCTTGATTTCAATAACATCTTTGCTTTTTTGCATTGCTTTTGCAAATAACTAATAATAGCTATGAATAACTCTCCTTTTAGTTATATCGAACAAATAAATTTTTATTTCAGTAAAACTTAAAAAGATTAAACCCCAAAAATCTTAATTATGACATTTGTCAAGAAAAGCTACTCAAGCTAATTATCTTGACGATATATATCAAAGTCAAGTCTCCTTTAAATTTTACCTTATCCCCTTTTTAATACATGCACAAGGCGAAGAAGGGTTAGATTGAAAAGTTATAAAGAAGGGAGAAAACTTGTTGAAATATTAAAATTGGTGAAAAATTGCCTGACAATTTCCAATTTAAAAATACTCTCGTTGTGTTTTACATACGTTTTTCCTGTAAAACGTTTGCGCAAACTTAATTTTGCATAAAAACTTGACCCAAAAATATTTAATTTTATTCTTCTTAAAAATATTCAAAAAAAATATACATCTCGTTATAAGCTATAATTTTTATATATTATTTTCATTTTAAATTATGCAATATTGACATAATTTTTATTACAAATTGCATAGTCAGAACAATATCCTAGTTATCTAGATTCTAGATTTTATGTAGAGAAAGCAAGAGAGAAAGAGAAAAAGAAAGAAAAAGAGATATACTTTTCATATAAATTTTATCAATTTAAACCAAAAACGCAAAATAACAAAGAAACGTTGCAAAAGGAAATCAAACGACCTCACATTATTTTGTATCAGAAAATATCGAAATTGAATATTATTGAAAAGATTCTTTCACGTTTTATCAAAAGGACTTTGTTAGATTTCTCAAATAATATCGGAAGTTTCGTGAATTCTCTCTTATTTTCTGCAAAAGTATAACTACTGCTTCCTATATAAGAGATTAGTAGTAATAGACGATTATATAGTCAGACATTCAGTATATATTTAATTTTTAATGTTTAAAATATAATTATATAATTAATTTGTGTATTTGAGAATTAAATAAATATCACTTAAATAATTAAAAGAATTTTCTAAATTATTATCATTTAACCTTCAAAAAATTATTTAAGGACAAAAAGTGTTCTTACTGCACTTTTATGTCGATAATAATTTAAATATTCGAAAAATATTGAAAGAAAAACTGCACACATTTATGATTCAATATTTTTGACAATATTAAATATGTCAAAAGATGTTTTAGAGATACAATATTTTGATAAAATTGTGAGATGCAAACGTTAAGCGGTTTGCTACGAGTTTTAAGCGCAGCCTCTTTATAACCAGTGTTCCATGTCAACTTGGCGTTATTAAATTTGCATAATATTGTTTCATCTTTCCTAGTGGTTAGTTTAGGGTCTAAAGCGATCATGTAGAAATTTTAAGGAAAAATAAATACGAAACTTTAATCATAAAAAATATGTCTTTATATATTTTGTTAAATTTGATCCATCAAAAGTATTAAATGTTTAAAAGTTATAAAATTGCAAAAAAACTATAATAAAATAATTAACTGATATATTAAATGTAGAAAATTTCATTAAGCATTTTTTTTTAATTCTTAAAATGGTAAAATTATTTTACATTTCTATTCTATCTTTATATTGAAATATTAGGAAGTTTATTCGTTATTATTGTAATAATCTTTTAGCATGTATATATTTCTATACTTCCGAAATTAGATTAGATAGATCCTGTTTTTACGTACAAATTGCTAATTACTGATTAATATTTATAGTTCAAAAAAACATCTGTTGATATATTAGAGAAAAAATAAAGAATACTTAAAATATTTTTTTCTGTATATTGATTTTATATAATATTCTCTTTTCTTTTATAAATACACGTATATTAAATAACATATTATATTTTGCATTTACATATAATTTTCAAATAAAACATTATTGCGATTAAATCGGATTATTAATATTCTCGCATGCATTATTACTTTAATAATCAAAAGAATATTTAATGTTATTAATAACGTGTTCAATCTTTGAAAATATATTAATTTTTAGTAGCAAATATAAAAGAATAGAAGAAACCAATAAAGAAATATTACTTATCTATCTAATATTGAAAAAGAGACGTGCGTTTTCAAAGGAAAGATATAATAAAATATCATTTCTTCTTTTGTAAAAGTGCACTTTTGCAAGGAGATAGATAAAATAGATTATAATAATTCATGTCGTAGAATTATATTTTCACACTGAGAATTGAAACACTTTCTTATACTAAAACTTCCCCATTATTCTCATTATTTCGAAAGTGTATGACACAATGCTCTTCAATTTTTTTCTCATAATATTATTTTATATATTATATAATCATATTTAGCGCGACAATGTTAAAATATCATGTATATGTAAGAGAATTATTTCAAGAGTCTAAGGAAGCAAATGACATGTTATTAATTTGAGACAATTTCTCCCCTTACCTTTCTAAAGTGCACTCTCGAACAATCATTGCAGATTTTTAATTCCGCTGATTCTTCGGAAAGAAGCGATTCTTCGTCGATATCTCGTTCGTGAACGACGTTGCGAGGCGCGAGAAATGGCCATTGCCGAGAAATGGAAGAGAATCGCTGTCATCGACAGTCAGCAATGTTACCGCAACGACATTGCATATCTATTTTCTACACCATCGCTCCAGAAAATTGCTCCTTTCATGGTCTTGCGCTGATGCTGTTTTCTCCCAAGCATTGCAGATGCACGCGGACTCGTTTCAATACTCGCCATTGCATAAGGTTCAAAGCGATAGCGCAGATAGAACTGAAAGAAATGATTACGCATTAGATACACAATAATGATATAGTTTTAAAATTTCGCAATATCTAAGTGCAGAAAAATAAATCTTCATTGATAAAGAAAAAAATTTTTATTTAAAAGTCGGATTTTAGAGAAAAAATTACAATGTTGAAGTACTCTTTCTCTTTCTCTCTTTTTCCTCCTCTTTTAAAATTAATAACCCATTTAAAAAACGTCACAAAGTTAAAAAAAAAATACGCTAACTATATAAAAAAATCCCTCTATAAATAATGTACTTTTAAAATAATGTGTATCTATAAAAAATATAAAATTAAAATTAAATATAAATCATTTTTCGAGCGAATCAATCGTTTTCTTCCGCGTCCTTAATCTGAATTGTATTTCGATCGTCGAAAAATCGAATAATAATAAAGATTCGGTTAGCTTTAAGTGGCCGAAACATTTTACGTATGATGAGTATGACATATATAAAATATTTATATTAATATTCAAAATACCTTTCTCAGCCACTGTTGAATAACTCAGCATTTCGTCATTGTATTAACTTATAATGATTTAGGAAACATTAATTTAATTGAACGAGTTTGTTAGCTATCGCTTTCTGGATAATGCAAGTTGCCATCACAGGATCTGAGTAGCAGAAATTAAATCTCAAACAAGATTTACGGTTCGGTGGACGAAATAATACATAGGTAGGGCATGTAGAGGTATATAGATCTAACTTCCCTTTTCTCTTACAAACTTTTAAGTATAATGAAATTTTCTTCAAAATCAAAAACTTCAAAATTAAAAATTTATATATAATTTATTTTAGAAAGCAGATATTTATATAAGCTATAATTTTCTATCAAATACATTTATTTCTCAGGTTTTCGAATGGAATTAGTATAATTATTTTTTACTTACGTATTCCACAAAAAAATATTGAAAATAATAACTTGTCATTTTCTTGGATTTCGTAAAGATTGCTTTTCTTAAATGTCGAACATTAAGTATCGTGTTTTTTTTTTAAACAATAATATTGCTTTCTCGCGATAAAAATACCAGCTTCAAATTGGTCAAGAAATCCATATAAGGAGATATCTCAAGAGGTCACTCTGTAAGTACCTGCGTGGGCAGTTTCAGTGGATGTACGTCATCGCTTATTTAAGAGTGGGCGAAACATTGCAGACGCTATTATTTACGTCATCGAACGATCGCGTGCAATATCCTGAACTCAATGAAATAAGTCTGGCAAATGCTCAGGGAATAATAGTAAAATTTAAAAATTTAATTTACAGAAAAAGGAATATTAATAATACTTAATATATGCAAACAACTAATATTTGCATTTCTCCTGTCTTACAAAAAGTAATTCTCTTGAAATAATATTCTAGGTCTCTATAGAGATAAAGAAACAGTATGGTATATTTTTAGAATTTAATTAAATTGTTCAAATCTGTGTCATTATTTCTTTTTAATTTGTACTTGATTTATTTTGAGAATTAACATGAATAGACAGAAAATAAAAAGAACAAAGAAGAATAATTGTTAACACAATAATCCTCTCGACGCTCGGAGTATCACACGTGACATTCGTGTAAATGTATAATTTACATTCGTGTAAATGTATGTCTCTGTCAAATGGAGAGCCGAAACTCAAATCATGAGACTCGAGAACATTCATCATAATAAATAATTCGCCCCACTGCGGGATGGATGATTAGGAAAACTAATTACCTTACGCGAAATAAATATTATGTGCATACATCTACCTCCTGCTGACCGTATCGTAATTATCTTCCAAAAAATAATTCGCTTCCCCTTCAAGATAATCCTTTAAAATAAATAATACAGGATTGTCAACCTAGGTACTAATTGTAAGCCGCCCCACTACGTCAAGGTGTACCCTTCGAGGGATTATTATTTTATAATTTTATAATATAATAAAATAACATAGAATGGTAGGATTAAAAGATTAAATAATGAAATGTGTAATTGCAATTATTAATTAATTTACGCTTGCATTTTGTTAAAACTTATATTATCGGCTAAAATATATTTGATTCGAAACATTATTAAAGAAATAATTATTATCCACGGAAAACTAAAATCAAAGTGTCGGAATAAAAATTGGAAATGATAATTTCTAATTTTTATTCCTGTAGCCCTGATTTACAAATTGTTTTTATATAGAGGTATTATTGATATTGAAAGTTCATAATGTTATATTATTATTTATTTTACTTTTTGTTATAAAAATTAAAATGGCGGAGCCGGGTCTGTGTTATTCTAGTACAGTAAAAGAAGTTTAAAATAAATTTGGAAAATAAAAATCGATTTATAAAACAAAAAATAAAGTTAACAAATTCGTGCGCGAAATGAGATTTGAAGATTAATTACATTTCAAGAAGAGAGAATATAATGTAATTCCCCAAGTTTACATACCAAAATACCGATACCGCTCGACAGCAGCTGTCAATTTATGCAAACGACACACATGTTATAATTATCGACAACAAGTAATTATAAACTCCCAAGTTCATAATAATTCTTGGCACAGAATGTACATAGATAAATATTCTAACAATAATTTCAAACAGAATATGCATAATAATTCTTTTTTAATAAATTATATTTTTAAAAAATTCTTTTTTTTTATTAATATATTTATACACATATACATACGTATATAAAAGTTTTTTTAAATATAATTTATTTTTTAATTGTTAAAATATTTCATCATTACCTATTTACATTCTGTATCAAAGAACGAATTCGGGAGTTTATAATTGCTTGTTGTCGATAAATGTGACATTTGCATAAATTGACAGCTCGACCTGGTATACCTATGTATAATTATTATCAATTACTGAAGTAGTTACCAACAGACAAGACTGAGAAATAATTAGGTCATGTTAAAACTGAAGTTCTTCTGAATGAAGTTAAAAAAAAGCCAAGGAAAAGGAATTTACAGGACACGCTGCTGCGCGAGCTTTAATGTATCCCGCAAATAAAGGAAGTGACCCCGTGATTCGTGCAGCTTTATTGCGTGACGAAACTTAAACAGGCTGCTCCTCGAAACGAGTAGCTTTACTTAGGGAAACTCTACGCAATATATCGCAACAACCGCGAGAGACGATAACGTTTCTCGTTTCCACGCGCAATTTCCACTGCATTACGAGGCGGTGGAATCTCTTCGTCAGGCAAACGTACACTCCCGTCCTCGTTTCGCTTGTATCCACTGTCTGTATATATCGGATGGCTGTTGTAGTTACGTGTATTATAGCATACCCGAAGCAAGGCGAATTTCATGCAAATCACCCTGACATAAACCATCAGGCATAAATTTGCACCGATTTTGTCACGTTACGAAACTCGCGCGAAACTTCCAGCTATCAGCATCTTATCGTCAACAATGGCTTCTCCACACACGTATTATTTATTTTAGATTTATTAACATTGCAAAAAAATGGATTGATTAAGCATTAAAGCATTCATTTAAAAAATTAATAATTTTTATATATATAATTTATATATTAAAAAAAGATTGTAATGTTTTTATTCAATACTGCCAAATGAATTATTTATTTGAAACAAATAAATATTTATTTGTTTTGAGAAGGATTTTATTATATCAAATAAATAGTTTTCATGTCAAATAAATATTATGTTTGAAATAAATGATTTATTTGGCGGTATTGAAATAAATACTTATAAGAATTAACTACATTTGTTTTCAGTGTATATTTGTTTAAGAAAATCCTGCAAATCTCTTGCAAATAATTTGTCAGAACGTTTATAAATTCAGACTGCTAAAAATATATACCTATATTCTTATATATATAATAATATAACATTATGTAGTATCAAATAATTATGAATAATGAAGAAGGATCCGAAGGATTGATATGTGATTTAAATAGATCCCGGAATTTGTCAATATATATATAAAATTGTAATTAATAATCCTCCCTCAATTTAGAATATAACATTGTATTTATTGTTTATTATGAAACACACAAAAGGCAACCCAGACGTTGTACAAATAAAGAGAATATACCGTACACAAGTACAAATATAAAAAAATATTAAAAAAATACAGAAAAAATATAAAAAAATAATATTAATTTCTTGAACGCATATCAATATGTGCAATCAATTGCGCGTATAATCACATGAAAATGTTAGAAAATCGCAACATATCGACAGGTTCCTACGTCAAGAACTGCCAAATCGCTATTGTACAAATGACAGTCTGTTCGATGCTATTCGAGATCGATCTCGATATTTTCGCGAGAAAATACGAGAGACTCGACAAGCGCATTTTCGTCCATATCAGTGGCGTTACATGACATCGCCCTACCTTTGCACAATGTTATCAAGCCTGTTGGACGAATCTTTATCATTTCGCGAGAAATGATCAAGATTTTTTGCGATATCATAAACCTGTCGCATTGGAAGCTACGAATTTCATAGACAAAGACAAACAAGTAAAACAGAAATCTTGTTTGTAAATGTCAAAGTTCTTCTTTTTTTGCGCACAAAAGATGAAAGGATCATGTCGAATAAAATTTGATAAAAAGACAAAACGGGTTAAAAGAAAATTAAAATTGCAATTTTGCGTGAAAAATCGTCGCGCGGTATATTTACAATGAACGAGCAAAGCGTCATTATATTCCTTCCGGTAGAAAATTTACAGAAATAAAATTGCAAATGGCATTATCTCGCATTTGATGAAAATTTCTTTCTCTCTGAGTTTGCGTGACGTTTTTGAAAGAAATGACGCGACGCATGCGAATAAAAATTTTAATTTTCCAAAACCTATTTTTATAATTGATATATTCTCTTAATTGCGTTAATTTAGTCACGCAAGAATGGTCTAGTCATTGAAATCAAAGCTGTAAAATACAATGATTTATGGAAACACAAGTTTCCTGAAAATTCACGATTCAACTTCACTGAGTATCATCGTAGAAGATGGATCATTAAGCAAGTTTAATCATTAATCAAATTATTGAAGTAGAATTCTACTACGACAAGAGCAATTATACAACAGTGCTCTGGAATTTGCGATATCAGTTAATATTAACATGTCCGTAAATTTACGCGACAAATCCGTGTATTAATAATCTTTTGATTATACTTCACACAATGTAAACAATGTAAACAATGTAAATACTGTAAATCATGCACAAATCGAAATCATTCTCGTCAATCTGATATTATCGTGAAATCGATCTTCTATAAATACAGAAATGATTTCAATCTTTAATTAATTTTTAATATACAACATTCAATTACGAAAAATTTGATCACAATTTGACGAATATTATTAACGACAGAGATGTCCTTTTTTTTCCTCTATAATTTAAATACATTTATCAATTAAAGCGCTCTTTCAAGGAAAATGAGGAAAAATTTATATATTATATAGGAATATCTATAAATTAAGGACGAAGTAATTAATCATGCTGACTTCGTAGATTTCATAGATGGATTATTATCCAGCGTGATGTCCTGCAACAAAGATTAATCGATTAATGTGACTTTAAACTCCGCAAAATTTACCGGGCAGAGAATTTTTCGAGAGAGAAGTTGTGCTTTCGGTACTTTATTAATTGTCGAAGCTCTTTTCAATCGCTCGTGATTTTTCGTGAGATAAAGAAAATCTGAAGTTCTTCGGGCTCACGGTGGCAAAACGGGACACGCAAGGTGTGTTCTGCGCATATCGGTTAGCGCCATAAACGAACAAGGGATCCGTCGTAAAGCTAGACAACCAGGAACGTCTAGGAACATCGTAGATGGGTGCCTGTCGCCGAAAAACGACCTCGTCGAGCGCCGACGTTGACTTGTGCGATCTGCAATGCAGATGCATTTATCAATTTTCAAGTAATCAATTGCGTTGCAATGCTTGGCATTATTTGACAACGCTTTTGTCATTTGATTTGATATACGTTCTATTATTTATATATTTTATTCCTCACACGTATGTATGTATATAGCAAAGAGTACAGAAAGAGTGAAAATAAAATTCCCATCTTCTCTGCTCTATATTACTTTTATGTATATAATTACTTTATACTCTAATATATATACTTATATAATTAAATCTTATAATATATATTACTAGTATATATTATAATTTTATATTATAACTATATAATTATATTATATTATAATTTTATAATATATATTATTATATATATTATATCAGTATATACATATATAAGTATATACATAAGTATAACATATATATATAAATATATAGTATATGTGTATAATAACATACATATATATCTCTGTATGTGTGTGAGTCATTATTATGTATATAAATTATTATTATTATTGCACATATATATCTCTATATGTGTGTGAATCATTATTATATATACGAATTATTATTATTATTACATAATTACTTTGGCAGATCATAATTATTGATCGCAGACAAATCGGACGTTTTAGGAGGTGAGATGTTTAATGCAGATCGCGGCACAGATATAGGCGTACTCGGACATCTCATTGTCAGTTTAAGCGCATCAGGTTCGATCTTTCTCTCCGCCGTCGCTTCCTCCTCCTCTATCTGATCCATCTTCGTTTTCGCGACGAAGGGATGCTTCGGAACACTGCTGCGGATCAAATGGGGGTGCTTAGGAAGCGACGGGTATCTGCAGAAAACCCTCGATTTGGTAAAACCCGCGACGCTCGACGAGAATTCGACGTACCGATGGGCCCCTTTCGGCTCGAGATCGTTCACGAGTTTCGGAGCCGCCTCGGTCAACATGATGCGACGGCGATGCCTGACAGTTCTCCCGCAACGCTCGCTGACACACTTCGGGCGGCCGAACGTGCCGAAGGTCGGCGGCGTCGATGGCTCGTCGTCGACGTGGCCGACGTCGGAGTGCCAGGATCTCTGCGAGAAGGAGGACAGAGTTGACGGGCACCGTTCGATAAATCCCGAGTCGAAAATGTGTTCCCGCTTCGGCTGCTTCCTCTTCAACCTCCTCCCGATTTTCTTGTAACCGAACGACAGTTTAGCTCGACTGAACACCGACAGCAGCTTCTTCAGCGATTTTATCCGCGACGACTTCTCGTTTAGCACCGGTATCCACGTCACGGACGTATCGTCGCCGATCCGGATCGGTTGTTTCAGCGAAATGCCGATCACTCGTGGTGAATCCCGATTCAAGTCGGGAGATTTTGACATGTGTTCCGTGGCCTGAGGAGTCTCGCGATCGTTTAAATCGTCTTTGGACGGTATGACGGTGACGTCTTGGACGGACGAGTCTAACAACAAACTGTCGTTGACGCGATTCTTCTCTGTGCTCGATGTGTCCCCGTATAATGATCTCGAGGAGTTCAACGATGGCGACGAAGTGGATAATTCGAACTGCCAGCCTTCGTTCTCGAAATTGTACAAGTCGCCCTGTAAGTTTTTGTAACTATTATTGCTAGGACTGCTCGAGTCGCGAGAATTCGTCAAGATGTCGTCGAGAGGATTCTCCTCGCGATCGTCCTCCAAAGGACTCGAGCAGATCAACGGCATGTTATTCGTCAATTTATATTCCTCGTCGCTCCCCGGGGAATCGTAGTACATTTGATCGCGTATCTTCAGCTTTTCCATCTCGTCTCTTTTCGACGAGGAAGAATTCAGCCGAATATTCGTCAGCTCTCTCATAAAACCGTACTTGTTTATCTTGGAGGAGATTCCTGACCACGTCTTCGAAATATCGGTCTTCTTGTCGCTCTTCGCACTATATCGATTAGGCGTTACGAAATCGTCCTTGAGATCGTGCTTATCGATGACCGGAAAAGCGGAAGGTTTCTCGGATGTATTTTTAAGACTAGCCCAACGTCGCAAGTCGCCGCCGAGCTCGTCGTACATCGAGGGACTTGAATCACTCTTTTCTACGTTCTTTTGCTTTCGAATGGTGTTGAAAAGACCGGATCTCTTCCTAACGTGTTCCCGCTCGGCATTTTCAATGGATGCTCGAAAGCTCGACTCGTAAGCTTCGACGATCTTCTTCACAAAGCTGCCGCCGCTTGAGCTCGATAACTCCGAAACTGTGTCCTGGCGGCTGGATGATCTGAAACCCGTCTCGAACTCCTGAATTAAGGTCTCCATGCTCGGTATGTCCTTCGGTATATCTGGCAGCACGCGAATTCCGTTGAATGCCGCCATGTTAAGGCGATTACAAAATTGTTCAAGTTTCTAGACCTGGATATAATAGGATATTCTCGACTTATCGATGATGAACTACAAAAAAAAAAAAAAAAAAAAAAGAAAATTTTATTTAAATGTGACGTGTCGACTATCAAGAACATTTATCGAATACGTGTTTATGATTAGGAACAAATAATTTTGCCCTATTTTTTTGACGAAAAATATTAATAATGATAAATTCGCTTTTTGTTATGTTCTAGGAAAAGAGTGAAAATTATTATTTGGTTATTTAATGACTTATTTTTAAATACATACTTATAGACAAATAATTAAATCCGATTTTGCACACACATATTTAAGAAGTAAAGTTTTACAAAATAAATAAAGGACATATTTTTAAATTTTTAATTAAGAAGCAATTAAGAAGCATGAAAAGATTTATTAAATTAGTTAAAATTAAATTAAATTCTCTTTTTTTAAATTACAGAATAAAATTTTAAAAAATTCTAAATTCTTAAAGAAATAAAGAGAGAAAGAGAGTGCTTTTAATTAAAATATATTAATATGTTTTTGTTTTCACAATTTGTTATTATTTTATAAGTAATAATAACATGGTTTTATTATTTTATAAATGATAATAACGCGATGTTTTATTTCCTATAAATTTCCTATTAATTTTGTAATATTTTTATAAATGTCATACAATGATATTGTTAATTACTTTTAATCAAGTTTGTTACATAAACTTTTTTTTAAATAAATTTAACTTTAAATAAATTATAAACTCTATTGTAAGTTTTATATAAATTCTACATAAGTCAGAGAAAGAAACGTTTCTGATGACCTATAAGCGGATAACTAAAACAGAAGAGCAAATAAACAAATAGAAAAACAAACAAGCAAAATATATGCAATCTTTTCAGAGAAAGAAAAACTATAACAAAAAAATAAACAATGAAAAAATAAATAAATGAAAGAAGAAAAAAATAAATAAGAAATAGAATAAAATATTCGATTTATGTATAAATTGAATAAATATAACCAATCGTAAAAAGTATCAGAAACTAAGAAAGTTCTTGCAATTTTTAATATTTACTTTTTCGTCATCAATCAAGTAAAATGCATTCACTGTCTACATGTAATATAGCTTTAAGAATATTCCTCTTTTTCATGTATAAATTCAAATACATATAGCTTTCTCATTGCATCACATAAATAAATGTTTAGATAAAAATTATATAAAAATTATGTACAAATTGTAATACATAATCTAAATTATTAAAATCCAAATTATAATAAGTTGTATTTAAATGTTTGATTTTTTACGCGTAATGAAATAAAATTTACGAAAATATTAAATATAATAAAAATGATCAAAAATACACATCTAATAAAATCATATAAACTTTCTTAATTCTCTAATATTCTCGGTATTCCTGTCTATCTCCTCTCAGTATTCAAAGCGTTAAAGCAAATATTCTCAAAGTTTATCGGCTTCGCGCTGCAACACGCTACCTCTTGCGTGGGATCAATGTCTCAAGAACAAAATCACATCGAAAATTCAGATTGTGTTTTCCCAGAGCCTCAACCCACTGCTAGAGATTCACAATGATCTAGTAAAGATACTCTTCGAAGATGTCTTCGCTATGTTACAAACACAACTTGTCTTCTTCGATAAACGAAAACTTTATGTATGTATTTTCTTTCTTTCTCTCTCTCTCTCTCTCTCTCTTGTACGATTAAAGTACTCGTTGTCAGTGCCTTTAATACTAGATAATACACGATTTATTTTGATCCTAATCTAAGATTTTTAAGTAATTGACAGACTATAAATGTATATGGATGACACAATTCAAAATTATTATTATTGACATTTTCTAGCAAAATAATGAAATTTGTTCGCAAAAATATGCAATATTTAAATTTAATTTTCAACAAAGTATCTAAGCAAGTATCTTATACTTGATTAAAATAGTTCGTATTAAAATTGTATATTTTTCTATCATTTGAAAATGTATTTTCTCTCCTTATTCTCTTTATATAATATTAATATAGATAAATAATAAAATCTTTTTCTCTGATATATATTTTTTCTAAGATATTTATTTCAGAATTTTATTTTTAAATTTAAACAATTTACAGGCTAACTGTATTCTGTATTATATAATATTTTATACTTCTTTTTATTACAAGCTATCAAATAGAAATAATCAATGATGTTCTTATCTCTCAAACTTTAACGCTTCTTGGATATTTGTCAGCTTATTAGATAATTAGTGTTGACAGATAACGATTATTCATGCTAATCAGAAGCATCTGTTTTTCCCGCTTAATCCCGCTTTGCTCATCAATTTGCTCCGATCCGTTGCAGCGATGGTTATGCAACCCGTACTTACGTACTTATTTGATGCAAATAAGTCCTCGTAATCAGTTGCATCTGCTTCCATCGTTTTTACAAATGTATGAACAGAATAGTATAATAGAGATAATATTGCAGAAATTGTGACATCTACAGAAGAAGAAAGAAACTGGCAGCTGACATTATTCACATAAATATTTTAGTCATCGCTCTATATTTTATCATTCTTTATTCTACTTCTTCCTATTTTAATATATAATTACAGTTATCAAAGCTCTATATATATATATATATAAACGTTTTGCGTCTATTAATAAGCAAATAACTATAACACTGTAGTAAAATTAGTTATAATAATTCCAATTAATTATGTAATATAGTTTATTGTGTGATTTTTTTCATTTTATTCTCGCATTTCGTATTTCTGCGTTACTTTGACATATGGGTCTTTTATGGGTTGCTAACAAGAGTGCACGGTCTCGTTATAATAATAAAAGTCAAGCAATAAATCGACGAAGAACTTTCCGCTAACGATAATGCCGATCAAAGCGACGACACGGAATTAGAGAGCGAAATGAGAGCATAAATCACGACTAAACGATTTCCCAATCGATCCGCGAAAGCACTTTCGGGTGACATTAATTTTTCGAATACTTTGATCATTTTTTCATCGTTTTTTTTTTCGCTCGACAAACATGCATATTTTTCGGCAACACATTTTCTTCAAAAAATATTCATAGTTGACTGTTAAATTTTCGTTTTAATATTCTGTGCTAACTATTAATTAACAATAATAAAAATTAAATAATTCATTGAGCAAATAAATAAATTAGTATCTTAAAAAAATTTTAAAAAGTAAATATTGTAAGCCAACTAAACGAGCAAAATTAAATAAGATCTAAAGATTTATTAATAATTAATTCTCATTCCGTCTCATCTCATTCTCATCTCATAAATCTTTACTTTTTTTAATTTTGTTAATTTATACGAGCCTTTCATTAATTAACTTTGGTATCTTAAATCTTTGTTTTTCTGCAAAATGACAGACGCTACTCCTGTATGTAAAGTAGCGTCATTAATTTGCATGATGCTGCAGATTATTGACTTCGCTGCGATTACTACGCGAATTGTTTGTAAACACAAACATTATTTATATTATGATCGAGTTTTACGCTTAGCTGGACAAACACAACAATGGCATTCCCATACATATACCTAGAGAAGATCAGTCATTGTGACACTCTCTAAACGTCGGTTGCCGAAGGACGTCCGATGGACGCCCACGGTTAACCCGGGTACTCAGGGTCATTATACTGTTATTGTGTATGTTGTTGCCGTCTATTTGTAGATTACGACAGCGCCAATTAAAGACCACTAATCTCATGGTTCGTTGCTTGCCAGATTATTCGTCTCATCGCGCGATAATTAATCTCAACTAAGCTACCCGCTTTCAATGCTAATTTCTTAATGTTGGATAGTGGAGAATCGGTAAGTGGAAGTAGTACAGCTGTTGACCTGTATAATATTAATATAAATTATAAATATATTTACTCTCTGAATAAAGAAAACTTGTTTTTCTACCAATTCAATTAAATCTATTTTTTATCTATAGTAACTGAATGAAAATCAAAACCACGTCCATCATCAACGAATTTAACATCAAGACAGCATCTTTTTTTCATTATTTTTTATTATTTATTATTATTTAGTTGTTTCCTAAAGTTAAAAATGCTAAACGTATTTTTGATGTCTCCGACAAAAATCAATAATGTTGTTATTAATTTTAAAGATTAATCTTTCAACAGGAATAAAAATTGTTAATCTAAGAAATGTATCTACACATAAAAAGACAACATTGTAAAAAAGGTACCAAAAAAATTGATTTATGGAAAATAAAGATTAAGGTCGAATGTATTGCGCGAAAATGTATCGTATAAAATAAAAACTTAAAATGTATAAAATGTTATTTTATCGTATAAAATAAAAACTTAAAATGTATATGTAGAACCGGAAGTTTTGTAACCAAAAGCATGTATTTATCGAGAATGCTGACGCTGATTCAAGTCTCCATGCAGAAAGAGATTAGCTTCACCCCAGAGGAAAATAGAATGTAAAGTGTTAATTTTATCTGTGTTACACACGTCCGACGTGTAATGCAATGACTGCCGACAAACAAGATCCGGTCTCACTATACTCACCCCCATCCGTCCCTTTCCTCAACCCTTTCTCAGTGTACGACACTGACGTCATTGGTCCTGTAAGTCGTTTTACATCCTATGCAGTATGCATGAGATCGCTTTTGAATGCCAACGATACTGCCCAAGCCAGCGAGGAGTCTCGAAATATTCCGTGAAACAATCCGCCGCGACGAGATTTCTTAACGAGATCGAGCGATCGATCAAGCTGGCTGAAAAAATATATCCGGTAACAATAAAGAAGGCTGTTAAATTGGAAATTCCAATTTATCCTTCAATCTCGACATACTCTTGCCTCTGACAAAGAATATCCCTTCGATTTTTATGAATGCTGGGCACATTTGTAATCTATGTCGACATGAGAGACACGTATTTTTTATTAATTAGGGATCGGAAGGAAAAATACTCGTTTACTTGAAGAAGAACCAACTTTTTCCGAGAAGAAACCAAACGACCGAGATTCTTTCTAATAAAAAAATATATATTATATTTATATATATATATATATATATATACCTATATATATTAGACTGGCGCTT